GCACCATCAGAAGACTCAACCTCGGCTTTGCGAATATCTCTCCGTTGTGTGTTCTTGGTCCTCACTGGAGGTTGCGTCGGCGCAACACGCCGACTTGAGACATGTGCCGCCGTCCGGCACCTACTGGCTGCTGTCAGTTGATAGGATATGTAGATATCGCCATCGCCCATGCTCGCTGGCGTGGACATACCCCTTTCCACGGTAACCATCTTCCTGGGCATCATCCAGGTTCCCCAACCCCCATATTCGGTATCGGTATCTATCGTCCACGTGCCCTTTCTAGGAGGGGCAGGTATTTCGTCCCAACATGGGGCCTCTCCCACTTTCCTGTCGCGGCAGAGATAAGCCGCGATGCGCGATTGGGCCCCGTCGTGATGCCGTCGCAATTGACAACTTGACGAGAGTAACCTTATCTCGCACGCGAGTGGTCGGGATGCCAGTCCGCGGAGCGTATCGAAGAATACAGGGAACGCTCGGTCGAGGCCAATCGCAGTTCGTTCGTCCACTGTCCCGTTTCAGCCCTGTCGATCCGTCAAGAAAACCCCTGGACCCTTCCTTCGCTATCCCCGGGACTGAACAGTCGCTGAGATGCTTTCCCGACTTCAGCAGATGTCGTTGTAGTTGACTTTGTTCGCGCGCATGATTGGATATCTTACCTCTCGCGAGCACGTCAACGGTTGTCAGAGCGGCGGCTGAGTCGAACCCTTCCCATCGGGAATTTACTGAAATGCGACAGCCGTTCCGTAGTTGATGAGCCTCTGTGCCTCAAGTCTATGCCGTCGAACCCTGACAACCAAACCATTCCCCGTCCGTGCTACGTCCAAGCGGGCCACTCAACCGGAAACTTGCAGTTCCTCCCTTCTCTTCTCTTCCCCCCGCCCCTTTTCAGATCGAACCAACTATGGATGGCACATCCGATCAAACGTCTCATGCTGTGGTTCCTGCATTTGCGACTGTTCGAGGAGAAAACTCCGTGCGGTGGAGGTGGAATTGAAGAGAAGGAAAATCAAGTAGCAACCCATTTCTCGCGCCTCAAGAGTCGTTCGTCAGTTCTCGCATTCGCTCATGCATGCAGGGTTGTCAAAGTGCGCTTCTTCAACGGCGCCCGCCGCGTCTGTGTAACGCGGTTCTCTCCCTCTCTCTCTCGCTTATGCCGTGGGAACCTTGACAGGGCAGTCTGAACACTTTGAACTCTTCTGATATCATGGGAAGCCGTTGGGCCGTTGGGAAATGTTGTTGGTCCCTTCTTTGAAGAACCTGCCACCCCTGGGTTTCGGGGTGCGTTCGTCTGAGACGGGCCTCGGCGCCGGTTCCGAGAAAGAAACCCCCCTGCTTCAGACGTTCCACCTCCAGTCCTCTCTCTCTCTCCCTTCACCCTGCCGTGTCCTCCCAGGGTCCAGGTTTCGTGTGCTTCTCGACGGATGATGGATCGAAGAAGGGGAACGAGGAGGAGGGGGGCCTTCAGGGCTACGGCTTGCTACCGTTCAAGGCTTATTCGCGACGAGCGCTTTGGCGGTTTTCTTGGGCCGGAGGGTTCAGGTCGGGGTTCCTTGAAGAAAGTGAATTAGAGATGCGGCAGCGTCGGTTGCGCGAACCGAGGGGTTGGTTATGCTTCCCTTTTAGCTCTGGGAGGCGTCGTCTACCCCGGGCCGATGCTGTTTTGCATATAAACATGAGCCGGGCTTGTCGTTGTCCAAGCGAGCTCGCGGTTTCCTCTACCTGTGACGTGTCTTGTGATGTCGTGCTTAGATGGACGTTATAAAGCGACCATTCCTGGCCAAGGTCGCGATCCTATGTCGTGTACAGATGAGTTTGGAGTTTAAACGATGGAGAACTGATCATGGTGGGTACATTCGAGCGGTCCAGGGTGGTCGTGAGCGAAGTTTCTCTGCAAGGTTGACGGTGACAACTCGGCATGATCCGAGAACGGGAGCCGAATAAACTAGATTGCGTTTGGGGTTGAACGCGATTGTCCTGCGAGGTCGGGATCAAGCTCACGGCAGATCGGTAAAGCGGCTGGGTGGGTTTGAGGGTCTGGGTCTAGATGTCGAATATTGTCTCGAGTTGAGCAAGTTCTTATATTCCTTCTTTACGAAACGAGTTGTAGTTGGTCGTATTGAGCGTCGACTTGGCAATATATCGACATTCTCTGAAAATGCCTTGTTCATTGATGCCTCGGCTATGGATACGAGAGATGACTTGGTCGACAACCCTAGACGCTAAATACACCGTCTTCAAGATTCAGCTTCTACGTAAATAGGTTATCTGAGTTGCTTGTTTTTACGGCTCATGTTATAAGCACTTTGCTGTCACGGCAACGAGAGGACATGGCCTTTTCATAGTGTCGAAGCATATACATCCCAGGTTACCGCGGCCAACATTTGAAATGGCTTGAGTGCTTGCTTACAATCTATATGAAGATCATCTTGTAGTCTTTCTATTATTGTGTAAGGCTTGCAGTCTGGGGACAGCCTTGCCGCCGCCGGCATTCCTCGTATACTAACTTGGCAACCCGTCATTATGTACTCAAAACGGTTTCACTAAGACAGATACTCTATACCAGTATCCACGGCGTATAACACATACACCCTCATGAACTTAGAAAGCAAAAAATCTGGTTGTTGATTTGAAATCCTGCGTTTTGGAGTGAATATGTATCATTCGTGGATGATTTTCTCACGCACCACCAGTACCAGGTCATTCTTAGAGTAATAACTCAAATCCACCAGTAACGAAAGAATATAGTAATAATGACGGTAGCAACTGCAGCAGCTACAGCAATGATAGCTTTTATTATGTTAGAGGGGCGTCCCTGGGCTCATGCCTCAAGGGGGGTCTTCACTCGGGGCTAAACGACCTCCTCACATTTGAACATGTCTAAACCACCAAGACATCCCGGCACAATGCTCAGCATGACTCTATTATGCTAGATCGCAACAGTAAACACAAGGCTCACACGACGGCGTTGACCGAGGGTCTCACGTCGTCCCCGACCTCCCTACCGTGCTCATGCTAGCTAGCCTCTGATCTCCCGAAACCCTAAGTTTCGTGACCTAAGTGGGTATCGTGAGCTTCATATCCACCTCTGCTTCCTGAACCAGACACCAACAACAACACCTATCAATTCCCCGATAGTCTAGTGGTGAGGATATCTGCTTGTCATGTTCAAACACGATTCGCAGGGGACCGGGGTTCAATTCCCCGTCGAGGAGTATTCTTTTGCTTTTTGTGTCCATGTCCGACATGCACGGCTTTCCTTCGCCTCTAGAAGGTTCTGGTGTTTTGAGTCTGACGTGCTGTCATCTCTTTTGAGGTGTTGGGTAGGAATACATGACCCAAGTTGTGTTAGTCGGCTTGGGCACGTCTACTTACACGCGTCAGTTAGTTGGTTACCAAACACATCGTGGGAGAATGCGGGACCAGAAGACTGAACGTAGCAAGGGTGAGAAATTGGAGGGAGGCCCAGTCGGCTGTGAAATTGCAACTCTGCAGACTTCGTACAGAACGAGAGTGCTTGGCGGGTGGTGGTTTCAACAGATGGCACGCACTTCATAACCTTTTGTCCTTGACCACATGTGACGGCTTGGTTTCGTGAAGAAGCTTCAGTCCCCCACCAACATGACTGCTAGTTCTCAACAAAACTCGCCCTTCCTTCAACGGGTAATTCATTATGGACGGGAGGAGAAATTTAAATGATAGGATCCAGGCAAAAATTATCATCACCGCTCCTTGAATACCAACACGTCTTTTCGCCGTGAACAACTACCCTCCTAGTCTTTCTCAAGATATCAGCAGCGAAGATCTGTATGTGTGAGCGAAGATCCGGGAATCAATCGATGAATATCAACATAGAAAGGAGTACACAGCGTCGTCGTCTTGTCACAAGCTGATCAACGGCACCAAACAAGAGCCAACATTACAGGCCCTTTTATCTTCAGTGTCCGACGTGTTCAAGTACCCAGCTTTCAGAGTTTGAGACACCTCGTCATGGCAAAGGTCTACGACCATTACCTCGCATCTAGATGTCCTCAGCAACAGCACCGAAGTAAAATCGCCGTCGTGCCCCAAATACAGAACTTCCACGGCAGCAGAAACCTTGCAATTATCCTCACGTTCATCCTACAAACACAAAGCTGAGATCAAGAAGTCCAAAAGGAAAAAGTAAGCTGAAGAGTGAGTGAGTCAAGGCATGGGAGCTTATACGATCAATCCTGCATTTTCAGCGCGTGGGAATAGTACTACTCTCTCCCACAGCTTGCTCCTGGCCCTGATGAGCTTGCCAACAGCGGCGGACTTGATGTCATGACCCTCCAGGCTGGATTCCCATAATCAGATGCTCTCTCCCAAACAGCATCTCCAATGCGTCTGAGTTGGCGAGCGGCCATAAAACCTCTCCAGTCGCGCAGCTGAAAAATGATGTAGTTGGCATCCAGGAGGCACTTCAGCGCCACAAATGTCAAGTGATAAGCCAAATAGCACATCCAGCAAAACACAAAGAACAATCTACTTCTGAAACTGAAAACCAAGAGCCCTTCCACGTTACGGCCAATGGCATCAAAGCCTTTGGCCCCTTCCAGCACACAATGAGAAACCAAGCATTCAAGACATGCACAAGCATGATGCTCTGTTATGAATCTGCTATGTTCCATTTATAGCGTAACGCAATACACAAAAGTCATACATGCGTTGCCTCATGCAGCCGAGACTCCAACGTCAAACCAACGAGGCCAAACACAGCCTCGTCTATGCCAGGGCATGAGGGGATCTATCTCTATTTACGCCTCGAGTGTATCATATCCTCTTTACTTTTTTTGTAATGCCTCCCAACCTTATTCATAGACTCGTACGCACACCATGGTGCTGAGTGTTAGAAGCACGCACCCAAAAAAAAAAACCCTTTTCTTCTCTTGAAGTCCTCAGGAGAACCTTCTCTGTTGCAAAGACTTGTATCTTCTTAAAGGAATCAGACTCAACGACCTTTCACTGCTTGCTGATGACCCCTACGACCGAGCAGGGCGTTGGTCCGTTTCGTCGTCAAGGTGAATCTCTGCTGCTTCTGCTGAGGCGACAGAGCCTTCAAGTGCTGGGACAGATATGACCTTGTCCTTGTTCTTCCGCTCCCATGCGGCATTCTGGATCTCAGAGAGGTTGATCTGAGCGCTGAAGTCCGGTGGCGGCGGGGCCTCCTCTTGGTTCACATCATCGAAGCCTCCGAGGCCTTCATCCAACATGTCTGTGTCGTGGTCTCTGTCATCTGACGAGTCCGGCTGAGCATCGTCGCTGGCGTAGCCCTCCATTCCGAGGGAGTTTGCTGGTTCATTGGAGCTTAGAGAGTTCCAGTTCCATGTCTGTGCTACCTGAAATCCGTTCGATCCAGCGTTGTTGTCAGTCATACTGAGGCCTTCGTCTTCGATGCTGTTCTGGATATTCTCACTGCCAACGTTCGTGCTCGAACTGCCATCGTAAGGCGGAAGCTCCTCATCTCCGCGGTTTGCCGTGGACATTGTGCTACTACCCAAACCACGATTTCCGCGCGGGAGAGTTGCTTCGGCTCCGGTCCCAAGTCTCGACGATCCAGTTAGGGAGGAGCCCCCGACGAGACGCTGATCTTCCCCCGAGTCGGTGTCTTCCTCCTCGTCGTCTTCTCCGCCCTTGTCGAACTTGTCAAAGATCTCCTTGAAGCGGGGACCGCCCAAGGGACCGTCTGAGCGACGGCGGTAGAAGAGCAGGTAAGCAGCTCGGGTAATAACACTCTCTGGCGAGATCTTGCTGACCGAGGTGTCTATTCTTCCGTCAGCATCATGTTCATCAGTTCACGCGTTTCACATACCATTGTAATTGTACCACTGCCCGTCGACAAAGTTGCGTCCATAGGCGGTGTAATGGCCACCACCAAGGCCACCGAAGTGGTCATCAACAGCGATGAGATCGTAGATCTCTTCCTTGCCGGTCTCTTGGCAGAGGACGCGCTTGTGCAGGTCAAGCCCTTCGATGGGAAAGTCGACCAGGACGTCGAGCTTGTCACGGCGCCAACCAGCGCTACTGAATCTCTTCAGGTGGACAATAAGGATATCTGGCGTCTTCCACAGGTCGAATTTCTTGCTTGCTCGACGGTGCTCTTTGCAACGAGGGCAGTACCACATGTCTTGTTCAGACAACACCTCTGCCTTTTCGAATTCGTCCAGGCACTCGTCGAGGGTGATGCCCTGCTTCTTGCGAGCCATCCGCGTCTTCCGCTTCTGCTCAAGGGCAGGGTCTCTGAGCTGCTCCAGTTCGACGAAGGTCTTCTGGCCGCGGTTGTCCTCATCGTCACTGGAGTCCTTGCCAAAGACCATGTCCCATGAGTCCTCCGACCAATCGACGACGATGCCTTCGCCGAGACGGACAAGTGGACCACCGGGAACGTCATCCAAAGGCGACGGCTGGGGCGCGACATCAACAACTTGGAAAGACTGTTCCTTGCTGTTCCGCAGTTCCTTGTTGCGACGCTTGTTGCCCTTCTTGCCGTACGTTTTATTGCCCTTGTTGAACTTGCGGCGAGATCCGCCTACCTTGTGGTTGCCTCTGCCTCGACCGGGCTGCTTCATGTCAGGCTCTTGTCTAATCCATGCAAGCTTGATGTCATTGTGATTTTTGCATACCTTTGAAGGAACCCGCACAGGTTCATCCTCTTCGGACTCATCTGCCATTCGAGTCTGCTCCTCGACCGATTTGGGAGATTGCTCCTCGCTAACACTCTCACGCTCACTGTCCGCGCCGTTTGTGGAGCCGGGACTGTTAGAGTCCTGCTCGGTAGCGGTCTCGAGGACTCTGGAAGACAGCGGGCGGAAGCTCTTGTTATCATCCACCGAGTTCCAACCTGTCGGTAGCGGCGAGTCTCCGTTCTCGGGAAAGTAGCTCAGCTCAAACAGATTTTGGAGTTGGGGTGCAAGGTAGGTCTTCGTGTTGATCCATTTGGGACGGTTGGTGCTGAATCGCTTGAGAACCGGCTTGCCGTTGGGCTGTTGTTCGCCTGCGTCCATTGAGACATCGACTAAGTCATCTTCTCCTTCTACTGAATGGGAGACGACCTTACTGTCTCCCGATGAATCAGCGTCTGACTGGGATGTGATGACCATGTCAGCGTCAGTGCTGTCGTCGGTGTCCAAGAATTCGGACCAGTTGGAAAACGTTGCGACTTTTTCCAGGATCTTGCGGCGGATTGCGTCCTCATCACGGGCCTAAAGACTCGTTAGTATCACGTCTTCATCCATAAAAGGTTCACTTACTTCGTCGCGGGTGAGGACAATGAAGTGAGGGGGAGAGACCACTTCGTCTCTGAATCGGTACGAGCTACCACCCTTCTTGCGATGGATGACGGTAACTACCATGCGTTCCGTAAGGGGATCAACATAAGGCTCCTCGCTGATATCGAGCATTGACCTGACCGCTCTTTGCTTGGGAGGGAAGTTTGTCGGTGCCGCCTCAAGCTCATGGAAGGTGGGAACATCGTTGGACTGAATCTCGTCCGACACGTCGTTACTGTCGTCGTAGACCTTGAAAAACTTGCCCTTGAATTCTTCAGCTCCCAATAAGCGGTCGGCAGGCACGCCTGTCTTCTCTGAGATGGCCATTTTCAGCTGTTCAATGGCGCTGTGCTTCGAAAGCTCCACTTCAATCTGAACAGGCGCATCGTTCAGCGGCAAGAACTTGACAGTCTTGCTCCACATGTCCTCTACCGGGAGCGGCAATGTCAGATTGTTGAAGGGATCGAACGTAATGCTGATCTTGTCGCAGACGGGACACTTCAAAGTCGACTTGTAGAGACCAGTGAAGAGATCCGCGACGACTGAGTCGTCACGCTTTCGGGTGATGTCCCAGACCTCTTCAGCCATCTTGCGAATGGCCTCTTCGTCACCGATCATCTCATCGGTGGAATCCGGCTTTTCTATGTACGGCTTCTTCTTGATGCGACTCAAGTCTTCCTGCAGGGCGTCGAGCAGGAAACCCAGGAATTCTTGCGTATCTTGCTGGCCCCAGCCCTGGAACGTGCTGCGGGCACGGCCGACGGTGTTCTTGAAATCACGGGGACTGACCGCGCCTCTAGATTCAGCGTAGATCTCCTTCAGCAGGTTGCCGTATGCCATCGCCACCTGTCCCTTATAGCCGAGGGCGTTGGCCTTATTGATCTCCTTCTCGTACTCGTTGGTCAAGAAGTACTTGGTCAACTCTTCCACGCTGCGAACGCACTGAAGAGCCGAATTCATGTAACAGGTGTTTCCCAAGTTCTGCAGACCAACAGCGCCCAGACCCCTTCCGGGCTTCTTCTTTTGCGTTCTTCCTCGAGTCATCACTCCAGGAGCAGGGCTATTCCGTCCGCTAGTGCTCTTGCCTTGAGTGGCCAGGCTGGATGCGCTACCTCGCGAGGGAATGATCTTGTCGCCTTTGAAGAAGGTGGAAACCCACTTTTTGCTGGAAATTTCTTCGTCGATGACAAGGCTCATGTCCTGAGTAAGACTGTAAAGAGACACGGGGGCTTTGCCATTGTAGTTTGGGTTTGTGGTGTGGTCCACGGCAGGGACCTCGATGCGGTCGTCGCGGTCGATCTTGGTGAAGTTCGGCACATCCACAAGCAGATGCTGCCAAGGGTCACTTGAGGACTCAACGTCCTTGTCCGGATTGGGAGAGTCAGGCGGCGTAAGCGCGGATGGCGGCGATGCAGCTGGTGCAGCTGGCGCAACTGGCTTCTGGGTAATCTGCCACACGCGGATCTTGCGGTCGAGCGAAACACCCGTGAGCTCCTTCAACTCCTTGTAGAAAGCATTATACGGGGTGGCGGCGCTTCGAGCCAAGACGAGCGGAGGAGGATTCTTGTTCTTGAGCTCTTCATCAATCTGAATGGGGCTTGCCAGCGACCACAATCTGTGGACGGTGAAGACAGGAGGGTTGAGCTCGAAGACGATGTTGGGAGGACTGGCCGAGTCGGGTGCCGTGTTGATAGCTTGACGGATGATGGGCTTCTGATCATCCTTAACGCCGTACCATTCAGACACGAGTGTCCACGCGTCCTCCGGGAAGAGCTCACACTCCTCCTGACTGGTGCCGGGCTTCATCCGTACAAATTCTTCGCCATTGGGCTGTACGAGAACCTCGTGAATCAAGTCCGAATTATCCACGGGTCCCAAGGGCTCGTCTGACAAGTCCTTCTTCGTGAATTTGGGATCTCCACCGAGTGCCAACGCCTTTTCGACCCATGATCTCGATACGATGTACGCGAGGTGGCCGACTTTCGGAGGATCGTCGTTAAACGCCTTGAGTAGAGTTTGGATCGTCTTGATTTGTTCTTGCAGCGGAGGCAGGTCTACAAAGGTTGGGTTAGCAAAGTGTACCCCGCAAACAGCCTGGAAAGCACGCGTACCCTTGTCTTTCGATGCTCCAGGCTCGGGCAAGTCGACGCTCATAGCGCGAGGCAAGTGCGCCTTGGTGGTAGACGGAGCAGTCTCGGCATCCTCGGTTTGCTGGGCGGACGTCATCTCGACATCTTCCTTCATACTGACATCGGCGTCGGGATCCATGCTGGAGGCACGTCGTTTCAAGGGCGAGGAAGAACGTTGATGAGGGTTGGCATCACTGGTCATGATTGCCCTGCGGGAGACGTTGAAGGGAGACCGGCTTCTGGCTGAATCCGAGGTCAGCGCAGTGCCAGTCTCGGGACCGGAAATGTCCCCTCCGTCGAGAGAAAGGTCGGCGACGCCGCAAGGCGAGGAGGCGGTGCTCGATGCGTAGTCGGCGGAGACGAGGGAGCCGGTCTGCAAACGCGCAGGCAAGCTGGAGGCTGGAACAGAGTCGCCGCGAAGGTAGGTGGGCGTCGACTGGCCGTCGGTGGATGCAGCGGAGAAGGAAAAGGCCGGGTCGTCGTTGGGTTCGCACGACGGGAGGACGAGGTCGGCGGGGGAAGAAGTACTATGGACTTCGTCGTCGCGGGACTGGTTGCGGGAGAGCTTTCTCTTCTTTGAGGAAGACGTGGTGAAGGCGAGCTGCCTGTGCAGCTCCGGTATGGCGGCGGGGGAAATCTATGTGTAGCGAGAGAATGTGGGAGAAGGCGAGTTGCATTAGTAGTGCAGCCGGGCAATCGGTGAGCAGCTCCGGTTACTGAAGAGCAGAACCAGGGCAAAAAAAGACCGAAAAATTGGTCTACGGGGCGGTGGAAGACTCTCTGAAGGACCTCCAAGCGGACTGCGCACCGGGGCTGTGGGGGTGGGAGGAGGGAGAAAGAAGGCGGAAGGACCTGATGGAATCGGATCCCACAAGTAGACGGTAGGCCGGGAGCTGGTCCAAGTCGTGAGTAGGGCGTGGGAAGGTGGGTGTATGGGAAAAAAAAGTGACGGCCGAGTACGCAGTATGTGTGTGTGTTTGAGTTGGGGTCAGATCAGATGCAGATGTGCGCGTCTGCTTTGTGACCTGGGGTGTGCTTGTGCCGTCTTCCACCTGCCAGGTAAGGTACCTTGGTAGGTTGTCTTGGAAGTTGGCGCTGGGAGAATGCCTTGCCTAGGTACCTTAGTAGAATTAGGTAGGTAGGGGCTGCGGTACAGTGCAACGAGCGGAGGACGGATGGCGGATGGCGGTTGCGGTGCAGTTGATGCAGTTTAAGCCGATTTCATTGCTGACTTCCTGGGAGTGTCTAGGATTTTTGGGCCTCTTGGATGGACAACTGACTTGGAGACGACGTGAAAGCTGCAAGCCAGGTACGTATTTTTGTTGTTTTTGGGTTGGTATTACGGCAGGATGGGGACGGGCTTTTATTCCGTGGCAGTAAGGAACCTCAGAAAATGGAAGGTAAAAATACGGTCCAATGACATGAAAACTCTTAGTGTGAATCACTGATGTTGGACTGAGGGATATCAGTGAAAGGCAAGAAAAGAAGGATGAATGGTTGAATGTTAGGTAGTTGACCTTGCAAAGCTATCTATTCCCATTGACTCTACCCGAGGTCACACTCTTCCATCTCTCACCGACAGAATGAACGCCCATGAAAGTAAGAAGGGGGAAAAAATCGACATTCGACTGCTAGTTGCAGACAAGGTATAGAAAAAATTTGTTCTCGCCCAAAAGTCGGAGTTTCTCTCAAGGAAAACATGCATCGGCTTGCCGGTTGAGATTTCGCGTTGCGCCTGTACCGGGGCATCGATGCAGCTTTACCCCACACCGAGAGGGGAAGGAACACTGAATGACCGCCATTCGCAAATTGTAGCTGCCTGTTTGATTTGCGAGGCGCTTTATTCATTAAGAGGTCGGCTTTGTTAAGAACCTAGGTAGTAGCAAGAGAGCATAATATTTGTATCCGTAGGCAGGGAAAGGCAACTGCTCCTAATATCTGGGCATCTCTCAACTTATAAATTAGTTTCCCTTGAGAGCCATGAACGAGTTTTAAGAAGCATCAACCGGTCTTCTCTTTTCCTTTTTCATGTTATGTAGTTGTCCAGTATTCTTTTACATTAGTACAACACCAGCTGCTCAATCTCATCGATAAGCCCTCAGTCTGTCTGCAGAGCCGGACCCGATTCTCTGGATTTATCTGCTCGTTTGCTCACAGACCAGTCCAACCACTGAGATGCATCCAGCGCGCTCCATACTCTCGGCGTCCGTCCACCGCCTCTTGTCTCTGGTAGGTTTGGCTCTTCCAGACCTGGGCCTCTCAAAGTCCTCTGGTCCGAACGGTTTTGGTTTCTGTGGTCTGCAATCAGACCCAGAATAATAGGGCAAGCCAGGTGGTCCCCAGCCGTCTTACAGATTGTACGTATCGCCGTGCCAGCAGCTCTTGCCGCTCCGTGAAAAAAATCTGAAAAAATAAAGAAAAAGGTCCGCCGCAAAGCGCCCCCGCGGCCCCACTCCCCTTCCACGCCCGGACCACACAGTCTCAATCCAACCGCGCCGGCTTTGCCTGACGTCAGTCCAAATCTTCCCGGTTAGCCAGTCCAACCCGACTGCATGTTGATATAGCATCTTCTTAGCCTTGCCTTGAGCGCCTTCTTGATCGACTGCCTCCAAGATCCGCTCGTCAGGTGCGGCCTTCTTCGAACCCAGGAATATGGAACCCATCTCTCGAAAACTCCGGGTGTCATCCGGCAGCACTGGCGTTCACTCGACGCGTAACAATCAAAGCCACTCGCCACATGCCACCAATCTCTGACTCGCGTCGACTTCTGTCATCGCCCGATTTCTTGTCAGGGAGAACGGGCAGTTTCGCATTTTATTACTCGTAAAAGCACATGACATGCAATTCTCTCTAAGGTATGCTATTCTACTAGCTGACTGAATACGGAATAATTCTGGCAGCCTTGCTGCCAAACTGCCACCGCCGGAAGGCACACAGGACACCGACCTTCAGCTTTTGAGCTCTATCCCAAGCCTTATGCGAAGCCTCATCGCATCCAGCCTACCCTTAACCAACAGTGGGTGCTTGTAATGACCTCTGCTTGAACCACCCAGCTATGAAGCTGTTTGATGGCCTGTACCTCCCCAGTCCCAACAAAAAAGGACAACAATTGTGACACTGAGTCTGTTGTCACTCTAGCAAATGGTTCTTGAAAGCATGCCATGTCTCAACGCCACCTGTGTGCGAATACCTTCAAACACCACCTGTGCTTTCGTCATCATAGCTTCGCATCCGTGTCTTCGTATTCAGTCAGGTCCTTGGCTGACCGGGCACCCCGTGTTGCCTGCAGGCTTGCCCGGAAGCTGCGGACGTCTTTGATGAGAACAGGCTCAGCATCGCTGGCTGCCTCACCATGTCCCTCCTTGACTCCATTGACCTTTGTCTCTGTCTCTGTCTCTGTCTCTATCGCCTTGCCTGCCTGCGCATGCAAGTGCACTGAGAGCTTTGCTCTGGTTGGCGAGCCTGGCTTGATATACTGCTGGAAGAACTCAACCATGTCCGCCTTTGTGAGCGTCTTGATGTGTGCAGCATCTTGTTGGGCTTCGATTCAATTGTTAGTTGAAGAACATGAAATTGTCCTGGGAAACACTTACCCAGCTCAAAGTCGTAGTATTCACTGGAGATTTGGGCCCAGTGTCGGCTGCTCTCCTGATCCAGGTTCTTCAGCTTCTCGAGGCGTCTGACAACCAAGCTGCGCTTGTGGCCCTCGAAGTCGGCGTCTGACATCGAGTCCAAGTTGTTCGAAAAGAGGTTAAGGAAGGCCTCGATTCTCGACTCGAGGTACTCCGGAGTGCGCTCACTCTGGATGATGAATCTAAAGCCGTACGTTGTCGAGAAGCTTCTCACTCCGCTGAAAACAACGTATCCCAGTTGCTCCTTGGTTCGGAGTTGGTCGAAGGCCGGCTCATGGCACATTTGGTCAAGCAACATCGTCTTGGCACGGACAAGACGGTCGCTCTTGTCACCAACGTAGAGCCATACCTCAATACAGTGATTCACGTTCGCCGGGTCCTTCAAGGTCTTCTTGTAGACATAGTTGGATCCGGGAGGAATGAACAGGGATCGAATGACAGGCCACTGAGCTCGCGGAAGCACGCGGGGCTTCAGAATCGTCTCAATCATGTCGGTCAGCTTGAGGGCGTCCTCCTTGTAGAGGTTGCCGTGCACATAACTCTCAATGTGCAGCTGCGCAAGCATCTGCTTCTTGAACTGGCGAACATCCTCCGCCGTGATGTTGGGCAACTCAGCCAAGGACTCCTCCACGACGTAATCTCGCTCTGAGTTAAGATATGTCGTGTAATCCGAGACTTGGCTGAAGGGTTGCTGGAGCTCCCAGTTGTTGTATCCTCGGTTGAGTCGCTCTTTGATAATGTCGAATCTTTCGTCCTTAATCTTGAGATCCCGCATCGTGATCAGAACCTGCTCAAGGAGGACTGCTAGCTTGTCATTGTATCCACTGAGATCGAGAAACAGTCCACGGGAATCAAGTGTGACGGTGTATTGCAGACCCGCGAGTTCTGCGTCGTACGAATACGCTTCGAGGGCGTCCCTGACGAGATCCGTAAACAGTCTAGCCTTTACGGCGTTCTCTGCGCTTGCATAAATGTTGGGGTTCCGGCAGCTGATGACGAGGTTGGCCTTAGGCACCCAGAACGTGTCATCTTTCTTGAACCACGTCCGAGCGAGGCTGTCATTTCGGACGACGCGAGGAGATACTGCTGGCTCCTTCACGTCCTTCTTCTCGACCTCGAGCTTGGTGGGAATGAAATTGTTCTTGTGGGGGAGGTGAAGATCGGCAAGTCGTTCCGAAGCAGGGCTGGAGGCAGCCTTCTTGATCTCCGCCATGAACTCGTCGGGAATACTCTCATGACGGTACTCTGTACCGTACCACTTTTCCTTCTGATCCCAGCCACCAGGGAACTTCTGAGAAATAATGGTCATACGGAAGTTGTCTGGCCTCAAGCACGCCAAACCCTTCTCAATCAACTGAGAATCGAACTTCCTGAGCCGGCTGTACCCGCTAAGCAGCCACTCCCGCGGCAGAGGCTTCTGCATGACGGAACTGATCTTGCTGGTGAACCGACTGGCGGGCGTTTTTTGCTTGAACTTGAAGTCGACATCTGCCATGCCCTTCTGCTCATCGAAAATCCATTCCTGAGGTGGGGCTTCCCGGAGAAGTGAGACGTATTGGAAGAACACCTTGACGACTTCCTTGTAGTTCTTGAGGCCCTGCGCTTCGCGTCAGCATGTGAGATCGAGGTCATAGCGGCACACATGGCAAACTCACCTCCTCCGTCAGGCGAATCTGACAGTCGAAGATGCCAGGGGTGCCCGGGCAAACAGGGTATGCGCCGGCGCTCAATCCGTTGGCCCAGCCCTTTTCCTTGACGTATGCCATGATGCTCCCAGGACCCTCGTGGCCGATCAAATGGCTGACGTACCGGCTGGGCTGAGACTCATACATGGCCTCTTCGTCGAGGAAGGGGAAAAAGAGGTTCAGCTCACGAGAGTCCATGACAGGCTTGGCAAAAACCTGCATTCCGAGCTCGCTCTCGCGGAAGGGGACCTCGTTCTCCCAGCGGTTCGGGACCAGGTTCTTGTTGGGCACTCCAGCGAACAACTCAGCGACCCAATCCTCCAGGACATCCAACGGCTCCCGTCCGAGAACAACCAGCTTCATCCTGTTTGCCGAGTAGTGCTTCTCGTGGAACTCCATGAACTTCTTCCGCACATTGATGCCCTTTGTCTCGGGTTGAACCTTGAGAACATCCAGGTTACCGGTCGAGAAGTGGCAGAATGGGTGCTTTGGGTTGGAGAGTGACTTCTCCAGCTGATGCAGTCGCCATTGGTCGTTCTGCAGGTTCTTTTTGTTCTCCGAATCCACCGCGCGCAACTCTCGGTCGAGGGTCGATTCGAGGAACAGCGGCTCAATGAAGAACTGGGCGAAGCGGTCGAGCGCACCCTTGAAGGGCGAAGGATTCGAGGCCGATGGCTCCTGATCGTTGGCGGGCTTTGCTGAGACATCGAAAAAGTAGTTTGTCGACGTTGCGCCCGTGTATGCGTTGGAGCTACCCGAGTTGTTGGACAGGTACTGGGAGTATTCGTTCTCCACCGGGAACTTCTTGGTGCCCATGAACAGAAGCTGCGCGAGCGAGTGTTAGCGATAGGGAATACTAAGGGGCATGCTGCTCGGTGGTCCAGCCTCGTACATGTTCCACGGCATGGGCCATGCCAGGCATATCCTCCTCGTCGCTGAAGTTGCCGACATTGACGTCGAGGGCGGCGCTGGCCTTGTCCGTCTCCGGGTCGTGGACCAGCAAAGCCTCAAGCTTGTTGGACAATCGAATGACACGGTAGGTTCTGTCGTCGAGCGAAGGTGTCTCGAGCTGATCCGTCACCCGCTCGACGTGATGGGGCCTCGGCTCGCGGTTCAGGCCATCCGGGTCCCTGGGACCGGCGGCAACAGGATCTCTGTCAGACATGTTTGCGGATGTGTGCGAGTGCCGTGAGAAAAGGGCGGTAGGCGGTCGAATTGGGAGAATGCTGGGTATGGTTTTGGTGCTGACCCTCGAACAGCGGCGGTCGGTGCAGTTGGATGAAAGGGAGCGTACGGCACAGGACTGCAGCAGAAAGGTTCGGGAGATGATGGCTGGTGGTCGGCTGGCACGTTGCAAGAAGATGAAAGCTCTGGGCGTATGGTGGGGGAACGCCACTTTTGAAGGAGAGGGTACGTCGGTTGGACGTAGACGTAGACGTGGACGTGACACGGTCTTGGGATGACGGGAGCAGAGTCAGAAGTGGGTTTGTCGGTGGATGGGATTCGGGCCCAGGCTGGAGCAACAGGAGCACCCGCAAGCCGCAGCTACAACACAAGTGAGGATGAGAGGCGGATGCGAGTGGTTGAGTGAGTTGTAATGTGTGAGTGTAAGTGTTGGCCGTGGGACGGATAGTGGAGGAGGAAGAAAACGCAGCCGGGAAGGTGCTGGGTGCTTGTGCCAGACCGGGGTTGAAAGAGCGATACCGCCTGCAAAAGCTGCGGCTAGCCAGCATTAGGAGTGAGGGCTGGACTGCTGAACGCCTCAGTTCACTGGACCTGGGAGGCAACAATGATGATGATGCCGCCGGCTGGGGGACCTGGGACCTGGAACAGCGGTCGGCACAGGGACTTGGGGATGCCGCGTCTGCTGTAGGGGGCAGCTCGGCAGCGGCAGTGGCAGCTGGAGGATGACAAGAGGTACCCGTACGCATGAACATGGGCGAAAGATACATTGAGATGCGTCCTTCCTGACTGGACAGAATGTACCTAGGTAGAAAGGGTCTGTGCGGAGTGACTGTGGGGACGCAAGGGACAGTACGTACCGCCCTGCGATCCAAGGGTTCACAGTGTTCCGGCTAGACGGACTCCAGAAACGATGGACGAAAGCGGATAGACAAGTTGCTGATCGCTGGAACGCTAGCTTAAGCAGGTACAGAGTATTACTGGGGGAGGGAGGAGGGAGGAGGGAGGAGGGAGGAGGGAGGAGGGAGGAGCGATGAGGGATGAGGTGCTCCTCCTCGGTGTGCTTGGGGGCCTGTCATCATGTCATGGTCTGTAAGGTACCTCGGACGGCGAGTATGGCATGGGTAGTAAGGTATCTTGTTGCCAATACCGTGCAAGAAACCGCTTCACTATGACCTTGTTTGACAAGGCTGGCGCTTCTGTCGCAGCAATGGAAGGCCCTACCGAGAGTAATTTCACGCCTTGATGGATTCAGTGTTATGACTGTCATGTTCAAACGAGATGACGACCTCTGAAACATTACAGTGGCTCTTGCTCCGTGACGAGCCGTGTGCTATTGAACTCATTACCCAGGTTACCAGATCACTAAATATCTTGTGATATTTGCCATGAATATTGCTCTATGTACGAGCAAACCAACCACAATCATCAAAACAAACGACCAAACCTGAAGCTGGAGATGACAAAATGGAACCGAGATGTCGAATTCAAACTCTGTATCCTCTATTCCATCTCTTCCCTGCCCACGCCTGCCCCTGACACATCAGAGAGTCATTCAGACAAAGCTCGGCCCCGTTCGCCGTATTCGAACTTCCAGAGCAGGTTGGCTGGCGCTGGAAGCCTCATCTTGAGCTTTCCAGCCCTTGCTCTTCGCCAGGATACCCCGACACCCACAGTTCCACGTGGAAAGACACCGGTCTGTTGCCCACGTTGAAACGATTTGTCTGCCCTGCTTTGCGCAATTGTGGCAGCTCGGGGTTGGTTGCCGTTGACGCAACGCCAGACGACCAGGGCAAGGCTAAACGGCAAGTCATTAAATGGGACCGCCGTCCTCTGGAGGCTATATCTCCGGCATGTTAATGTTAGAGAACTGGACATTTGGCCAGGCCTGGCGGCCATGTCGCCGACGGCATTGCGGCGGTCGTTGAAGGACTGCGGACCAGGACGGGAAAGGTCCCGGGCTCGGAGGCTAACAAAGGCCCAGCATAGAACCAGCATATAAGTGCCATGCTCGCCATGGGTACGAGACAGCCATGTCTCCGGGTAGGAAAGACTCTCACCGAGACAGCGGATATGAATTGGAAGAGATAATTTGGACGCTGTTGCACTGTCGCGTTTTGCTATCTATTGAGTGACAGCCCATTTACGACGACGAATTTCATATCGGTGATGAAGGAGAAGGAGTCCCAACCCTGGCAAGCATGCAGACCTCTCGGACGGTTTGCTCTGAAGAGGCAATACCCTCTCGACTCCAACAGTTAGATGTCCGGATCTTCGTCAGTGTGGGATGATAGCTGAGGCAGACCGCACGATATTTGATTAGGTTTGCCTGGCGCGGAGCAGCGGGAGCGGACCGACCTGGGGAAACTTGGAAAGGATAGGCGACAGGGGACGGGGGTTTAATTGAGAAGAATGTTTGACGAGCGGCAGGGGATCTTGCTTTTGCACGACTAGCTCGTCGGGTTGTTTCTTCCATCATTCTTGGCCTCTCTTGTGTCAATATTGATATACATTCTCAGGATAGCAAGGGGCGGATGCAAATGACGGAGACGAAATAGACATGGCACGGGTTGGCCCGCCGCCCGTTTAGATGACATACCACCCCGGACGCTCATTCTCCCTCTCGTCAGCGTCGCCGTCTTCAGCCGCTCTTGGCTCTCGGGTAACGGTAGGTTTATGATGAGTTTATGTCCCAGAAATTACAACGATAGCCAGCAGAGATGAAGCAGGGCACCAGAGTCCGGTGAGAGTCCCGGACTGACACGTAACCGCCGGTCCCGTCGGAGACCTCACAGAACGACTTGATGCTCCCGGGGCCCCGTCCACCCCTGTTCCGCCCCGGATGAGCTGTTGGCGGAGACAGACGCAGACGAAGCGAGAGAAACGTGCCGCAAGGCGGTGACATGGGAGGCGAGTCGGGACGTTGCAGTTTCGGGCGATCAGCGCCGAAAAAGAAATAAAACGGGACAGGGGACTTGTTTCTCAATGTTTCGAGACGGGCAGAAGAAATTGACGTCTCCATATCATATCTGCGCTTTTCCCGGGAATCTGGTTACGAGAATTGCGAGCAAGCCTTCAAACTGCCAGCAAAAGCTCGCGCTCAGATCACTTCTGCTCGGTGACAGGCCATAGAACGGTATTGCAGATAAGTCAGTAATTTGATTTCCTCAAGCGTCAATGACTGTGAACTGCATCTCAGAGAGTTGTTGATTGTTGCCAAGCTGGTTTCGATACAGGTTGGCCTGTCAAGATTCATTGACCCTGCACTATCTCCACCCAACAGAGATGACAACCATTACAGAATACTCTATGCTCTTACCCAGATTGTCTCATGAGAATAGCGCCAATGTTCTTTTTCTCATTCGCTTCAACTTACTAAGCAACCCACGGGCTTTAATCTGCATTGAATGAGTGTGGTGTGCTGTTGTTCACATTGGACGAACCTAGGCCGTAGTGTACAGCATCATAGTGGCAACATGGAGCAAAAAACAACAAACGAATGTTCGCTATTTTAGCATTTGGCGGCTGGTTGCAAGGCGGGCCCTCTTGGCCCCTGGCGGCCGGCAACTCGGCTTGGATCCGTCTGGCGGGATGCCATGTTTTCTTCTCTGCACCGTCGAATCTCAGACACACGTGCGGGCCAACTCCATCAAGAGGGACTTCGACCCCATCATCATCTCATTCGAGCTCACTGAGGAATGATCTCTCTCTCATTCGAATGGAAAATCTCTGTTATCTTGTACTAGAGAGACTGAGAAGACAACTTTCGGCCCCCACATCCCGGGGCATTACCTTCATTAGACGTCAATCCGGTCGTCAACCTCTTGCTAGACATCTCTGACACAGCCATCGGTCAGCAAGAGCATCATGTCTGCGGCCATGTTCCGTAAGATACGTGTCGCCATAATCTTGACCGCAAGCGGTGGATTCCCAAGTCCCGAGTCCATCGTGTACTCGACCCTGTTGAATTCTTCTCTGTCCCACAGACCCAATCGCCAAATGCTCGCTGCGTTGCATATTCAATGTAGACACACATACATACGCATATGCGTACGCTGAAGAAAACCGACCCATGTAACCATGACCCGCCTTCGCTTCCGCATGTCTTCTGTTGCATCATATTGACCGTCAAACCTTAAAAACTGTGCCCTCGATGATAGCCCAGTTTTAGACCCGGATTGGCGCCGTTCTGGTGCCCCGAGTATACGACGTCAGAACAAACCGTCGAATCGCAGTTGACCGGAAAATACTCCGTATGGTTCGGCACAACGGGTGTTGTCGTGATCTCTCATCATCCTTTCGTCGACGTTTCTGCCTCTGCTGAAGCCACATAGTCCTTCTTGGAAGGGGACGAGTCATTACGACCTGCTGCCCACTTCACAACTTCTCGAACCCGCAACAGACACAACCTGCCCACCGCGGGCACCGCCTGACCGCCCGTCAAGGTCCTTGACCGCTGTGTCGGGATACGGAACCCGCCTCGTTTGCTTCTCCTCTCTGGAAAACCCCTCCTCACCGTGGCTCCAGGGCCCTACGTCCCGCTCGCCTCGCCGCTGTTGAAGATGCATCCACACTACCCCCAATAGGAAAACTGAACCGTTCCCGGTCGGTTTTGACGATATTACGTGCATCGAATGCCTGCTGTGACGCCGGGGACGTTGTCAGCTGCACCTCATGCTCGTGGTTTCTCCTCACTTTCCCAGCGTCCATGAAGGAGACAACATCGAGAACGTGGCATATCCCACAGGCCGTCGCCAGCCTTCCGCGCCCAAGCTCGGCGCCCTGCGAAGTCTTAGTCCCTCCCGGTCACAGTCTCGGCGGATCCACTCTTCCTTTCCACTTCAGACGGGCCCAGGGCCGGTCAATACCGCTCCGGAGACCATTGCCGTCCCCCGGGGGTCGATAGCCAAGTGCTCTCTGACCAGGATGTTGATAGATAGGCCGAACAAAAGGTCTGCAGCCAACCTCGCCAACAGCTGAGCCGAATCAAACAGAGTGGAACCCGAGTTCCGAGAGCGCGGGATCTCGTCCAGAACAAACAAACTCCACTGTTTCGTTTCAACTTTCAACCCGGGGTTGAGATTACCGTCGTGGGTCGAAGTCGTGGCAGCCCGACCTAGCCGCGGCGTAACGTTTGGTTCTTCAAATCTTCGGCAGATTACAAAGTCACGAAGCGAGTAAATCTCTCCTGGTTTCTTGCGGTCTTTTTTGAGCCGTTGGGATATTCCAAATCCTCCATGGAATATGGTCGATGCCTGCGTGTTCCTAAATTACGACTGTGATATGAACTGGCGGCGTCGTACCATCCAGGTGACATTCAGTCGATGGAAAGAGTAATTGATGTGTCGATGTCAAGTCGTCGCACAAGCGACACCTCTTGTTGCCTTGCTGAAGACTCGAGCTTCGATTGTTGTTTCGGTACTGCATCGCACAGCAGACTCGGCGGATTGTGTCATGGTATGACGGGAACGGCTCGTCGCAACGTGTAAAACAGGTTTGTGGCACCTTGTCGAGTCTGCTGTCCGACGGAATGTTCCTCTCGATTGATACCCAGCCGATTTCCACGCTATCAAGGGACCGCAGTTGCTCGTCGGTGCTGGATGTGCCAATGAATCGATGCACCGAAGTCGAATAAGATTCCAGTCCGCGGCGATCTCCCATGCATGAAAAGCAGGCCAAAACTCTGTTGCGAGAGGCTATGTCCCGCCATCCAAAGTCGATGTTCGCCGGGACGCCGGCTTCGTGCCCCCAGAGTTTGCCATCTTGCCGTTTTAAGCCAGCTGCTTGCAAAGTCGACGGGATCGGCAGCTCACATGCGAAAGTGGTTCCTTGTCCCGAGCCGGCCAAGGAACGGGGACCGATATACTATCCGTAGGTCTCCATCGGGATATGTGAAGAAGAAAAACGTGCCGACAGGGTTGATGTTGTTTCTTGTCTTTTCATCGGCAATCCGTGCCGGCTTAATGGCTGGGGATGAATGCCTAGACTGATGTTCCGTCACCTGTCGACTCAAGGTGTGAAATAGTGTGGTTGATGTGTTCATGCGAGATTAGCATGGGCTAAGCCTTTGGAATTCCGGAAGCCGCCACGAGTCGGCGACGTTCGTCAGCTGTTCTTGTAGTGCATCATATCGAATTGCCACGAGCTCAGTCGCTAGCTTCTACACTGCTTCGAGCACCTGGCAATGGGGTTGCCAACTCGCAGGTTTCAGCACACCTTCTGACTGCTGTGAGACTCGGTCGGCGTGCGCCACTTTGCTGATCAAATAGCTGTGAATGGTGATAGAGTCACCAGTTAGTGTTGAAGTGTTGACACTTTTTCCCATCGCGCCGCTGTAAAGGTGAAACGCGAAGCTGAGGTCATGGCCGATATTCTTCTATTAAACGTCCGCTCAGGCCTTGAGCGGCATGATACATCCCACAGTACGTGTCTACGTGTCGCATCAGAATCATGATGCGTTTCTGCTCTTGCCGTTGTATAGCACATGCTAACCCTTCCCTGGCAACTTGTTGTGAAAGCGCCACAGTGGTCCTGTCAAGCAAACGAAGGCCTGGCGAACACGTCGTGTAAGAGTGCCCAACTGGGGCAACAGGGGTATCTCGAAACGAAACAACTGCGCTCGCAAACTGGAGGTCCTCAAGACTTCTGGAATGACTTCCTCTTGCCGTTTCCACGCTTGGGGCAGTCAGCGGCCTTGTGACCCTGCTTTCCACAGTTGTGGCAATTCATAGGGGGTTTGGCGGCTCCAGAAATACCCCCACCAGGACTGTTTGAGAAGCTGCCAGAGATGGACGACAACTGGTTCAGCTTCACTTCCTTCTTCCTTCTCTTGTCCCGGAACTCCTGGGCCTTGCGGGACTCCGCGGACTTTGTCGGCTTGAGATTCACTCTTGTGCGACCCTGTCCACCAGATGATAGACCCTCGATTCGCTTCGACTTCGACTTGGACACGGGCGTCTCGTTGTCGCCGGAAGATTCATCTTCGTCGCTTGGCGCGTCGGAGTCGCCGGAATCACTTGAATCGCTTTCATCCTTCGGCGTGGCTTCAACGCCAGGTTTCTGCTCCTCAGTTAGCGCATGCATGTCGTGCTGTGATGATGAAACTGTACCTTTGCGTCTTTTTTCTTGTAGCTTCCAATCATCTTTCTGCCGACTTGTTTGGGGCTATCCTCGTCGCCTTCCTCATTGGTTCCGTCGATATCCGCGAAGCCGACGTAGACGATGTTCGGCGGCACATTCCCAGAATCCTCCTCTTTGCCCCATGATCCATCCAACACCCAATGCGTATCTGATACCTCGGCTCTAGATGCTTCCAGCGCCTGCAATCGCTTGGCCTCCTGCTGCTTGAGAGCTGCTTGGACAGCCGACTGGTCGAACGAGTGGAAGTCCCCAGTCAGGGGAGAGTTCTGGAATTTGCGCCGCTTGGACGAAGGCTCCTCGGGAGAAGGCTCGGCAGGCGATCCGTTTGCAGCAGCTCTCTGCATGAACTTCATCGTCAGCAAGCGAGAGGAGATTCCTCTGCTTGGGGGCGTCTCGGGCGCCAAGTTCTTCGACATTGTGGCGTAAGGTTTTGTCGGACAAAAATCTGCTAACTGTGGTGATTAAAATGTCGCGTGCGTTGCCAGATTTCGCAGTAAGCAAGACGGGAATGATACGGCAGGATAGGAGGTGGTAGGTCGCGATGCGCGATATGAATTCTTGATTGAAGGACCAAAATTCTGGCAATTCTGCCGTCAAGGATGCGAGACATTCGGTCACCGCCTGCACTTTGTGACGACGACGGGCATGGGCGTTTTGATGGGCCGTGTCTGGTGGGTCTTGGCATGCGGGAGCGGCTCCTTCTGACCAATGAGTCGCATCAACCCAAACACCTCCAATCGCAACTTCCCCGCGGGCAAACGCGACTCGACCACAGTTACATTCCCTCTTCCTTGCGAGGGACCTATCCTGATTACGCCGGACGACGTATTTCGATATTTTCTTTGTTTGTTCTCTACAAAAAACGCAGATTAAGGATTGGTTTCTACAGCAGTGCATATCATCCTGTCTTGCAGGGCTATTCGTGCTGGCTCGCCTTCAATTTTTCCAACCGTTCGGCAGTCAACGCAAAACACTCGGGCAATCCGGTCTCCTCCCATGTCCCTCCAAGAATCATTTTCGTGAGACCTGGAGCGCAAGTAAAGATTCTCGCCATGCCTTTACAGACACATTAGCACCGTATGTCGACCTCAACAGAAGGGGTCAAACTCACCGTGGCCGTTGAAACCGGCACACACCCACTGGCCCGGAGACCCGTCGACTTTCCCAATGAAGGGCACCATATCCGGAGTCATTCCAATGATGCCTGTCCATGCATGCAGCAAGCCCTCGCCTCGCCTCAGCTTCTCCGGCTTGCAGTCCGGGAAACAATTCTGGAAGTTCGCTACGGAATCATCGCGGGTTTCTTCACTGACGACGCGGTCGTTGGTAGTTAGCCGCTCGATGTTTGTCGCCTCACTGACGAACGGACTCGATAGAGCCGCTCCGATGATGATGACGCCGTCTGCGCGGCGCTGGCACACCGAGTAGAAGTGCTTCAGACCATGTCTCAACGACATTGTGCTTGGAAGGATCTTTGTACCGGTGAGTGCCGCTGGCGGAACGAAGGCGTGGGCTTGGGCGCGCTCGGGATTGACGAAGTGAGAGAGTTGCGGCAGCAAATGCGACGCGAAAGCGTTGGTGCAGTGGATTACTGTGGGAGTTGAGATGGTGCCGCGCGGGGTCTTGACGTCCCAGAAGGTCTCGTCTGCGCTCGATGATGATGATTTGGTTACAGACGTCGCCGGGCAATGGGTGTAAAGCGTCGCGCCTTTCTCGATGCTCTGTGTAAGAAGCCACTGCGAAAGTTTGGCAGGATGACTAGATCCCGCCGGCCATTCGTATGCGCACAAGGCTCCTTTGACTCCGGTCTTCTTCTGGGCTTCTTCGCCCGAGTAGAACTTGATATGCGACACATCGCCGCCGGCTTCTTGGTATGCCTTGAGACTTTGCGCGTTGTGGTCGGCGAATTCCTGGGTCAAGCAAACGTCGAAGGTAGTGGTCGGGTTGAAGTCGCACTGCACGCCGTGCTTCTTGACGAAGTCATCGACGGCGTGGAAGACGGCTCTCTCGTTTTGGATGATCTTCACGGCTTGCTCCTCGCCATGGAGCTTTTTGAACGTCGTGAAACCTCGAAATGCGTCCGGTCTAACGTGACCCGCGTTACGAGAGCTGGCACCGCTTGCTGCTTCCCTTGCCTCGAGAATCACAATGTCTGACCCGGAGACTCCATCCTCGATCAGCTTGTAAGCTGTCAGACCGCCGGAAATGCCAGACCCGATGACAACGTATTTCGAGGCATTGGGTACCGGCTTGTCCTCATTGTGGTTGAGGTAAGGAAACGATCTGGTTGTTTGCTGCCAGAACGAGATGCAGGGGTCTGAGAGGGGGAGACCAGACATGTTGTAAGTTGGGTTGTCGATTGCTGTGCTTTTTGGACTTGGAAATGATGCCCAGCCTTTGAAAACGCACCGGAAACTCACTTTATTAGAACCACGAATGAAGTATCAATAGCAAAGCTTCGTAAGTCAATCTGAGGCTCCGACATCGCACTGCGGCGGGAAAGCCCGACAACAACTTCAATCGCTTCGGGGCAGATAAGACTTGAGAAATCGGTAGTAATTCACAGGATTCATAGCAAGGGAACCGCACTCAATCGGAGGTGGGATCGGCATGGTCCAAGTCGGAGGGAACGCCGCCTGTTGAGCGGCAAAGACCGCCCAGCACCACTAACACCGGGAACACTCGACTTAGCAACTCGTTTCCCCGTACCCACAACGGAAGCTAGCCCCTCAAATCCGACTCCCGAAAGGGCGGAAAAGACATATCTCTTAATCTCATTTACACAAAAGAGTCAGGCACATGACCTTATCAACGAATCGTACGGGGCATGCATCGTCGGAGGGCCCGCCGACTGAGGAGCGGCCATGACCGCCCCAATGAGGAGTCGGGCCTGTGCTTCTCCAGGCTACGCGCAATGCAACTCTGCTCTTAGCCGGGACCTACACATGACCAACACCGGCAGCCGTTGCCCTCTGATAACAGGACCGGATAGTAACCGGGGTTTCGAAGATAGAGCCTGGGAAACAATGTGGTCAAAGATTGCTGGCAGGCATTATCTTATCTGAGTCCTCATGAGCACCGTTGCGAGAAACATGTATTTAGAATGAAAGCCTCTTGACTCTGTTCTCAACCAACTCTTGTTGCACTTTTTCTGCTCTCCGCGTCGTCGACCCCTCATTCACTCGGAACGGAAATGGGCTTGTTCAACCTCGGCAATCTTGCCTTCGCGGCCCGCCATGAGCGAACGCCAGAGGAAGCGAAACTGGTGAGACGGTTGGACATCTTTCTGATGACGTTTGGGTGTGTTTCGCAGGGCAAGTCTTTGTTGATGTCATACTTTATGAATTGAGCTAACGTTGACCGCAGTGATCAAGTGTTAGTCTTGTTCAACTCAATTTGGAAGGTAAACGACTGACAGACACCATGAAGATCTCGACCAGACCAACATCAGCAATGCCTACGTATCGGGAATGAAGGAGGATCTCAACCTCATGGGAAACGAGTACAATTAGTTCGTGCCACCGTTTTGATACCCATTCAACTGACAGTATGCTAATTCACAACTCCAGCTTCACGACATATTTCAATGTCGCGTACTGCATCATGCTCATCCCCTCACAAATCATCCTGACCTACGTGCGCCCTAGCTACTGGCTCTCCGGCCTCGAGGTTTGTTGGGGCGTCATCACCGGCATGTTTGCCCTCGTCAAGAATGCGCAACAAGTTTACGTTCTCCGAGTGTAATGCCACCCACCCGAGAAACCTTGTGAATTTCGATACTGACAGCCTCTCCAGACTTCTCGGGCTCTGCGAGAGCAGTGCATGGCCGGGAATGATGACTCTGTTGATGCATTGGTACACGCCCTCAGAGCTGGCGAAGCGGATGGGCTTTTACCACTCTTGCCAAGCTGTCGGATCCATGATGTCGGGAGCGCTGCAGGTCGCGATCAGAAGTTCCATGCATGGACTCCACGGTCAGTATCTTCCGATGCAATGCAATGGTTGACAGTGGGCTAACACTCAGCATAGGTCTGCCCGGCTGGCGCTGGCTATTCGTTGTGAACGCCATCATGACCGTCGTCGTTGGTGCCATGGGTTTCTTCCTACTTCCCGACACCCCCAACAACCCGAACCCCCGCGCGTTCTGGTTCAAGAAGGGACACGCCCAGCTTGCCATGGAGCGGTTGGAGCGTCACGGAAAGGCTGAACCTAAGAAGATGACGTGGGCCGCGGCAAGGTACGGCAGCCCAGCCCCCATTTGGAAGACTCAGACTAACAGATGCCAGGCGTGCATTCAAGAGCTGGGTCATTTACTTTCTCCCCGTGCTCTACATCGCGACAGTCCTTGAAACCTACGGCAACAACTACTTTAACTTGTTCCTGAAGAGCTTGAAGAACCCGGACGGCAGCGCCAGGTGGACCACTTCTGAAGTCAACGCTATTCCCATCGGCGCCAGCGCAATCAATGTGGTTTTCGGTGAGTAAGCCTCAGAGACCAATACGCCAACTAAACTAATCCAAAGTGAAGTCTGGGTCTGGGCTATCCTGTCGGATCTCTTCATGACACGCTGGACTCTCATTGTTGTACAAGGTAAGAATCCTATCTGATTTCCTCTTTCGCATTTGCTTACTATTTGCAACAGCTGTAATCGGTCTTGCCTGCTGCATCGCCATGAGCGTATGGACTTCTCATCCTACCACAACGCCTCTCGGAGTCGCCTACGCGAGCAACTTCATTACGTTCACTGCAATGGGAACTGCTCCCCTGATCTTCGCGTGGCTAGCCGACCTACTTCCCCAGGACCCCGAAGCCAGAACTCTCATTGTCGGTGTGTCCATTGCCGGCTACTACGCCATCTCCGCTTGGTCACAGGTTCTTGTTTGGCCTGCAACCCAAGCACCGTACTGTATGTTCAGCCACTCAGATGTCGTCTTCGTGGAGAACTCTCGCTGATAATTGCAGACAAATATGCCTGGCAGTCCGCCATTGCCATTGGAGTCCTCGTCATCGTTATGACTTGTGTGCTCCATTACATCGATATTAAGTACCTGAGGTAAGTTTCAGTTCCTGGCTTCATGATCGAGATTCGAGTTCTAACGAGTGTCATAGACCTAAGAGAGAAGCCTACAGAAACTCCGTGATTGAGGCGATGGAGGCCGAAGGTGTTCACCGTGTAGACTCCGCTGATGACCTTGGGGTCAAGAAGGTCAAGTCGGCGGCAATTGTGCCAGAGGTGTGAGAACCTCGGCGAACATTTCCTTTCGAGGGCACTGTCATCACGTCATGAGCTTGAAAATATCCATAACTTGCAGTACATATTGGTTGAATTACAGCATTTCAATTGCTACTTCTGCACTGCTGAACTAAGTAGTGCTTGCCTTAGGGATGCAGGCATAATGAAGTCTAAGCTCCGTGATAACTAGCAGTACGCCGGGTTATATGTTGAACTGCACTTGTTGTAGGGTAAACGGAAGGAACAGATGCTGGTCATCTCCGGATTCTCCGAAGCTCAGAGATCGCCGTTAACACTAGAGCATTCAGGCTGAACGAGATGATTCATATTCCCAGGCAACGAAGCGAAACGGTCCGGGCCAATGTTCGCCCCAGCATTAGTTAGCAACGCGAATATATTTTTATGTCCACGGGCGGACGCAATGGACAAGGCAGTCGCCACGAGCAGGTCGTCACAAGCAGGTCGTCAAAACGGCCGTGAGCGTAGTGACGAATGTCTTGATTATCGGCGTGAATCTGGAGCTTTGGATATGCCTTGGACTTCTCACCAATTCCGGGAAGGCGTCTAGATGTAAACAGTAAACTGGACCAGCCGGGAACCTTTGCCTGGTGATCAAATAGTGTATCCACGAGAGGTCATCGAAGCCCTCCAGTGTGTCCCTCGTCTAGAGCATCGACCTAGACGAAGACTCTTGAAAACAAGGCACAAGTCGCTTGTAAGACCTCGAGAAGCTCATTTGATGATAGTCGAGTGCGTTTGCTGCCTCCGTTTCGGAGCATAGGACGTTGCTGCCCAGTTGTCTGTTTAGCTTATCTCGAAAAACGGCGTCCCTGATAACTTCAATGAGTCCATAAAGAATCCTCTACCTTGCCCTCTCGGTTTCTATCTCTGGATTTTCCTGGAATCATACAGCAAACCCTCAAGTCGGGTACTCTCAGCTGGATACCAGTCTGTAGCCTCTGGTGCTCAGCTATCCCGACGCTAGGCTGGTCCTTTATATGACTATACTTGGCTGGAAACAGGAAGTCTCGATGGCGATCCTTGGATTTTGCGTATTCCTGCATATTATCTTCCCCATCATCAAAGTCATCCTCCAGGTGCAGTTGACTTTAAATCTCAATGGTTATCTTTGCGGCTTGTTTCTCTTAAGCCATATCCTTTTCCCATCTCTGCGACCTCAAGCCCGAATTTTCTCAGTAATGGGATCATACCCACGAGGGCAGAAAGTTCCCGCCCAAATCAGAAGTGGCCTCCCATACCATGGAAAGGTCATCAAAGTCTGTAAGATCCATATATGGTGCTTGCGTGTCCGGGTTCAGCAGACCATTCGGAGAAATCGAGTTGATAGGAGCCTGGATATCGTCCACTCCTGTAAGCGGAATTGCCGAAGCACAATTACCAGCCGAAACATGTGCCATGTTGCCCATGATCTTTGAAGAGGCTGCGTCAAAGGCATCGCGTTTGCCTTGAAACGCCGGAAAGTGCTCCACCATCCCCCATAGCACCGACGAGCATGTGCTGATCAGCGACTGGAAAGACTGAAACTCTATTGCCTCCCTTGTCTGAGGTGAGTTGGCATATGCAAACATCAGAGTTGTACCAGCGCAGAAGACATTCTCTACTGATTGCCAATATATCGTCAATCTCTTTCTGCGAAAGAAGTCCCGATAGAGGTGTATCATCTTGGTGGCTGACTGCGCTGCAAGCAACAACTGGGCTCCTGACGGATCGGGGTTGTTAGGAGATGGACGATACAGGCGGAACAGTGCGGTATGATGCGTGAGCTCGAACGTCTCTACAACGGCTTTGTCGAAGCTACGCATGTTCTCATTCGACGGTATGGTGTCGTGCCATTTGTGAATGCGATCATGCATCCGTGATTGCCAACCACTCATCTCTATGGGTGCGTATGGGGGTGCCGGCCTTTCGTATAGCGCCCGCTGCATCTCGGACTGAATCTGGCGGTAGCGGATCAGGTGCAAGCTGACAAGCTTAGCACCAGATTCATGCGCGTCCTCAGCCAAGATTCCATCTTTTGTGATAAACTCATCTTTTAGAACACTGGGAAACTGCGAGAGCATGAGTAATGACATCATGAGAGGGAAAAACTCTCTTACTTCGGTGTTGATTGCGCCATCCGACAGACACGACGGCATGTTTAGCGCTACCGAGATATTCCGATCCATCGAATAGGCTACCCAAAACGTTCGTCTTCTGGTGTCTAGAGCAAGAGCGTCAATTTCGCCAGGCTTCGGATCTTCGTGCAAGCCCAACTCTACAGCAAGACGGAGAGCTGCGCCGACTGTGTTCCAAACGACCCACAGAGTCGGATGAAGGTAGTAATACTGCCCGACGAGAAGAAGGGCCTGCACACCTTCAACGCCGCCCGGCAGGCCAGTTTCAGTGAGTGCTGCCACAGCCGTTTTGTGATATCGATCCGCCAGCCATGTTGGTACTCTTGCAGGGTCATGCTTAGACATCGAAAGGAGCGCCGCAGAAAATACCTCTAGGACGAAGAACAGGGCAATCCTCGCTTCAGGAGTTTTATGGGTTTCGGCCACGTCGACCACCCGAGGTAATGTGTAGATGAGTTGTAGCTTCTCTCTGAAAGTAGGTTCATGAAGCAACGGCATGCCGACGCTCGTAGATTGGAAGTACTCCTTGACAAGGTTCTCGGCGGTCTCTCTCGTCGGAAGAGAGATTGGTCTCGTCTCCAAGTCATTCGTGATGCCAGAATGGTCATGCGGGGTGTTCTGACCAGACAGTCGACTTGGCTGCAATTGAGGTGCCAAACGCGGTCTCATGAGCTCTGCCATGAGTATTTTGGAGAAAGAAGCCTCCCTTTCAGGATCAACTGGCATCGTGATCGGTGGAATTGCCTCTCTGGACGCAGCGCCAGACTCCACCTGATTCCTCAACGACACACCCAAAATGGAACCAACCTGACTGGCTTCGCGTTCTGATGTGCGCGCATGCTCAGTGATAGGAGCTGTCGTAGCTTGCTGAGAAGCGCTTGGGTCGTCTTGACCAGGGGTTGCAAGATCATCGTACTCGACATCGTGTTCTCGAAGCTTCAATTCAAGATAAGCCACGCGCTCTTCGAGACTGTGTATGTAACTGTCATGAAGCAATATTAGTGAATACTCTAACTGAGTTGCGCGGCACATCGTCCGACCTTCGGGGCACTTGTCTTCTGGCTACGGCGTCGTATCCAAAACATTCAACCCCTGCGAGTTCACATAATCGGCATCGCTACTGCCAGAGTTAGAAGTAACTCCAGTCACGGGCATTCAAAGCGTACAGGAAGCTTTTGATCACATCGTTTTTTCTTCTGCCGACAACGGATGCAAGCTGTGGTATTGGCTCTGGCCACAGATCCTGACCGATTACTCGTCACATGGCGTGGACTAATGCCTGTGGAAGGCATGGGGTTGCTTCTTGCCAGGCTGTGGTCTCAATTCCCGTCCAAATCGATGATTTAAAGCACGAAGCGGTTCACGGTACTCCGGTGCCGTACGGATATGCTGTCGAGGACTGAGGTTGTGCAGTGTAATCTCCGCCTAAGGTAGCTCCGGCAGCCGGTGGGGCACGGCTTTCCTCACCGAGAGCGGGTCCTATCCCGTCTCACCTGGGGTGAGGTCCAGTGCTTCAGGGCACCTCGGCAAGCGGGGTTTAGTTCTTCCCGACGAATGACAGCAGGTGTAATCAATCGCTTCAGCACTCCAAGCTTCCCCAGAATTCGAGTATCTGGTGAGCCGGAACCGCCCGACCCCTTCGATCACCACGACCAATTGAGCCAGCAACATGTTGTCGGTATCCAGAAGAGCGACAGGCGCCTTGTCGCGGCAGCTCCGCGTTGCCTCGCGACCCTTCACCGTTTCCGCGGCCGCCCGCACGACCGAGAGACCCGCCGTCGTCGAGAAGACCGAGACTGTCACCCCCCAGGTGTCCGACAACAGCGTCCCTCAGGAGGTCGGCCAGGCCCCCAACCGATCCCTCGTCTGGTCGCGCAGCCAGAAGCCCAGAGCCCAGGCCATGACCGGCCCCCGATTCGAACAGACCGACTTCTCCCTTCAGGTTAGACGATGAGACACTTTGGTCAACTACGACGTCGCAGCAGAGGGGCTAACCATTGGGCGATAGCCACAACCGCACTCCGCGATGGAGCTCATCCACGAGCAACCGGTGACGTGGACTCACAACCGCGTCGTTGCGTGCGACGGTGGCGGTGGTCCCGCTGGCCACCCCAGAATCTTCATCAACACCGACAAGCCCGAGATCGCTTCCTGCAACTACTGCGGTCTGCCTTACGTATGTTCTTCGACTTTTGGGAGTCGATGTAGCATCTCTGATTGGAGAGCTGCAATCGTTGGAAGCACCGACTAATTTGTGGACTAGGCCAACGAGCACCACCGCAAGCACCTCGAGTCTCTCCCGGAGACCTCTTACCCCCTCGCATAGAGAAATGCTTAGCAGAGCGCGGGACACGATGAAGTTGCGGTTACGAGGGAGAGAAATGCCAGCCGTGTGCTATAGAACGGCCAGGCGATGTTTGTAAATATAGCAGAATCAGTGTTTCGGACAACCATTCCATACTTCAACAGCACGAGCTCAAGTGACGGAATCATGACCCTGGTGGACTCGCAAAGTGCCAGAACTTACGACGAAGAGACATATAATCGCCAGCTAGAAACTTATGGAACGGTTGGCGTGGTCGCGGCGTCTGCAAAGATGGAGGAAACAGGTAATGCGGGCGAAGAGTTGACAGCAACTCTAACCAACGGACGGACGGCTCTGAAAACGAGGAACGAAAAAAAAACCCCCGACATATGATAACCGACGACATCCTAAGCCCTGCACTTACCCAAAGGCCAGGATCGCTACCATGGATAGCTTTCCCAGAATGCGTAGCTGCTGTAGAAATTGTGTGAACAGTTAAGATCAGCTACAAAATCGCAGCCTAAATCAATCAAAGCGTTTCACGCTGTCGATCTATTCAGTCTGTACCTGAAGTTCCGGAGTTGAGGGTGCACAGCTCGCAGGCTCTGTGCGTATCAAAGTGCCTTGATTCGCAATTAATCTGACCTCACTTACCCATCGAACCTGCCCCACCAGATTGGACCGCCTGCGACCATGCATTTTCAACTCCAAGCACCCAGCGAACATGTCTCCAACAACACCACAAAACCGCCAACACATCTCTGCGACAACCACCCTATTGATCCTCGGCTTCCTAGTTATCTGCCTCTTCCCAAACTTATTCCATTTTCTCTGGCAGCTACCCTTCGCGCTCCTCGGCTTCGCGTCCTCGACTCCAAGCAGGTCAACCCCACGTCATACCCCGCCACCAGCACCAGCAACGATGTCTTGGTTCCAGAAGCAGTTCACCCTGCCCGCGCGCTCGCGCGGCTCTTACCTGATCACCGATGAGGTCGTCGGTCAGCTCCCCGAGCTCAAGAATTTCAAGGTCGGCATACTCCACCTGTTTGTGCAGCATACGAGCTGCGCCCTCAGTCTCAATGAGAACTGGGACGACGACGTCCGGGCCGACATGAGCGACGCGCTGGACCGCATCGCGCCCGAGGCTGGACCTAAGGGACAGGAGCTGTACCGTCACAGCGCCGAGGGCCCTGACGACATGCCTGTAAGTCTGCCTTATTCTTATCATTGGACGCGGTGACTGATATGACGTAGGCACACATCAAGAGCGCTCTTGTCGGCGCAAGTGTTACCATTCCCATCAAGGATGGCAAACTCGTAAGCTGAGAAGCTTTCCTGAAGACTGAATCATTCGCTCACTCCTACATAGGCTACAGGAACCTGGCAAGGAATCTGGTACCTGGAGTTCAGAGCCAGCAAGCACCAGCGCCGGCTCGTGGCCACCATCCAGGGAGAACGCAAGGCATGAAGACCAGAGCTGAGTCACGAATAGAAGAATAAAAATTACACTTCCTCAAGAACTGCAAACTGCCAATTCAATGACATTGGCGCAATCATGAAGGCGAAACCTATTGTACAACCACCGGTCTAGTACTGTAACTTTTGACCTACGCCGAACGCCTCGCCCGATCCTTTTCAACGAGATGCACCATCTCCACATCCGCATCTCTACTGCTCGCCATTCTCATCCTTTGCCTCTTGCATATCCGTGTCATCGCCAGCCAGAACCTTGATCCTGGGCACGTATCCTTCCGGTGCGCTGGAGCCCGGCGTGACAGCCACGATGTTGCCGTTCTCGTCGACGAATTCGAAGTTGTATCTGCTGAGAAGATGAGGGATTGCCGAAAGTTGGGGTCCGTATCTTGCAGTGTTATCGTAGAGCTCGAATAAGGGAACAGCGAGAAGCTTCATGTTCTTTGGTACGCTAAGCACCTCTGTCATGGATGTCAGCAAAATCCGTCATATTGAGAGGACATCGGCGCCTTGCGCATCTTCTCGGAAAACACATACTGCTTTTAGGCAACTGAATGAAGTAAAGCTTTTTGCATTCCTTCGGCCTAGTTACGTGCGCAGGCACGAACGGGTACATGAACGTCTCGAAATTGGGGCGCCACCACTGCGCCAGGCAATCGCCAACCTGCCAGTCCGCCGGCTCCTCACCCTCGCCGATTCTGCCTACGGGCGCAAGACGCTCGTCGAGGCGGGCCTTGAAACCCTCGACCTCGTCGTCCTCCGGCCGGAGGTAGTCGCCAGGCAGCTTGAAGAAAGCGTTGGCGATCTGCAGCATCAGGATGTGCGGGTGGTTGTGCTCGTGGCAGACGAGGATGCCCTCGCAGGTGCGACGCATGCCATGCACATTGTAGTGTTCTTCGAGACGCTTCAGACGGGCGATCACGGAGGGGTCCTCCTCGGGCTGGGTCTCCTTGACGCCAAAGGTGTAGTTGGAGAGAGGGTAGAGGCGGATCGTCTCCGGTTGGTTGGAGTTGAAGGAGAGGGGGATGATGGGCGCGTGGCCCGACTGCAGAGCTGTGGTAGTAATCGTGGACATTTTGGAAGCTTCGACTCGGTGATGGGAAGTGAAGCGCAAAGAATTGTTCGTGTTCAGTTGATGGGATGTGGCAGGCACAAGATGGCTGGAGCTCAGGCCAAGATGGAATGCTCAAGCTCCACGATTCTGACAGGAGGCAGTTGGCTGAATAGAGAAGGCGGTGAAAGCAAGACCCCTGAGAATCGGCCCCACCTTCCTTGTCGGCGAGCCGCAAGTTTAATGTGCCCCGGCCAACTACACACGATGCATGCCTTCTTAATTATCAACTGTCAAGATGAATGTGAACGTTCAACGCGCCCCGTAGCTCACTTATGGCTCAATTACAAGGCTATCGCCATAATCGTTGCCAAGTTCTTAGTGTGTACCATTGAAGGCTACATAGACCTGGGTACCTATCACCTCAGATAATTTTGGCCAGCGTGCTTCGAGTAATTACCAGTACGCTCTTTCTGTCTGGTCCGAGGGATGTTCTAGAAGTAGACTTCTCCTAAATTGGACCCCTCAACTCAACCTGGCTCTTTGACGCGGCACAGACTGTTTGGTTACTGAGGTCCTAATGTCTTCTCAATTGATCCAAAGCATATACAATCTCTCAAAGAAAGATTCATTCTTACTATGTAGTGATTCCAAAGTGGGAGGTGAGAACTAAAGTCAAGTCTAGACCTGGGAAGTTATTTACATACAGATGTCCTGTTCAGTATGCAATCTGCTTCCCGTCATGAGGTGTGAATTTACAAGGTCAAGCTTCACAGCAAAACCAAAATCCGAGCCAGCACATTCATCAGAAACTGATTAACGTCTCTTGATGACTGTACCAAAACCAGGAGAGCAAGAGAGTTGAAGCGGGCAGACAGCAGCCATCATAGTCACCTACTTACCTTCTTTGGGAACTGTTGAGGGCTTCTTGCCTTCCAAGGCAGAAACAACCAAGCTCCTGCCTCTTAAACGAGGTAAAGAACTTTTCAATCTTTCACCCTCCCTCCCCCTCTTCTTCTTCTTCACCTTTTTAAATACTCCACCTAGCCTTCCCAAGGTTTCCTCTCTTCTGCAACCTGCCGCTACTCTTTCCCTACCAACATACCTGGCCCGCACTCACAATTTCCACCTACTTTCCCCTACTGAGGTGCATCGCCATTACTACCCCTTGGAGGCTCGACTTCGCTATTTTGGTAGCCCGGACGGTATAGCTCCTTTTAGGCTTTTAGACCTCGTCTATGATACTGCCCTCTGGTAAGTTTTCACTTCTTCGCAGGCAGCACAAAAGGAAGGCGTGCCTTTACCTTGCAGAAGCCATTTGCCCGTCTTCTCGCCCAAAATTTCTCGCATCTCTGCTTCATCCTTTACGAGGTTCTATGAGCAAAAATAATCCTCATCTCTCGAGTTTTGAGCAGCTATCATGTTTTCATTTGAGCCTGTCGACAACATGCTTCATTGGAATTTCAAAGCTGTTTCTGTTTTGGACTCTGTACTAATGATTCAAACGGCAGGTTCCCAGGAATTTACCGAACTTCCGAGTTTTGGGGTTCATCTTGAGTCAACATGGACGGAGACGATTCAACGCAGGGCCTATCAGCCGCGGCAATCGCACACGACGCGCTGGAGAAAGTGCAGATGGAGGCGACGGGAAGGAAGCTTCGACAAACCAACCTCAAAACCACGAAGCTTCTCGGGGGTCTGAACGAGACCCTCCTCAATATGGCTGATCTAAAGAGATCTGCAAAATACTGCGAGTCCATCAGTCAACTGCAGTCCAGAGCTCAGCTGCCGCGCTTTGTCATTGGAGTGCTTGGTGGCACGGGAACCGGAAAGAGCTCGCTGATCAACGCCGTTCTGGATGAAGAGCGTATCGTTCCCACCAACTGCATGAGGGCATGTACAGCCGTGGTCACCGAAATTCTGTGGAACTCTTCCGAAGACGTCGAAAAGAAGTACCGTGCGGAGATCGAGTTTCTCACCCAGGCAGAGTGGACTCAGGAACTGATGCAACTCCATCGGGACATGATCGATTCTGATGGCAAGATTTCGAGAGACGCTAGAGATCAGAATACCGATGCCGGCACAGCCTATGCCATCCTTCGATCGGTGTACCCAGACGTTACTGATGAACAGCTTGAGCAGACCCATCCCACTGCGCTTGCTAGCCAGACTACTGTGCGACAGGTTTTGGGAAAGACTGTACTCATAGAAGAGCAGGCATGCGAGGTATTCTACGACAAGATTCAGGCATACGTGGATTCCGAGGAGAACATTGACTCCCAGACGACTGGAAACTCCCAAGTCCCGAAGATGGCCCACTGGCCGCTGGTAAAGGTTGTCCGCATCTTCCTCAAGTCCAAAATCCTGTCAACTGGTGTGGTCCTCGTGGATCTGGTAAGTTCTCCTGCACACATTTCATCAAATACCCAGCTAACACTGGAACAGCCCGGAAGTCAGGACACAAACATTGCAAGAGCAGCGGTTGCCGCGAAGTACGCCAAGGAGTGTACCCGTCTATGGATCGTCGCGCCTATTACTCGAGCTGTCAATGACAAGACGGCCAAGAACTTGATGGGCGAACATTTCAAAAAGCAGTTGAAATACGACGGCACGTACGCAAACATCACCTTCATCTACACAAAGGCAGACGACATCGCTCTTGATGAGGCTTCCGAAACACTGGGTATCAAAGACACGATTTCCGACATGTACAGGCGCTGGAAAAAGTTCAAGCCTGAGATTGAGGGCATGAGAAAAGACGCAAGGAAGCTAGAGATCAAGAAGTCAAGCCTTCATGCGGAATACCAAGTTGCGGCAAACGACGTGGACACCTGGCAGGGCATTTACAACCATGCTGCAAGCGGAGAGCGAGCGTTCGCTCCCTTCCAGTCGCCTCAGAAGAGAAGACGTCCAGCTGACCACGATTCGAGCGACGAAGGGGAGTCTAGCGATGACTCCGCAGATGAACTTGCTCAAGATGATCATCGGGAGCCTGTGACTGTGGAGATAGCCTCTGCGAGACTTCAGGAGCTCAAGGACAAGAAGAAGAATCTCAAAGATGGGAAGAAAGAGGTCGGTCGCGAGCTTAGCAGACTGAGGGCTAGCATTAAGCAACTCACCACTGAGCGTTCGGAGATGAACACTCAGATGTACAAAATGTGCATACAGGGTCGAAACAAGTTTTCACGACAGGAAATCCAGAAGGACTTTGCTTCTGGTCTGAAGGAGTAAGTTCTGTCTGCTCTCTCATGGTAGTCTTATTCTAACAGCCGTGCTACCAGATTGGACGACGAACTCCTTGCTACTCAAGCGCAGAACGAGGAGCGACCACATGATGCTGGCAATGTCAGCGATGCTGATTATGAGAAGATTGGCCGAGAGCTGCCGGTCTTTTGCATCAGTAGCAGGGGATATCAGCAGCTTCGAGGACGCATGAAAAAGGACAGACGTGTCCCTGGATTTGTTTCGTCGGAGGACACCGAGGTGCCTGGCCTTCAAAGTCACACACTTGACTTTGCGGCCGCTATCCAAGATGATTACTTCAAGAGTCACTTGAATGAGGTTTGCCGCTTGCTCAGAGGAATGGATGTATTTCTTGCTGGCGATGAAGTGCTCCTCAAGATGTCGAATGCTGAGAGAGAGGACGAATGCAAGCATCTGGAGAAGTCGCTGGCCAAATTGAGAAGTGTAAGACATGGAGCCGCAATTTTATCCGTTGGACTCAGCTAACATCAACTTCAAGGCACTCGAAGAGTCTGTGGTGACTTGCATGGAAGATTGTGAGAAAACAGCCGCGAAAGTTCTCACTCGACTTCCTAAAGCCGCAAAGAAAGCTTCTGCTGAAGCTCTGGCAATGGCCAAGTCTTGGGGTGCGGCCCGTGAGTCTGGTGGTCTTCGTTTCCCAACTTACCGTGCTACTTGCCGACGCCGGTCAGTAAACTATCCTCGCGCTTTCTCGCTCTTCCGGGCATTTGCTAATACATCATCATACAGCGGAACCTTCAAGGGAGCTGCTGGGCCTCGCGACTTCAACGAGGGTAAGCGCCTTTAACTTACTTCACCAGCATTCCCCCCTTTGCTAACACACACTCTCAGATCTTCTGAAACCCATGAAGGACATAATCGCGGGCTACTGGGATCAAACATTCAACAAGCGGTTTCCAGAGCTGCTCGATCATCTCGCTAGTACTTTCGCGCGTCTGATTGGTGCTTTTCATGATCGAATGCAGGGCCGTCGCTTCCTGATGGAGAATACCGACTTGGTCCATGACATCCTCACCAAGCACATTGCTGCTTTGAAACAAGCTCTGATCGACATGGCGAAACAGCACAAGAAGCTCGCAAGAGAAGCGCAGCGAGGAGCGAACCGCGCATTCCACCCTGCCATCGAAGGCTCTTTGCGAGACACGTACAATCAATGTGCTCAAGTCAGAGGTAAGGAAACGCTCAAGTTAGAAGGGGACAACACATTGACGGAACGAATTTGCAGGAGCCGGCGCCTTCATCGCTCTTCGAGAGACGATGGAAACCCAAATCGAGGAAAAGCGGAAAATGGTGTTCCTCGATGCCGCTCGTGACACTGACGAGGCGGTGCACAGGCTCCTTGAAGACCTGGAAGACATGATTCGCCAGAGCTTGAAGAGTGTCATCAGTACCATGGAGGAAGATTACATCGGGCTCATCGGAAAGGTCGCTACTGAGGCCGACAACCGCGACAGAAAGATGCTGAAGCCTGTCGTCGAGGATTTCTACCAGAAGTTGCTTGTTGCTCTGAGCGAGCCGGAGGAGGACCACCTTGTTGACGAAGTCGCTGATGACAGAGAGGTGGAGGATGACGAAGAAGGCTCTTTGTACCACGAGAGTGGTTGAGACGTATGTTTTGTGTTTGTGGCCTTGGATTGTGGACTTTTGTCTGCAGCGGCCAGTGTTTTGTCGTGGATACTTGCTTTGGTACTACTTGCTTGCTCTTCTGGTTTGATATGAGGCTGCTTATCCGTGGAAGGATACACAGAGTCGGAATCAGATATGGGGGTTAAATGGGTTTCCATAGACAACCGATTTCAGATGTGACTTCTTTCCTCAAGGTGACATTGAAGGAAGTACTCCGTGAATTCCGTTTGATCAGTCTCGATCCCCAACTCAACGGTCATTCCTGCGATTCGAATCACCCTCCGTCGCCAGTTCCCCAGAATTCTAGACTGCCGATTGTGTCTGGGGTAGTTGCCGTTTATTTTTGGGTGACACAACTCTTGTAAGCCGGTACTCGGATGCGTAAGTCTAGCTTCACAGAGGTTGCAGAATAACACATCAATTCTCGTCTTGATTGCCATGCGAAATATTTGGGGATTGCTGTGCCGTTCCATAGGATGGAGAATACAGAGAACTTGAGGCGTTGATTTTCACTCCGAGCTATACACTGATCGCACGGAGAACCCGGTGTGACCTAGGCACTCCAATCACCGGCCGGGGACGATTTCCACTACAATACTCTCGTCACAACTCATTCACGACCAAGGACGAATGCTATCCGCGCAGACGCCGCAAACACGGCACGAAGGCGGCCGTTGCTGGAGATTGCCCTCCGCCGCCGGCTCCGAGCCGCGGCGCCGGAACCGAACGGCGGGGCACCCTTGCCAAGACCAACCGCGGCGGGCAATGCCCGGCTTTCGGCACAGCCGTCATGTATGACCGCACCGTGCAGCGGTGACAGCGGGAGAGCGACGGCCATCGACCACTTCTGGCCCGCGTTGACAGGCAAACACAACGGCGTTGGGACGTAAGGGGCGACGGTGACAATCGACAGAGTTTTTCATGCATGGATGCAGGTCTAGCTATTACCACCGCATAGTTGCTGCTCGTCTTGTTCAGCTCATCGGCGTTCTACACCGCTGTTGAACTGCAGGGACGCCACTGAGACGTTGCACTGGGATGCCGTGGGCATTGTGTCTTCGGTGTCCAAGGCAGGGCAAAAGCCATGGGTTAGAATTCTTTTTGTTGCCTCCACGTGCAATGCGCAACGCAAATGCGACTCAGCACCGATGACTGCATTGCATTTCAGCCGGGGCGAAACAATTAATCAATTTGGCGGAGACCCGGGCCTTGGAGGCCTGCGAGTGATCAGCGAGACGAGGGATTGGGCAGGGAGGTTCAGTCACGGGTTTCCGGGACCGGTGAGAGGGCGTGGCCAGTCATGCGCCGTGGGGAGCGGCCGCGTGACACCCAAGAGCCGGACTCGGTCAGGGAACCGCCGTGGGTTACGGCGGGGTCTTGGAGGAGGGGTGATGGGGACTTTGGAGGGGGAAATGGACCTGGAGTTGAGTGGGTGTGGGTTTTCCCAGTCCGACATCACCACGACATCCCACTTCCAACCTCCTCCCGCATGCCATGCCATGCCATGCCCTGCCATGCCCCTCCTTCTCACCTTATCTCAGCGGAACGTCTAGGAAAGTATGTCGGAAAGTCAAATGTTATGCATCCCACTCGACTCCCCTGGCAACCGGGAGAACGGCCTGTTGGAAACCTTGTTTAGTCGATGACACTGCAGAGGAAAAGGTGGCGGCATGTTTGGTAGGCACTTGAGGGGTCGCTTTGGCGTTGAGCGAGCAGGTCGGCCGTCAGTGCTTGTTTTGAAGCCTCAACCTTGCCCTCGAGTATTGCGCGGCTTCGTCCCAAGGCCGAAAGTCTAGGCTTCATCCAAAACCGACCCCGCGTTATCAGCAAAGTCAAGATTTTGGTTCTTGGCGACGGCGGGTTCGCGGAAAGCGGCGTCGGCATGTGTTTGCGTGTAAATCGAAGGGAAAAGGAAGCGAAAGAGAAAGATAAAGGGGGTGTGTGTGCAGATGGCGCTCATCTCATGATGGGCGATAATGGGCAGATGTGCACACGTGTAGTTGGGAATGAGGCGTTAGCCGGGGGCCGAGATCGTTTGATAGCTCTGGGGTTGCAGCAATCGTTGCAACAGTGACTGCTGGAGACTGTGGTTTAAGTTTCCGTTGTTTCTTTTTCGCATTCTTGGGTTCTTGATGTTTTGATATTGGACTGGGGTGAGCGAGTGATGATGGGTGGGCGGATGTTATCGAAATTGTGGTTGATCAAATCAGATGTGCAGGCGTAGACGGGAGAAACGCCTATCCAGTCAACTCTAGGGTAAAGCGCAGCAAGAAGGGAGCCCTGACGAGAAGGTGCTACTGCGCAAGGTATGTAAGTCGAAAGAAGACTTGCAGGTGCATCATTAGATGGACGCATGTGAGTCTCGAGATTGAGTCGAGAAGGGACGGAAGAGGCGACGGGATTGGACGTCAGGCAATCGTTCCGTCCATGATGACATGATCCACCGGTGGTGTTCCAGCTCCAAGCTTTGCTTGATATCGGGCTCGTGAAAGTTGAGAGAATGGGGGCAAAAGAAGGAAGGATAGTCGGGGCCCGGCTGAGAAGATTGTCCACGTGCCCGTCTGGTGAAGCATTTGAGTAGCAGTTCGGTGAGATTGAGGCCGTAGGTACCCGAGAGCAACGGCATGACGCTCGAACGATGGCCTTGGATTGGAAAAGATACCCGCCTAAGGGTACCTGACGGTGGTGGTCCAGGTGGGAAGTCCGAGCCTGACAAGGCGAGGCGAGACGATCCGCGAGGCGAAGCAGACACGCAGAGAAGGAAAAAAGTACGCAAATACGGGCCCTGCGCTGGATGGAGATGACCTAGAGAGAAAAATGTGCGTGTGAGCGTACTACGTAAGGTACTGGCAATCGTACCCTGGAAATGGAAGGCGCTGTAAGGTAACATCGACACTGCCAACTGGATGGATTGTCGGCCAGGATCCGCGCCCACCGAAAGCACCGAACGGGCCCTGGAAGCCTTGGGATTGCCCTTGTGCTTGGCTTTTTGGGGCACCCACCCACCCCTCCTTCCTCTTCCTGACTTCCAGGTTCCTCTTCTCCCCTGGCAACAGGTACGTACATTTCGATGAGGGGAGGCCGTGGAGGGACGGGAGAACAGCCATTGATGAATGACCTGCCTGCTGAGGAGATACTTTGGTACCGCAGTACTCCCCTCTGTAAAGCCCTGAGAGAACAACAGCGGACCAACCGACCCAAAGTCCAGACAGCGGGGATCGGGAACACCATCTTTAAGGATGTTCTAGGCCTCCCAATGTCCGCCCCGCCAACCACGATTGCTGGACGGACTCGCCGCACTTCTCTCTCTCCCGTCCCGTTCCATAAGGTACCCAAGTTCTCTTCTATCAGGTCTCGAAAAAAAATAAACCCACATCGCACACCAAAGTCCCCCCTCATCTGCGCACATTTGCTGCGCTGCGCATTCTGTCACCTGTGGCTTTCTTTCCACCTCTTTCCAATCCAGCCCTGGCGAATCGCTTGTCTTACCCTTAGGTTGGTTTCTATTTGCTTTGCTTTGCTTCGCACGCAACCTCCCTGGAATTCAACCGGCATCAGATCGCAGAAACACACACCCTCGAGACTTCTGGCCTGATTCCAGACCACCACCCCGGCCCCCCAGACTTTGTATCTCTCTACCAGTCTCCAAGACGTTCGACTCCAACTCTTCTCTCCGCGGGGAAAGATCAGAGCAGGAGGAGAAACATTCCCCGTCCTCACACGCCAGCGCGCGCGCCCATCTGCAACCCGACGCTCTTCTTCCCTCGCCCCCAAGGGTACGCATACAGTATACACTCCTCGCCCTGTCTGTACGGTAGTGAACGGTGATCAGTACCGCGTACCTTGCCTTTTTGCGCTGCAAAAGTAAAGTGGGCGTGGCCTGGACGCAACCGTAAATCGCACATCCCGAACAAACATTGGACGCCTCCAACCTTTTTCGCCGCGACGGGCTCCCTTTTCTCAGACGCCTTGCGTCATGCCCACGCCTAGGAACCCGTTGGCCCACCTTCTCGCCCCGATTCCTAACCCTCGTCCGCCCGTCTCCCCTGCTCGCCGCTACCGCTACCGCTGCCGCTGCCGCTGCCGCTGTCGTCGCTCCCTCCGTCCAGTCCTTTTAGGTTGAGATATGGTGGTGCATATGGACGATGCGACGAGGCTCATCGGAGACCTGCATCAGAAGCTAGCCGACCTCGACCACAAGGTTGCAGCCTACCGCCAAGACATGGCAGCCGAGTTCCATAGGTACTCTCAAAATCTCCTTCAAGACCTGCCACACGACATACAAGCCGAGGTCGATCGTCTTGTTACCGCTTCCTTCCACAACTATCCCGCTCTCAGTCCCGCCCTCGCCCTCAGTCCACCACGAGACCATCCTGACTCACCGCCACCGCCGTCCATTCTCGACACCGAAATCCTCCCCGAAACAACCCCCGACCGCCGTGATCCGACCCCGAAGCCGCAGTCGCAGTTGCAGTCTCCCTCCTCCAAGCCTCCCCCATCCGTCACTTCCCATGCCGGAACTGCCACCCTAACCTCTCCCGACAGTGCTCACGACCGGGAAAGGGATAGGGAATTGCACGGCCTCTTCACGCCAACTTACCTGCCTCTGCTGGACAGCGCACACCCTCCCGCCTCAATGAACCACTCGCCAGTACTCTCGCCCTTGTCAAAGCCTGATACTGACGACAACATGGGCCGGCGCAACTCCGGACAAGCGGGCGACCGTCCTTCGGGACAGGTCTCTGTGGCCGCGACGCAGACGCCTGAGCGGCCGAACCACGAACGCCGCGCGACGGACGACACCACCTCCTCTGGCACCTCCGAGCACAGCGACTCCAAGGTGCGCCGGAGTGCTTTACGTCGGTCCTCGACCGGATCCAAGCCTCCCACCAGCCCCCGTCGAGTCCGCTTCGAATTCGAGGGAACTGAGGTGTTGCCTACGGCCTCGCCGCAGTCGTCCGAGCCGTCATTGGTACAGTCACACACCCTTGCCAATTCGAGGTCACCTCCGCCGCCAGAAGATGACTCAATATCTACTGAATCGTTGTTGGGGCCCGATGAGGACTTGGGGCCTCCGCCAAAGAAGGTCTCCTCTACCCAGGCTCTTCGTGCCCTGTCACGAGCCCCCTTGGATGCAAACACCGTCTGGACCGTCGTGAACCCCGATGCTCAAGGATCCGACGCGGAGACAGGGAACGGAAGTATGGCGACGTCTGATTCTGAGAGCTCGCTGCACGCAAACAACCCCACTCAAAGTCAGGCGAAGCGTCAGGAGGTATCGAGGAAAGCAGAGACAGAGCGTGGGCGTGAACGGACGCCTGAGCCATCAGGTTCCGCCTCGCCTGAGCCAGCCGAAGCCGCAAGGTATGACGATGACAGCGACGACAGCTCCTCGGATGACGGATTTCTTGCCATGGCAAAGCCTAGATCCTTTGCCAACAAGAAAGCCATTATGTCTCCGTTATCCCGCTCCCCGACGAGAACAGTTCCTGTGCCTCAAAGTCCTAGCTCAGGGAAACAATCATCACAAAATGAAATCAAAACGGCGACGACGACAGGATCCGGAGGGGCTGTTGAAGAGGAGGATGACGAGGATATGTTCCACTTTGAGGGACTGAGTGCTCCCCCAAAGCCTCGGGCGCGCCCCGCGCCGATACAAGAAGAGGAAGAAGAAGACGATGACGAGGATGGTTCCAGCGAGCCGGTAACTCAAACCTTGTACTCGACCTCACCGGCCATGTCCATTCGCAAGCAGGCAGAGCCACAGATCCCAGCACACCTCATCTCTGGCTCAGTTGGCTCCTTCCGGGGTCGTCCTGTCATCATGCCTGTTGTGAAGAACCCCGATGTGTATCAGCAGGCAGCGTCTCTTGGCGACATTAGTAGCTTCATCGGTGGACTAGACGGCCGCAGTGGTGTTGACGACGGCGATTTGAACAGTTATCGAGCCAGTGTTGGGCAAGCACTCTTTTCGGGGACACCTCGAAGTTTGACGGAGCGAATGATGATGGAGGAGGCACAGAGCCAGAGACGAGCGGCTCAGCGACCACAGTAATGCGGCGGATCAGACCGCGACTTTTCACCAAATTTCATGTGTATGATACGGGTATGGGCGAATGTAGAGAGTTTCGAAAGTCTGTACATAGACCGTGCTTTGGCGTTTAGAGAGGCATTCTGGCTGGGCAACTGGGCGGTGCGGCATGCTGAGTCTTTGGATGGGCGGGTACATGGCATACCAAACATCATCGTAGTTTATAAATCCCAAAGTCGAACGGACCTGAAGGTCATTGGAACGCAGAATACTGAAATTTATTGAAAAAGGAGCGTCGTTGAAAAGTGGTGTTGTCGGCATTCCGAGCCCCTCGGCCTCTGTCAGATCGGAGCTGGTGCCCCACTCCAAATCCCGGAAGAGGTGGAAAAAACCTGTGCCGAGTCTCCGGGTCTCCCGCTTGAACCCCGGCGGCCAATCCCGCTGCAGATGATTCTCAATGCGCCCAGAGAGCTCCAACACCCTTACTCCAAATCGTCCGACTATCCCAGCGTCATTGACTGCCAACATCTACCACACCACAATCGCGCACGCAGTTCAAAATGGGCGGTCTCAATCTCGAAGTTTTCAAGGTGCGTTCGCAAACTTGTCGAATCTTGTTTTGGCGGATTTTCTAAGAAACCCATGCTAATTGACATGCCTGCAGTTCGGCATGTATGTCATGTTCCCCATCGGCATCATGTACTACTTCGGAACGAACCTCGACAACCGCTTCGCCGTCCCCGAATTCTGGCCCAAGGCGGAGCACTCGCACAAGATCCCTTTCGACCGCGAGGATATCAAGGAGGAGTACATCAGACTTGCCAAGAGGCAACGGCTGGTGGACGAGATGAGGAGGGAGCGTGAGAGGGCGCAGGCTGCGCAGAACCCGCCTTCCAACGAGGATCAGTAGACGAATTTTGGGTGCAGAACCGCGGTCGCCTCAGGGTGACATCTTCGATCTGGTACAACACGAAACCGCAACCGAACGAGAGGCTGTGGCAAAGTTTGCCAGCTAAAATAAGACATGTTGAGATGTCGGGCGGGGCGGATGAGGTGGGCTGTATCATATTGGCGTTCGGATGTCAAAACAATCGGCTTGGGAAATTTTCATGCGATGGATGAGGCGTTTGGGCGGGGGACCTTGCTGTTTTCGATTCTGGGCCCGTGTATACCAAACATCACCCCTCAGCGCATCCACGGTGTTGTGTTATACGTGTGTTCTACATGTTGTACAAATATGAGCAGAGACGGGGCCCGATTTCACTCGGGCTATGCACACATTATCCCACTGGCCGGGCTATGAGTCCAGGTTGTCCTCGATCTTGGACCACGCCTCCTCTGTAATCTCTCCCTTGGCGGGGTTTCCGTACACGGCCTGCACCTCGGGGATCTCTTGTAGCGCGCTCAACAGCTCGGCCAGGTTATCCGCTTGCTCCGCACCGTCGAGCTTGACCTGGGTATCTTCGTTCGCCGACCAGATAATCTCCGACGACAGCAGCTTCAGCTCGAACCTGGGTCCCACGCCATTGGCAACGGAGGTGGTCATGTTGGGCTGCGTCCAAATGACGAGGTTGCCCTCCTCATCGGCCTCGATGTCCTCCGCGCCCGCCTCGATGGCGTCGTCCATGATGTCATCCACCGTGGCGCCCTCCTTGGCCTCGAAGACGACGCGCCCGAGGCGGGTGAAGAAGAAGGTCGCCGCGTTGGTCGTGCCCTTGTGCTTCTTGATGAGCGACTTCAGGTCCTGCAGGCTGCGCCCCTTGCTCTCAGTCTCGGCTTCGATGATGACGGCGACGCCCGGCGGGAAGATGGCTTCGAGGGTCAGCGTGTCGAGGCTTGCGCCTGACGCGGAGCGGCCCTGGCCGCGGGCGATGGCTGAGTCGATTACGTTCTTTGGCACGGCGTCTGTGAAGTGGAGTCTTGGAGTCAGCTAATGTCGCAATTGTCCGTCTTATGAGGGTATGTTGTTCACCCCGTCAGGTACCTTTCTTCGCGGCAACGATGGCAGCAGCTAGCTGGGGGTTATCTGTGGCTCCGTATACTGCATCGTAAGTCAGTGTCCGGCGCGCGATAACATGACCACGGGGATGCCCGCACGTCTCGAGTAGAGCGCAATCGTCTTGGAGTGCTGGCTGCGCATGCTGTTCTTCTGCGCATCGGCGGCGCCCTTCTTGTGCCGGATCTTGGACCATTTGTTGTGTCCGCTCTGGGCGGCCGGCGTTGTCGACATCGGACGGAGGCATTGGCGGCAGAAAGTGGGCTGAGTCCTCGGCACGGGGGCGACGACGCGGGATGCGATGCTCCGGAGGGAGCTGGCGGCGAATGGGCGCATGTCGAAGTCGGTAACCCGGCGACTTGCGCGGTGGTGGTTCGGGGACAGAGTTGGAGTCGGAGGCGGCGTTCCGGGTTTCGGGGTCGAGGGTTATCTCCTCTGGTTCATGTCATGTTTCTGCCGGGACAATTCTGCCACACGGACGGCCACGGCTTGGGGGGAGCTGTCTCTTCGGAGCTCCAAATTTTAAATGGAGACTTCCAATGACGGGACGGGAACGGCTGACTGAGCCACAGCGGGTGCGCCCAGCGCCTCAAGTGATATGTCATGGTCCCCCGGCGGGGGGAGCAACTCGCCGCGCCCCTGATTGCTTTAGACCATCCCGTACCTGACCGCATGCTTGTCTGTCCCTCAACCTGTCCCCAGTATACCACACAACACATCACAGCTTCCGACGATAGAAGAGGGACAATCCATTGAAAACCAACCACAAACCCCGTGAGCGCGCTCGACGGCGTCATCACACAGAAGTCCCCTGCCGTCCCCCCAATGTCGTCAACGGGAGCTCCCAATGGCTCCAACGGGGACGCTGCTACGCAAGCAGCTTCCTCGCCGAGGCCGTCATCAGCTGCGCCGACCGCACCGCCATCGCAGCCTCCTCCACCGGCATCCTCAGCCGTGACCGATTCCGCAGCCACGTCGACCCCCGAGCTCGACGTCCCAAAGCTCCAAGCCCTCCCCGCCGAGCAGCAGGAGCTCTTCCTGCTCACCTTCGTCTCGACCCTCTCGAAACACGTCCTGAGCCTCTCCGCCGACGACTGCACCGCCCAGCAGTTCTACCTCAAGAAAGAGATCTTCCAGATCATCAACCTGCCCTCGCCCCAGCCGAGCCGCGTCGTAAGGAACAACCTCGGCAAGTGTCTTGCCCACATCTTCGGGAACGGCGATCGCAAACTGCTCTTCGAGACCATCAACGACTTGATTGCCATTGTGTCGGGCGCCAAGTCCAAGACTGATGTCGGGCCGCGCACGAAGCACGCTGCCGTCGCGTGCCTTGGCGACGTTTTTGCATCCGCCGGCGACAGCGCCATTGGCCTGCACCCGCTGGCGTGCGCGACGCTCGTCAAGCTGTTGAAGTCGTCGTCCAGCAATGCGGGTCTACGTGCGGCCGTATTTACGTCTCTGAGCAAAATCGTCAAGATGGTGGAATCGAGCGTGGATGAAAATGTTGCGAGGGATATCTTCAAGCAGTCGCGCAACTACGCCACGAGCGACAAGGGCTCGCTGGTCGTCGTCTCAGCTTGTCGAGCTCTGAGAGCGCTGATGCGACACACGCCCTACTTCGAGAACTCGAGCGACTTTGATAAGCTTCAGAATGCCATTTTCAGGGTGTTCGACTCGTCGTCTTCGCAAGTCAGACACGCCGCTTCGGAGGCGCTGGCAGAGGCCATGGTGAGGGGGTACTCCGAGACTGGTGCAGCGGATGCCGCTGCGATGGCAAAGGCGAACAAGAGGATGAGCAAGAAGCCCCCCAAGCGTACCGGCACGCAGGCCAGCATGGTTGCGGACGAGGACGAGCTGCCCACGTCACGACCTGGAAGCCCTGCCCCTGGCGGGAAAAGAACGCAAGACCTGGCGCTCTCGCTAACTGAGATTCTGAAGATTCTCTCGACGCAGTACACCAAGATGCCGACGTCAAACAAGGCGAGAGCGGCCATTGGCGTTTGCTACGGCAAAGTGCTCAGGAAGCTCGGCGAGAAGACGGTTGAGACAAATTACCTCAAGATTATCGAGAACTTGACCATCGACTTGATCGGGCAGCCAAACATCATGAACAACCGGTATAGGCTTCTCATTTCCAGGCGCATCGTCGACACAATCCTCCAAGACATCATTGGCCGTAAGATTCTGGGCGAGTCGGGGCAAACATCGGCAGCAAAGCTCATCATCAACGACATTCTCAAGAATTACCCACAAGCCCTGGTCGAGCGCTCGGAACCGACGAAGCACATGCTGATCGCGGCTCTTGGTGCGATAGCGTCGCTCATCAACTCCCTAAGATCTGCGGCAAACAACTTCGCGGAGTCATGTAGAGATGGCCTCCTGGGCGTCTTGCAACACCCCAGCTATTCGGTGCAGGTGCATGCCTCGGCGTGCATGAAGGCCTTCGTTCTGGCCTGCCCTCAGCAGCTACTGCCGTGCTTGTCAGTGTGCATGAACAGCCTGAGCAGAGAATTGTCTCTGCTCACCAGCGGACGAAACTCCCCTCGGCGATGCGTCGGATTCGCCCATGGTCTTGCAGCAACACTCAGCGCAAGCCCCGCGCGTCCTCTGCATGGCTCAGTTGATATCAACAGCCGTGTCCTAACGATGGCAACAAGTCTACTCAAGTCAAGTGGTCAGTCTGAATTAAGAGTCTCTAGCACTCAGATTCAGGTCGCGTGGATCTTGATTGGCGGTTTGATGTCACTGGGACCGAACTTCGTCAAAATCCATCTCTCTCAGTTGCTGCTGTTGTGGAAGAATGCGCTGCCGAAGCCCCTGTCGAAAGACAACACGGCTCACCGCAGTTTACTTGAAGCTTCATTCCTGACGCATGTTCGCGAGTGCGCTCTGGGATCGATACTCTCGTTCCTCCAGTTTAACACACGGCTGCTCACGGTTGATGTTTCCAAGCGCATAGCGACGATGCTGCAGAACACATCGGCGTTTTTGAGAACATTGCCATCGAAGAAGATCACCGATGACGTGTCACAAAGACTGACACCCGCGCTCCAGCTTCACGACCTTGATATGATGGTCCAGCGCCGAGTGCTGCAATGCTACATCAAGCTGGTCAACCTTAGTCCGGCCGGCGGCAGCGAGTCTCTGCTACAGTCCAACTTGCTGACTATTGCCATCTCCCTTTTTGCGGACCCTGAAAATTACTCGGCCAACACTCTCAGCGCATCTATAGCGAATGCTGCAGCCACGTTCGAGACCGTATGGGATGTTGGCGACAACTCTGGATTCGGCATTACTGGCTTGATCTCCGGCTTTAAGATCAAGGGACTCCCTGGGCAACAAGACAATTCCATAGAGGGGACGCCACTGGAAGCAAACAGCCCAGAGGAGTCCATAGACCGCTTACTACTGTCCCCGGTTTGCGGCACGCTGGAACACGACGCATCGCTGCTCTACGTCGGAGACACAAGTTCTGACCTCACGATTCCCGACCCTCCTGCCACCGAAGTCATCAACATGGCCATACAGTTATTCGCCTTCGTATTCCCGCTCACGCCGCCCAAGGTTCAAGAGAGTGTGCTTGAACAAGTAAAGACGTTCATGTCGGCCGGCACATTGCTCAGAGACCCTGGCAGGAAGGCGGCCATCAATGTAAACGTTTCAGTCGCGATTCTCTCGACTTTGCGAGTTGCTGTAAAGGAGACGCAGTCTTCTCCTGGTAACGTCACCAACCTGGCCGTAGAGAGGCTTATCCAGGACATGCTGCGCGACTTCGTAATTGACGGAGACCAGTATGTTCGCAGTGTCGGGTATGCCGCAGTTGCGAGACTTTGCAACGCTTGCGGCAACGCCTTTACCAACCACGAAATCAAGTACCTCGTCGATACCATTGTAAGCAACCGTGAGCCTAGTGCGCGCGCGGGCTGTGCAATGGCTCTCGGGTCAATCCAGACCAAGGTAGGCGGCATGGCCGCGGGCTATCATCTGAAGACGATTCTCGGTATTCTCATGTCCCTCTGCAACGATCCTCATCCCACCGTCCACTTCTGGGCTTTGGAAGCATTGGCTTTGGCCTCCGACGCGGCTGGACTCAGCTTTGCTGGGTATGTGCCTAGTACTCTCGGAATGCTGGCTCAGTTGTATGTTTCCGACACTCACCACCCCGAGATCTCATCCGCCATCACCATGAACCTCGAAATGGATCTTTCTACCACGGCTGCAATCACCCGCTGTGTTGATTCCCTCATCAACGTGCTTGGCCCCGATCTTCAAGACTCCACAAAGTCGCGGGAACTCATCCTCAACCTGGTTGGCCAGCTCCAAGAAGAAGACGACCTCCTCGTTCAACGGGCGACCTTGAGCTGTTGTGAGCATTTGTCACTCTATGCTCCTGGTTACATGAATTTTGAGGAGTACGTGAAGGTTCTCCAAAAGTATCTCCAGTCAGAATACCCGATTTTGCGGGACGTTGCGGTCGATGGTCTTTACAACATCATGAAAAGAAATCCAAACGACGTCATCGGTGCCGCGGAGAAGGGCTTCGAGGATCAGTTATGGCTGGTTCTCGACACTGCACCGACGCACGATGGTATACGCAACATTCTCCGAAACTGGATGCGACAGACGTGTCTTACAGATACTGGCTTGTGGCTCACCAGATTCCAGAATGTACTGAAGATGACAAGGGCCAAGGTCAAGGAGGAGTCTGACTCCGGAAACAATGGCGCAAGGGGCATGCCAGACTTGCAGGACGAGGAGGTTGCCGGTTTTGCTGGGACCGCTAAGGACGACCAGGATAACAAGGCCGGATCCGAAGTCGAGCCACTGCGGTGGCAAGTTACAACTTTTGCAATCGGCTGCATCAACGACATGTTTGTCTTGATTGCCAAGGACGTCATGACGAACGGCGAGTCTGCGGCCCAGTTGGCTCTTCAGAACAAGATCGCTGATGTCGTCCGCATGGCGTTCTCGGCATCGACTTCGAGCGTGCTGGAGCTGCGAGTCTGGGGTCTCAAGATCATTGGTGCTGTTCTCAAAATGTTCGGCAAGGTACCCGATCCCGATTTCGAAGAGGCGATGCTTCTGGAGCAATACCAAGCACAGATCAGCTCAGCGCTTACTCCCGCCTTTGCCGCGGACTCGTCTCCCGAATTGGCATCCGAAGCAGTAAACGTCTGCGCCGGCTTCATCTCTACCGGTATCGTTACAGATGTCGAGAGAATGGGTCGCATTCTCAAGACCTTGGTGTCCGCTTTGGAAAACTTCTCGAAAGACCACGAAAACGCCGGCATCGGCGAGTTGAAGGGCCTCAGCTCCAACGCTCAAGTCATGGTCAAAATGTCAGTCTTCTCGGCTTGGGCAGAGCTTCAGGTGGCCAGCTCCGAGCAGAAGTACCTCCTCGACGTCCTGAAGCCGCACATTGGAACGCTCACGCCGCTGTGGCTGGAATCTCTGAGGGAGTTCGCTCGTCTGCGGTTCGAGCCGGACATCTCAATGACATTGGGCCCCCCTTCTCTGTCCGGCAGTCTCGACACCATTTATGCCGCGCTAAACCGGGAGACCCTACTCAAGTTCTACCAAGACTCGTGGCTTAAGCTCGTTGATGCCATCGCCAGCTTGATCGAGCAAGACAGCGAGTTCGTCTTTGATGCGCTGGATGGGAAGGAATCCGAAGGGCTCAACACCAACGGAAACACCAAGGGCTCCGACATCAACTATCGCGACGAGCCGGTGGCTTTCTTCTTTGTCCTGTTCGGCATTGCCTTTGAGGCTCTGGCTACTCGTCCCGGACAGAGCGACTCCTTGGCCACTCAGGAGCAGAATCTCGCGATTCTGCAGGCTCTCAAGAAAATCCTACACCCCAGCGTGTCTGGCCATGCCATCTACAGAGAGGCCATCTTCTCAGAAACCATGGACCTGTTAGACCGACTCGTGCTGACTGAAGGCCTCGATGTCCAAGGCGTCATTGTCGAGATTGCCCGAGCGCTTTGCGTTTCTCATCCTTCTGCTCGCAAGAAGGACTCTGGCGATGACGGCGACTTGTCGGACGACATTGATCAGCTCTTCGAGCTCACACGCATCATTGTTCTCGTCCTCTCCGGCTTGCTTCCCAATCTTACGGAAGCAAACCAGCCCGTGCGCCACCAGATGACCGAGGAAGCAGTACTACTGATCCGCTCATCCCTCAACGCTCTCGTCGATGCCGCCGAGGTTTTCCCTTCCATTATCAAGACGGACCTCCACGCCTGCATCATCCACATTCTCGCCACCATCCTCGCAACGCCTGGATGTCAGGAGGTGATCGTTCCGCAATCTCTTCCCACGCTGAAGCGCTTCGTGGCAAGCATGACAAAGTCCGCCAGGAAGAGCGGCGGCCCGACGCCCACAGACGTCCAGCTGCAGGGCTGCCTGCGTCGATTCCTCTCCATCTACCTCAACGCTCAGAAGCGCGAGGTGCCGACGTCCCTCACATGCGTCAAGAACTGCTTGCTCGCGAGCACGATATTGTTCACGGGCGGCACAAATCACTTGGCGGCGAATGATCCGCTTGTGGCAAGGTACCTCGACGAGGTTGTCGACTGCCTCACGGACCGCATGGTATGTTCGACTCGTTTTCCGTTCCCGTACCTGTAAAGTGACTGACATGTGAACCCACGCAGACCGCCAAAATAGCAGCAAACTGCATCAGGTCTCTGCTCCTGCAGGCCAACCCTACGCCGGCAGACCAAACCATTGCCCGTTACCTCCTGCCGCGCCTGGTCGCCTTCGTCACCAATACAGAGCCGGAGGACCCCGAAAACGCCCGCTCCCTCATCGCGCACTCGCTCAGCCAGTACGTGGGCGCCGTGCCCCGGGACCGCATCCCCGTGGCGATGGCTCTCATCCTGCCCACCTTCCTTGCGCGCGCATCGTCCGAGGGCGAGGATGCGTACAGGGACACGAGCGCCAGGCTTCTGGAGCTGGCCGCCGTGGACCAGAACGCGTTCCGGACCGTCGTGGCCAGCATGAACGACGGGCAGAAGGCTTTCCTGGAGGAGGTCATCAGGTGGGGCAGACAGCAGGGGCCGTCGGAACAGGCCTCGACCGGTTCGACTGGGCAGCCCAGCATTGCGTTGAAGATGGATTTCGGTGGCTGATTTCACGAGAGCAAGTATCTATGACATGAGTAGACAAGCGAAGGAAATGGGGGGGAAAATGGGGATAAGCAAAGAGGACGGAGACATGTATGCGTGGTGGCGCTGGGTAGCATTAGACGCGGTCCCCCCTACTGCATAGGACGCGGCGGCATGAAGCAGCAGATTCAGAAGCAAAGATTCTTTTCCTTCTTTCACATTTCCGTCTTATTCGTCGACGTGTGGCCCCATGCTTGTCGTACAATGAGGAAGTGTGAGAGGCGTTCTCGGTCGGGGGAGACGTTGGAATCAGGGATGGCGTTCACCGGTCTGGAGAACCGGCGATTTTTTGCTTTTCCCGGTCGATGGGGTTGATGATGTCCAGCCCATGCAGGTAGGTACCCGTCCGGTTCACTGCCTCCACGTACGGAGTACTTCGCACATGTAACAGGACAAGCCTCTCTTCCGGTCGGTCTCGTCTCCTGTGATCTCTGCATGATCATATTGGGAGCCTCGTAGCGACATTTTCCCAGGGTTCCCTCTGATACTTGCTTTTTTTTTATCTTTAATTTTTTCAACCCCGCTGAGGCTAGCTGGTTCGGTCCGGTGGATGGGGGACGACGTTCGGCTTGCGAAAGAAAAAAAAAGAACCAACCGGCGGGCGGGTTTTGCCCAGGGCAAAGAAAGCAATGTGTCGTTGCGTCAGTCGCTAATTAGGCGCTGCGTACTCTGTCATGTTGGTGGTAGGACCGGGGGCCGAGGGCGGGTAAGTTGAAAAGCAAACAAAGTGCGCGCGTATCTTTTGCATGAACCCCGTCCGAGCTTTTTTTGTCGTCTCTGGGGATCTTTTTGGGTTGGGGCCAGGGTAGAGGAGGAGGAGAAGACTGTTGGTGGTGTTGGTGGTGTAGGTGGTGGCGGGAAGGCAGTGAGGTGAGAAGCCGAGATCAAGAGGTAGTGAAACCGGGACGAGCAAACACTGGAAGGGGTAGCCGGAATGGTGTGATGCGGTGTGTATCCGTCTCCCAACCGGGAGCTGCCGCGGTCAAGTGAGTGGTGCGGGTGTTGGTGGTGGTGGTGGTGGAGGAGGAAGACGGCTCCCCGTCAATGTGGCATCGCCCGCGGGCCCGGAGCTTCGGAGTCGGGCTCGTTCTCCAGTCTCTTCCCTCCTCCTCCTCTCCCTTCCCCAGCCCGCAGATCCTCACTTTTCTGGGCGACGCTGGCCGCATGGCGGCTGCTGCAGGCTCCGCTCGGAAAGTGGGATGGATGCCTCTCATGCGAGGTGATCAAGTCCTTGCATGAGAAAGCTTTCAGGGTATTCCCAAAAAGCCAACAACACGACACGGCACGAACAGGCCGGGCGCTAGATCGTGCAGGCTCGGCTGGCAGTGGCAGCGTTGACGACCAACGGCCGCCAAGAGACGAGAGGTGCGGTAACACACGGCTCGCCTCTGCGGCACTCTGCTGCTGGGAACGGCGGGTAGCTGCGTCGTCTTCGTCTTCTTTGCTTAATCTGGTGCCGTGTCTGTGCTTGAGTGTGTGTATCTTCGTGAGGGATGCCAATTGAGGTTGAAGTAGACGAAGGAGGATTTGGCCGGTCTCGTTTTTTCCTTTTCCAGCCGCAAACGGTACCCTTTGGCCTTCTCGGTGATATTGTTGCGTGTCTACTGGGGGAAACTGAGGACACGTCGCAATTCGAAACTGTCCAATCCCCTTTTGCAGGCTACAGACTGGCAGCCTCTTCAAGAATAGTATGTCCGCCAGGCCTGGACGAACTGTCATTGGCAACAAGCTCGTTGGTGAGAAAACGAGGTGACGCCTTCTAAGCGACTGCCGCATCCGAGAACATTGTTTGCTTTCTCTTTGGGCCCCCTGGATGCAGATATCTGGTCTTGGTAACCAACCAACCGAGCGAACATGTCCGCCAACACATGCATACTGGCAGGGTGCAATAGTCCGATATTCACTTGGTGATTGGTATCCAGTCCGAGTGACCCTTGCTCCTGTGTTGGCAATCCGAGAAGCCGGGCATTGCCAAGAGTCAGAAAGCAAGGCCGGTACAAAGCCGGACATGTCCAGTTGAGAAAACATTATACCAAGTGACCAAGTGATTCAGCAGGGTAAAGGTGTAGAAGACGATTCATAACGATGTATTAAAGATATGCATTAGGGATAGTGGCGGTGAAGAGTAACATGATTGAAGTAAGCAAATGTGCTCAAAGGCGAAAGCTGACATGAATCCCACAGAGTGGAGGCAGATGTTCAGCTTGCCTGCCGAGACCCTTGTTGGCGCTTTTCATGAACACATTGGGCGCTTGATCATTTTGGCTGAAGTCCTCATCTACGCTTCCTTTCCTTGGATTCAGACTGAGCCCTGTGACTAGTCCCATCGGCTATGACTGGCCCTGTTGGTGGTCGGTGACGTGACTGGCGGGAAGACGAGGACTCCCCAGATGAGCAATTGTTGGAATTCGGTGCTGTTGTCCTCTCGTTTGAACGCTTCTTGGTTGAATCGTTGCCCTTGCGCTGCCGCGAGCCTGAACCCTGGCTCTGCGGCGCGCGGCTGCTTTGTTCTTCTGTGAGGCCCTCGTTTGTGAGACGCGCCTCGAGTCTGCGAGTGTTCCATGTTTTACCATTCAATAGTTCAGCGACCCGCCTGGCAATGTCGGCACTTCGGAATGTTGCAAAAGCATGCCCTTTGTTCTGGCTGCTAGACCCACGCGGGACGTCGATTCTCTGGAGCTCGGCCTTCACTGGAGTGACACGCTCTAGACACTGCTTGATGAGTGCTTTGATCTGGTCCTCTGGCGTGTTATGTCCTATGCGTCTAACGATAATTCTTCGCTGCTCAATGGGGACGGTTTGTCTTGATTCGTTGGGTGGGGTCATGAATTGCGGATATGGATGAGAATTGTCAGGGAAAAAGCCACCGCTGGGCAGGTTGTCGGGGTACCATGTTGCTTGCTGCTGAATGTTGGGATGCGTCTGACTAGTGGTAGATGGGTTTGGGATCCACTGCAATCGGCGTTAGTGATTGATAGATGTAAGTTCTTGGTTGCTATCTTTGAGCTCTTACTTGATCATAGAAGGCCTCAGAAGAAGCATACGTAGAAGATGAAGCTTGTCGAGTGGTAACAGTAGCAGACCCGAGTGGAAGCTCAGTTTGCCGATGCCTTGCTGGAACAGATGCGGGAGTTGCGTTCTCGTCATCGTGGATTTCCTTGACAACAACCGCGCTTGTCATATTACTGTCGTCAAAAATAATGCGTCTCCCGTCGAATACTCCGTCCCTTAAAAGATCTGGAATATGTAAGCAACGTGCACATCAGCCACACTAAAGCTTGGTCACCTACCACACGCACGATAGAAGTTGTACGGGCCCTTGACCCTGATCCAGCCCGAGGTAGGACCATAGAGCCGGACGTAGTCTACTTCGCAGCCGGAGCTAAGCCAATCTTTCAGTGATTTCCATGTTGTATCAAACGGGAGCTGAGGCAAGTCAGAAGTCGAGCATGAGAAGAAGAGGCAGTAAAACGCACGTTGCAGATCGGAATATAGAAGTTTCCTGTTTCGGCTCCCGGGGGGATCTGTCCAACGAGCATGTTGATGGGAACCAACACCAACACCAAAGACACGCTCTGTCCAACTCTGGAGGCCAATGAAATGGGTTGATTGAGACAATGGTTTGTGCGACGCTGAAGAACAAAGATGGAACAAGAGATCTCGAGTATGACAAGATCCAGCGATGAACCGCAGTGCTCTTGGCCGATTCGAAGGCGGCCGAGGGCATAAAGAAAGAGAACGGATCGTGTATGTGGGTAAGGAACAATGCAAATCTTTTATATTCTGTTGACTCTTAAAGCCACTGCCATAGAGGGCACCGCCTCTATGCAATAAGGCTGTCTAGGCTGTGGGATGGCCAATGACGAAGCCTTGTTCTCTGTTGCCTCAATGAAGATGACCATATTGTGGATGACTCCAGGATTCAAGATCCCTATCAAGCCTTGGCGGCTGGAAATCTTCAGGCACAGATGAGTGAGGGCTCAAATCGTCATGACAGGCTACCAGGTCGCCTGTACTATTGGCCTTGAGTTGGTCAATCGCCTCGGACTGTGTAGCGACCATGTTGTACCGTGTACCAACGGGGCCAAAGTCACCAGCGGTTGGTATTATTGGAGAAAACTGCACATCATGAAGAGTCTCGAGCTGTGGGGTTGTCCTTATGCAGTTTGCTTTTGACCATCAGTTATCATCCGCAGGGGTTGTCGGTGTAAGTAAGCACGCTATAACCTTCCTCGGATGACCCAATCTCGCGCCGTGTACTTGGTGTCAGGGTGGTATTGAGCGACAGAGACTCGAACAATCGACCGGAATTGTGGTGAGAAAAGTCCCCGTACAAGGCAGAGATAGCGTTCGATGGTGGGTTGCATTGCGGTTCGGTTCGACCGGGGTGATTCTGCCTCAGAACCAACTAGTGTCTAGACCTGGAGCGGAAGCTAAAATCCCATCAAAGATTTACCGGGCTACATTAGCATTGAGACTGGCACAAGTACCTCGGCCAGCTCAAGTTGCTGATGGAGGCTAATTTCGCTGGCTTCTCATTTGCTTTTGGCAACGCAAAGCGCTGCAGCTGAGCAAGCCTGAACTTCGCATCGTCACAACACACCTTGTGGTGCATGGTCCAAATCCATGTGTTGCCAAGCGTCCTGTCCGATATGGCTAAAAGCAATGAGAAGTCAATGCACAGCGCTGTTGACTGGGGAAGGCGAGAGCTCGTTGTACCGTCCTAAGACACCTTATGGCTCTTTCATCTGGAGATTCCACATGCTTTGAAGCAACTCTGAACAATCCAGCGGTGAAGAAAGCTCCAGGTGGCCAGGTTAGGCAGGTCGCAGTGGTGTTGTTGGTGTTGTCTCTCATCGCGAATTTGACCCCACTCCAGAGAAGCAGTGACGTTTAGAGATTCCCGACGTTTCCCTAAAGGGCCTCTTGCAGAATTTGCGTGCGGAAACAGCAGTGTAAGCTGGGTTGGCCCACCACATGATGTTAAGCCGCGGAGGGTGGTGGTCATGCATCCGCCAACTCTCCCGGCTGCACCAGATGTCACCCGCGCGTATCTGGGAAACCAATCAACACCGCTCTGGTGGAAGATGGCAAACACCCAGGGCTTGGCTTTAACGGGTCACTTATTGGAGCTTCGCGTTTCCGCGCCCTTCTTGGGGCCGGCTGTTCTGGCACTGGTACAGTGGCCAATTTGTTATCGATCAGATTTTCTTGAATGAGAAGGTGTCGTCGACTTCTGACATGTCCAGATTGGATAGGTCTTCATCGAAATCATCGAATGCGGCAGGGTCTAGTTGAGTCTCGTCTTTGCCAGTGGTCATGGTCAAATCGCTGCGTTGTCCATCTTGCCAGGGAGCTCCGGCGTCCTCAGAATCGGCCAGAGATCCAAGAAGATGGTGCTTTGTGTCTCCCAGCAAGAGCACGGCAGATTCGCCATTCCAGTTGAGCCATGATACTTGTGATTTGCCGAATAATTTCGCGTCGGGCAATCGTGCTGCAAAGTCAAGCGTCTTTGGCCCATCGGACAACGGATCCCAGGCAAATACCAAACCGGCATAGCTGTCGTTTTCACAAGTAATCATGAGCACCTCGCGCTGTGTCGGGTGCCACGACAATGTTGAGATGTTGCCGTGAAAGACCAGGACGGCACGAAGTTCAGATGATTCGATATCCCAGATCCATACGGTGCTTGGCCATTCTTCCAGAGCGGTGGCGAGTAGACTTGAAGAAGAGTCGAATACTGCGGACGTGCGACCGGGTTTGGCATCGACAATTCCTCCACTCACTCGGCCTGGGGCGGAGACGGACTGCGTAGCTTTTACGAAAGTGTGAGCCTGACCCCCCTGGGTATTGCCGATTTGCTCTTGCCAGATCTGCCAGTCTTGTTAGCCGATGAGGTCACAAGTCTAGAACGCAAATCACCCACTTGAACGGTCTCTTTTGGAGCAATAGATGCAGGGTGTTCCAGCCGCATTGTTGCACTCGCTGACTTGGTTTCCAGGATGCATACGTTTCTGGTGTGGTCGCACACGGCAATGCGAGCACCGTCCGGACTGACTTGGCAGACCTTGACCCCCGCGCCTAGATCGAAATGCTTTTCCTCAGCCTCAAAAGGAGAAGGTCCAGACCAGGTCTTGAAGAGGTGGCCATCGGCAGTGTAGAACAAGATTTTGTGGCCTTGGGCTGCAGATTCCCACATGATCAGCCAGCGGCCATCCGGAGTCCAGGTCAAGCCCTGGGCATCGATGGTGTCTGGGTGCCAAGATCGCTGAACCTCCTTCGTAGTAGGGTGATGGATGCTGACGATGTCTTTCCCTGCCACGCGGGTCAGAATTGTCAGGTGGCCGGAAACAGGTCGAATCGCGAAACCTCGCGATGCCGATGTCGCTTGATGAAACTTGGGACTCCCGATCTCTACTGTCCTAGACGTTGACAGGTCGAAGATGGAGAACTTGAGGCCGAAGGACGAGCACATAAAGACCTCCTTGTCGGAAGCGCCAAACTGGACAAAGGTGGGCTTGAAGTTAGGAGAAGCGGGATTGCGGATGACAGCGCGATAGCCAGACTCGACAGCGGAATAGACATGGATCGACTCGGCGAAGCTGGCGAGAATGCGACGAGACGAAGGAGACCAGAGAAAAGCATTCGCAGGCCCTAGCCTAGAGGGCAGCTTGATGCTGTGGATAGTCTCGAGAGTTTCGACGGACCGGATGCTGATGCTACCTGTTGACAGGGTCGCAATCAGGGTACCATCAGGACTCGGCACGCAGTGAGGCGATGCTACGGAGGAATGTATCAGTAAAAGTCCAAAGTTGTCTTGGGGCGTCTTACATTTGAAGATCCTGGAGAAGTGCATGGTGCATAGCCTTCATGCGTTAGCGTGATGAGTGAGTGAAGATAGGCGTCTTGATGTGTTGCGCCTGCTGGTGATGAAGGTTTGGGATATTAGCCCAGGTTGGGAAGGTCTGAAACAGGTCTGGACAAGGCAAGGCGAGAACTTGTGAGATGGCCGCTTCCTTTTTGTCGTGGTTGGTGAAGAATCGGGTAAAGTGGCCTGGGTCTCGGTGGAGTCTTGAAGAAAAGCCGTTGTCGCAGCGGAGAGAAACATCATCGTCGGCGTTGTTTACGTTGTTGCCTTTCTGGGACTAGTGCGGGGCTCTGGCCTCTATCGGTCTCCGGGCAGCGACTTGGCAAGGAGCCGGCCGACGACCTGGTGGACTGGTGGCAGGTGCGGACAGTGCCAGAGGTCGCTACCAATCAGCGCGGTGCTAATTCGGCAACGGCGACCACACTGCACCAGCGCAGCCCCTCGGAACCCCGCTGACATTCGCTCAACTCCGCCAGACCCGTGCGGCGTTCCTTCAGCGGCAATCTCTCCCCCATTTCCCCCTCCTCTTCCCTGAGGTGGGTGTCTTGCTCTGTCTAGGTACCTAGGTAGGCAGGTAGTGTGTCTAGCACGCCCTTAATCGGGCTCGAAAGTCGGCCAAATAGGTAATCGCCACGCTTCTGCTGAGTCACGAGTGTCACATATCTCAAAAGACCACGGAGAAGGTCATCCCATCGTGATAGCATATCAGTTCAATAACCCCAGTCCGAGGCCCATTCTCATTCCCAAAGCACAACCAACCTCGTCTTACTTACTCTGTGCCCTCTTGCCTAATGCCATCTCATTGAGGGGATTGCCCCAATCCGATCCTTTTCTCTTTCCTCCGTCTCAACTTTCCCCTCCAACTCCTCACATCTCACCTCAAGCAAGGGAATCGTCATGAGGCACAGCATGCTGCCTCGCTCAGCGCTGCGACGCGGGCAGCTATCATGGCATCGGAGGCCGCAGTCATTGGCGCAGGCGCGGTGTCTGAATGCGGCCGCTGCAGCTCAAGTCACACCGAACCCCCAAGGGCAACCACTCCCGCGCCGCGAACTCATCAAGGATGCGAAACCCTTCTCCGACTTCCTCACCGACAACTTCCACAGGCAGCACGACTACCTCCGCATATCCGTCACGGAACGGTGTAACCTGCGATGTGTGTACTGCATGCCGGAGGAGGGTGTGCCGCTATCACCGATGAAGGAGCTCCTGACCACCCCCGAGATCGTGCTTCTGTCCTCCGTCTTCGTGTCACAGGGAGTCTCCAAAATCCGACTAACAGGCGGGGAACCCACGGTGCGGCGAGACATCGTCCCGCTCATGCATCAGATCGGGGCTTTGAGACCTCACGGCCTAAAGGAACTGTGTCTGACGACCAACGGCCTTTCCCTCCACCGGAAGCTCGACAGCATGGTGGAGGCAGGCCTCACCGGGATCAATCTGAGTCTCGATACCCTGGATCCGCACATGTTCACAATCATGACGCGGCGGAACGGTTTCGACGCCGTCAAGAAGAGCATCGACCGCATCTTCGAGCTCAACAAGCACGGCGCCGGCATCAAGTTCAAGATCAACTGCGTCGTCATGCGCGGCCGCAACGACCACGAGATCGTCCCCTTCGTCGAGATGACGCGGGAAAAGGACGTCGAGGTGCGCTTCATCGAGTACATGCCCTTTGACGGCAACAAGTGGAACCAGGGAAAGATGCTGGGCTACGCCGAGATGCTCGACATGATCAGGGAAAAGTACCCGTCCCTGGAGAAGGTCAAGGACCACAAGAACGACACGAGCAAGACGTGGCGCATCCCCGGCCACGCGGGCAAGATCGGCTTCATCACGAGCATGACGCACAACTTCTGCGGGACCTGCAACCGCCTGCGCATCACCAGCGACGGCAACCTCAAGGTCTGCCTCTTCGGTAACACTGAAGTCTCCCTGCGGGATATCCTGCGCAAGTCCAACAACGGGGACCCCATCGACGAGAAGGCCTTCGAGGCGATGAAGCAGATCGAGATGGACCGGCGCCAGGGCCTGGCGGACGCGGAGAAGCCTCTGGGTGCCGCGCTCAACGAGGCGGAGCTGCTCGACGTGATCGGGATGGCGGTCAAGAGGAAGAAGGAGAAGCACGCGGGTATCGGGGAGTTGGAGCACATGAAGAACAGGCCGATGATCTTGATAGGTGGGTAACGGCCTCTTTCTACCACCTCCTTCGGGTCATTCACGACTGTATTTGCATTGGGAACGGCGTTGTATACCACAGCTGGGCGGGGGTTATTTGGGACTCATGAATGAATATTTAGATGCGTATGAAGGGAGACTGAATACCATTTCCTCAGATTCACAACCACTTTCGTCTTATACAACTCGTGCCCCTGAGATGCCCAAGAAGTTCATGTCTCCGAATGAACCCACCGGCTTCTCCCTCACCTCGCGTCCAACAGGCATCTCAGGGGTCCCAACCCACCTACTCTACTCAAACGCACCACAACCTCACCAACTCCGCCTCTTCTCCTCAACCCCCCGCAACCCCAAAAACGACAAAAACGACAACGACGACCCCAAACTAACCCACGTCTCCCCGACCGGCGCAGCCTACATGGTCTCCATAACCGCCAAACAGCCAACGACCCGCCTCGCAAAGGCCGCCTGCACCGTGACCTTCTCCTCCCCGCTCGCCCTGCGCCTCATCCGCGCGAACCAGGTGAAGAAGGGCGACGTCCTCGGCGCCGCCCGCATCGCAGGCATCATGGCCGCCAAGCGCACGCCCGACATCATCCCGCTGTGTCACCCGATCGCGCTCTCGCACGTCGCCGTCGAGCTGGAGCCGGAGGGTGCCGACGAGACGGGGGCGGAGACGGTGCTGCACGTCCGCGCCACCGTCGAGTGCGACGGCAAGACGGGCGTCGAGATGGAGGCTCTCACGGCCGCGTCCGCCGCGGCGCTGACTGTCTATGACATGTGTAAGGCCGTTGATAAAGGTATGATCATTGGCGGGCTGAGGGTTGTTTTGAAGGAGGGTGGTAAGAGCGGGCGGTGGGAGATGCCGTGATGCTTCGGTAGGCGACATGGATTGTTGAATGTTCCAATTGGAAAGAGTTACACTTGTAGACTGTCTGCCTGATTACTCGGCCATTTTAATAAAGAATGGAGGTTCATCCGAGACGTCTACATTCGGGTATATACACATATACACAACTTATCTACAATTTTATACAAAGACACCCCAGCTCAGCCCCATCAGGCCTCAGTCTTCATCTCCTTCGAGACCGCCCCCGCGATCCAGTCCGCGATGGCCATGTTGGTAATCATGGGGTTCACGCCGCTGGCGCTCGGGAACACGCTCGCGTCCGCCACGAACAGGTTCTCCGTGCCCCAGACGTGGCCCTTGGGCCCGACGACGCCCTCGTCCTCGTTGGGCGCCATGCGGCACGTACCCATCTGGTGCGCGGACGAGAAGATGGCGACGGGCGGCGCGTTGCCGACCTTCCTGACCTCCGCCAGCCAGGCGTTGAACGCGGGGTCGTTGACGCCGTCGAGCGTGCCGTCGTGATCCAGGCCGTTCTCGTGCTGCGAGGATGACAGGTCGGCCATCGACTTCTCGGGCGGCTCGGCGTGGTCCTCCTTGACGAAGGGCTTGAGGCCGGGCAGGGAGGCGTGGATCTCGGAGGCCCCCTCGACGTAGCAGATCTTGGCGAGCGCGATGACGCCCTCGAGGGTGTTGGCGCGGTCAAAGTCGGAGACGACGTAGTCGACGCGCGGCCGGCCCGTGATGGGGTCCGGGTAGACGCGGCCGGTGTCGCGGTCGCGGGTGAGGGAGATGAAGGCGCCGAAGTGGCGGAAGCGGAGCTGTGCGAGCTTCGCGGCGAGGCCGTTTTGCCAGGGCATTCCGGTGAGAATGGCGTAGGGCTGCGAATTGTTAGCGTGCGGAGGGGTGGGGATGACCTGACGGGGGACGTACAATCATGCAGGTTGGTTCGAGCTTCACGCCGTGGCCTGCCTTGTCGAGGTCTTCAAACGTTGTGCAGTAGCTGGTGATGATGCCACCTGATCGTGTTAGCTGGGGTGTCTTCAAGTTCTGTTAACCCGATTACTTACCCTCCCATGGCTTCGCATCCTCCTTCCAGTAGCCTCCGACGAAGTTGCAGGGATGGACATAAAGATTGTTTCCAATGTGTCGGTTCTAGGTTGCCATCAGATGGAAGTTCAGAGTCGTTGGGGTTTGTCACTCACAGTCAAGCCACTCCTCAGCAGCACCAGAGGAGTGGACACGGAGCCGGAAGACACGATGACCTTCTTAGCCTTGACGACCACCTGCCTCGTAGTTCTCTCCTCCACTGGCGTGCTCACTTTACCGTTGGCATCTCTGGAAACCCACTTGCCAACGACACCTGTGGCGCGCTTCGAGCCCGTGGACTCGTCAAAGGTGACCTTCTCAACCTCGAATCCCTCGATGAACTTGGCACCCGAGCCCGCGGCGGCCGGCAACCAGCTGACGGTGGGGCCCTGCTTCTCCGTCGATCCACAACCGAGATGGCACTGACCACAGTAGTGCTCCGTTCCGCCCGTGTTCTGCGGGGCCGTGGCGGCGTGCCAGCCGAGCTTCCGGGACCCGTCGAGGAGGACCTTGTTGCGGTGGTTGTGACGGACCTTGTCGGCGCTCACACCCATAAAGTCGCACACCTTGTCGAGCGAGTTCTGGAACTGAGGCGACGTGAAAAAGGGCAGGCCGCGTTGCTCTGACCACTCCTTCCTCACGAAGCCCTGGGTCTGGAGACTCACACTCCAGTTGACGGTTCCGCCGCCGCCCCAGCAGCTTCCGGCGACCATGTTGAGGCAGTTGTCGTCGCTGGTGATGAAACCGCCGTTCTCGTAAAGATACTGGCATCCTGCGTCTTGACTCATGGGCAGCTGAGACGGGGGAAAGTAGTACGACTTGTCGACGACAAGGACCTTGTGGCCCGCCTCGGCCAGGACCTTGGCAGCGACGGCGCCACCACAGCCAGATCCTACGATAACGACGTCGGTCTCAACGACGGCGGGTGATCCGGATGACTCGAACTGCATGAACTTGAAGTCGAAGCCCTCCCCGTGCGTCTGGAAGTCCGGCATATCGGTGTAGTCGGTCAATTCCCTGAACAAGGGACTGGTCTGCACAGCGCACTTCTGGGCCAGTAGACTTAGTGACTTTGACAACACGCGGATGGTCGGGACTCGGGACGTCTGCCACCCCTGGAGCATCTTCTCACGAACGGAGACCGGTTGCAAGTGAACCGGGGTCCAGTAGCCCGTGAGGAACAGGGTACCAGTACGAGTTCTGCAACACCGTTAGACCAACTGCCTCATCCTAATTCAATTGAAAGACAACAAGGCTCATTACGTACGCCAACGTGCCCATGGCACCACCCAGGGTGCGCTGGGCGGCACCAGGCAGCGCAGCCAGGGTTCTCTTGACGCTCTCGACGAACTTGGGTTCCTTTGAGGGACAGTGTGCCAGATACTCCTGAAACTTTTCCTCTGACGGGGGGTTCTTCATGGTGTTCTGGATGAGCTGGAGGGCCTGGGCATATTCGGCCTCGGACACTCGGACGTGGTTCGTGTCGTCTGAGGAGGTGGCGGGCCGCGAAATGGACGGCAACACGGCCTCGAGCAAGGAGAAGAGGACGGTCCATTGAGTCTCAGTCCAAAAGTCAGAAGCCGGCATCGCCGGAAGCTCCAGCTTCTCGACCTGTTCCGGCAAGCCCATGATGAAGAAGCGCGGTGGTAGTGGTTTCCGGTAAGTTAGGTCTGATTAGTGGTGTACACGTTCGTGGTTGACTGGGCAGCTGTTGCCGACAGAAGGGATCGAGTTACGGTACAGTCGGAAGTAAGGGAAGTGAGGGGGCAGTTGGGATAAGGTATACTTTCAGTGACCTGAGGGAGGAAAAGCACCTCGGAAGCTCATGATCGACTGATACTGGGCAGTGTGGGAAGCAAAGGGATGTCGTTGGCTACCCCCTGCTGCTTGCATGGTGGTGCTGCAGGGGTGCGCGTTTCTCATGAATGCGGGGTCTGTGCGACTCAATTCCTTACTGCGTGAGGTGCTTCACAGAGGACCTCCAGCTCCGTTTCGATGCTTTCTTTTGAACCGGTTTACCTAGGCCCGATCCGGGTACTTCAGGGAGTGGTCAGAGAGTTGCTTGGTAGTTGACTCGCTCCAGTAATCGCCTCAACTCCTCGATAGAGATGCATTAGTTATGGCGGCGTCAACAGCCGATGCCACAACCTCGTTGGCAATGGCCGATTGAGCTGTCAGTTCTCTGTAATGCTGTGCAGGCGGGGTACAGGACTACGCCGCGGCACTTGGTGCGCATGCAACCTCATAGCCGCCGCCAGTGGCTTGTTAGTGCATTTACGCGGAGTTGGGTTGAGTTGAGCTGACGGGATGGTGCGGGGAACAGGTACGGGAGCGGCTTCAGTGGGAGGCCGAGGGCTCAGCTAACGTGACAAGATGCAGCTCAACGTGACTAAAGCTGCATGGAAGGTACTGAAGTGAAATCAAGGACGCCCGACACGGGATCGAGTGATGGCGGTGTCAACAGCGTGGGTTGATGATGGCGCGGCTACAACCAGTGTTGGCCCCATGTTATGGACGGCAAGAAGTTTCAAAACGACCCAGCGGGCTGAGAGCTGGACTTTTCCAGAATTGTGTGTTTCCAAAGAGCCAAAATGGTCAGATCTGGTCGTGGCTCAGGGCTGCGCCAACAGGAAGATGCCGGGTCAGCCGTATCTGCAGATCGTATGTTTCCGTGCTTTGGACGAGATTCCAAGATCCTGTGGGGCAGATCGATGATGCAGCTTCCTGAGCTGTGGAGGGTGTCAACCTCGGCTCGCATGAACATTGCGGAATTGGAAATGCTCATGATTCCATGCGTCTTCGGCATTGCTTGGGTCAACCTCTCGTCTTGAGCGTTGCGAAGTTCGTCGAAAGAGATCGATAGAAAGAAATGACGTTTGATGTCGTAGACTCTTTCTACACGATCCTAATGTGAATTGGAGAGAACTTGTAGAAAACAACGCCACGTCGAGATTTTAGTTTTGGCGCACTTGCGCTACGCCAGTGATTGGCCCCGGACCCGCATTTTGCATAGCAGACCGGTCCGGCAGCTTCCTTCCGCCACAGACAGCCGCCCCGTGAGAAGGCCGGCGCTACGAGCAATTTGGCCGGGACGCCAGACCCGAGCCGACATTCAGTCCGGGCCGGTGATGGGTATGTTGGAGCCGAACGGACCCAGTCTCCGGGACTCTGATTACCAGCCAGCGCATCGGCCTGCTCTTTGGGTATCAGCAGGCACTGTGCCACCGAAGGGGTCGCAGATCCGGGCGAGCGGACAAGTGTCAGAGTGGCCAAATGCCAGATTGGCTCCCCTCAAAGCTGCAGGCGAGGAAATTTTCAGGGTCCAATGGCGAATGGCGGGTCTGCTTAGGTACGGTACGACCTGACGTGGACGGAACGGAGTTCGGTGCACTCACGCTTGCAGGGGGCGGGGTGTTGTCATCTGGCGATGGGCGGTCTGGCGGCCAAGAGGGTTCGAAACGGGAAGTTGGGGCCGGTTTTGCCTCTCGAAGCCGAATTTGTTGGGAAAATGCAACTCGAGCGTCTGGAGAAAAATGCATGTGAGAGTCGATCTGCGAAGAAAAACTGTTGACCAGCTGCTGCGAGCACGCGCAAGCTCCTTCCCAGTTGTCCATTTTGCGGGCTGCTGCGAATATCGGAGCTGGGGTTTGTGGGTTCGGTTTGCGTAAGGCAAAGTAAGGTAGCAGACGACTTGGACGTGACGTCCAGTTGTGGTCATAATGTCTGGTTGGGTGCAGCCGGTTGAGGTGCAGCCAACTTGTGTGTGCGTGTGTGTCTTTTGAGCGATATGGTGTTGACCACAGATATTACTGTTGAAAAAAATGGGAGAGGCGCATGAACGCTGTCCCGTCCGTTCCGGCCGAGTGTCATCAGTCAAGTCCGATTGCACTTTCGTCATCGACGACATGATGGCGAACCACGCAAGAACTGCTCAAGGGTCGGTCGCTCACATGCTTATCGCATTCCGTGATTTCATGTTGGTTAGATAAGACCTGGAGCAGAAGGACTGCAATTAAAAGAGAGAAAAATCTTCGACACGAAGGCAGAGGATGGAGAGAATCGGGGATAGCGCTCCCCAACAAAATGGAAGCAGGTCGGGTAGCCAGGGCCCACGACGGATGGACGGTCGATAGTCTGCGACGTGAACTACTTCATGCGCGTTAGTATCGTGTATGTGGTTGAGGTGATTCTGCTAACAGACCTGCCGTAGGGATACACGACATGCTGCGAGGAACCCACCAGGAACCAGGGGTAGGTACTATAGTAGCGGCTCAGCCTGGGCTTCCAGAAGGCAACGGGTGACAACGGTCCCCTGGCTGTCGATTTCCGGGTCAGTTTTTGTTGCAACGTAAGGTGACCAGGCCGGAGGTACCGAGGGCGGTTCGCGTGTCAAGCAAATATGGCATACCGAAGTTTTTTTTCATCGTGATCTCAGGGCATTGCATAACGTCGCAAGAAGCGTGACACGAGAGCACTGACTGGCGTGGAAACAATGGACTTGTGGACGTTGACAACCTAACAGATTTATGGGGTTGGTGTTGTCTTATCTTTTGTTGCCGCAGCCGCTGGCGTAGCCGGATTAGAGTTGGAGCTGGTGTCCAAAGCTCCTAATGCGCCGCGTGCCGTTGTCAGGAAAAGGAAATGCGGTTTAGTGTCTCATGGGACACGTTCAAAGGAGCATCCATGTCGCAACCAACGTTCCAGAGTCCAGAGGATTGTGTGTAAGGTATTCTCGGAGTTGAAAATATAATGGCAAGGATGATGTCGAGAAGCCGAGGCAAGTGAGTCGCAAGGAGTTGAGCTTGGGTTGAAGATGGATCCCCCTCCATGCCACTTCTCTCGTTCATGGTCATGGACATGGGGCCCCTCGACCCGGTTCATCGCTAACAGAAACGATGTTTGGATTGCGGTGCCCTTGGTCCGGAGTCAAGGCTGGATCTGTTAATCATGTGCTTGCCTCTGGACTCAACAATGTGTTGCTTGGCGGTCTTTTACTGCGGTGCTTCCGTCAAATGGCGGGGCTGATGCTCAGTGGTGGAATCCACATATCCACACCTCAGCACCAGACAGGGCAGGCAGGCAGGAGCACCTCCAGTGTCCCGCGGCCAACGCACAAGGCGGGCAACCGCGCACGAGGCACTTGCGATTTCAGGAAGGCACCTTCCCGTCGAATTTCAGACTTCAATTCAGGGCATTGAGACGCTGGAAGGCGCATTTACAGATGTCAACCATGCATTTACCTTGCCTTGCCTTCCATTGCCTCTTGCTTGACATGAACTCTTCACGGCCCCAGCACTGAAATGCATCTAGACGGAAAGTCTAAGAAAACATTGACTGCCTTGACTTCCTTCCCATCTCTTACAGTACCAAACCCTGCTCCTTTCCTCGTCCCGTCGTCACCGTCACCGTCACCCACGCCCACCAAAATAAATGCAAACCGCACAATGTACTCTTTTTTAAGGCGCGGCAAGGAGGGAGTACGACCCGGGATGAACAGGGTAGAGGTACTTTAACATCTTACCTTACGTGACGAGGAGGGGATGAGCCGCCCGTCTACCTTACCTAGCACGCCCAGCATATCCACTCGCACATCCTCGTCCCCCATTCACTCTCATCCCGACAAGCTCCAGCTCCAGTTCTAGTTCCAGTTCCAGTTTCCATTCATTCCAGTCCAGAAAAACCACCCTCCTCTTCCCCATATTAAGACCTCGAGGATCCCCTCGCTTTGACCTTGTCGTCTGTCTTGTTCTTCTCCCCTTCCTCACTCTCTTCCTCCCTCTTCTTCTCCCTCGTCGTCCTCTCAACTTCGACGGTCAGAACATCCTGTGTAGCATCGGCTTGAAGAACCTTGGCTCGCCCACGCAGAAGTACCAGAGCTCACGCAAACTGCTTTGCTCGTCTTCTCTAGTTCCAACTTCTCGACACATCATATACGGCTCCAGCACTGCAGCTGTCGCGTGCTGAGAGACCATCCTCGAGACCGAACGGTTGTCTCATTTGCTGAGACGCGATTCAACAGCCCCAACGCCCGAGCGAACTGCGGGACTGCAACTTTTCCCTTCGAGACGTCCAATTGGCCAATTCCCCCACCATGGCCGCCGTCACCGTGCTCAACGAGCTTCCGTCCGCGTCGCTCTTCAAATTCCCTCCGGACGGTGCCCACATGGCAATCCCCCCACCGCTGCCCGGCTCCATCGCCGCCGCGCCCCCGTTCGAAATCCCCGACCACATCTTCTCCGCAGCTCTCGACCCCAAAGTCCCCATCACCATCGCCGCCCTCTACGCCGTCACCGTCAAGCTGTTGAACAGGTACAACCTTTCCAACGGCCGAAAGCCATGGGGAATCAGCAAGACGAAGCCCTTCTTCGCCTTTGTCGTTCTTCACAATGTTTTCCTCGCCGTCTACTCGGCCTGGACATTCTGGGGCATGTTGGGAGGTATGCGCAGAAGCGTTGTGAGCCCCTTCGGCCCCAATGGCCTTGCTGCCACCGCCGACAGCTTCTGCCAGCTTAACGGTAACGCCGGATTCGGCTCTGCCACCGTCTACAACGAAACTGTTGGTTTCTGGTCCAGCCTAACTGGTCAGTCTGCCCTGGGTTTCGATGGCCGCCCGAGTCGCGAATCCACAGGCAGAATCTGGAACGAGGGCCTTGCTTTCTACGGATGGATCTTTTACCTCAGCAAGTTCTACGAGGTCCTCGACACCTTCATCATTCTGGCCAAGGGCAAGCCCAGCTCCACCCTCCAGACCTACCACCACGCCGGTGCCATGATGTGCATGTGGGCCGGCATTCGCTACATGTCTGCCCCCATCTGGATGTTTGTCCTGGTCAACTCCTTCATTCACGCCATGATGGTAAGTTTGCGCGCAGCCAGTTCCTCAGTCTCAATGTGCTAATCCGTAACTAGTACACCTACTACACCATCACCGCCTTCAGCATTCGCGTCCCCATGGCCATTAAGCGAACTCTCACTACCATGCAGATCACCCAGTTCCTCGTCGGAGCCTCGTACGCTATGCTGCACTCCTTCGTTTCCTACACCGTCCCCGTGACCGTCTACACTTCCAAGAGTGCCGCTGCCGCGGCCGCTGCTGCCACCGAGTCTACTACCACCGCTGCTGCCGAGGCCACTGCCACTGCCGCCGCCGGTGCCTTCGAGGGCTTGAAGAATATGGTCTTTGGCGCCTCTGCCAAGGTCGCTGAGGAAGCTGTCGCCGCGTCCGCCGCCGCCGCCGCCGCTGCCCCTCCTCAGCCCGGCTTCATCGCCGAGACTGTCTACGTCACCCAGCCCTGCATTACCACCAGCGGAGAGACGTTCGCCATCTGGCTCAACGTGTTCTACCTCGCTCCCTTGACCTACCTCTTCGTCATGTTCTTCATTCGCAGCTACCTCCGCCGTAGCAGCGCCGAGTCTGCCAAGGGCAAGGGCAAGACGCGCCGTGAGAGCAACGTCACTCTGGCCGAGAAGGCCGGCTGGGATGCCGCCCGCGATGTCAACCGCGAGATCTACAACGGTTCTTCCGAAGAGGCTACCGAGGGCAGCCCCCGCCGCGCCAACGGCAAGACCAACAACAAGGCTCGCGCTTAAGCGCTTTCCATGTTTGGCATGAAGCTGTAGGAATGGGAGTATAATGGGAAACACGAGGTCATGGTGGGAGAGGAACCTGCGAGAGGTCTCGGGAAGGCGGCATGGTCATTCTTATCTGGCGTTTTGAGCAGGGAAAATATTTGGGGTAAAGCATTTGCATCACCCGGAGCGCTCGTTATCTAGTCGTTCCCGTCTAGAATCTTGCATACCACCACGCGGGTTACATAGGTAAGCCGGGCATGGGCCGGCACAAGGATTAGTACATGTATATATCAGTCAACCAACCTGATTTCCGTTCGACGCGTACTGTCAAGGTCGTATTCGCGAGACTGTGAGATTGTTTCCGGACATTGTACGATGTGCGCCGTCGGGATGACAGTGCCAAAATGCCGGATCCGAACTGCCCCCGTTCACCGAGCCGCAACCGGAACATTCAAGACGTCGGGAACGGCCTAGATGTGGGCCCTTCCGGGACTCCGGAGCACACCTCCGACGTCGTCTTACCCCGGGGCCCTACGGACCGTCTTCCGGACCCTTCTTTGTTCATACCCTCACACCCGCTTCCTCTTCGCCTCAATGTAATCCAGTCATACCCAACCCAGATTGACAAACCGATTTGACTCATCCGGAGAAGAACGCCACATGCAACAGGCAGCGCGCCCAAGGCACTCGTCTCCGTGTTTTCCCTCGTGCTTTTTCTCCGTTAGACTGTAATCCCAACCTAACGTCTAAGCCCCCCCCCTCGTGCTCCCTCCATCAAAGACATGAGCAACAGTCACGGCTGTTTTCTTTCACTTACCCCTCTCCCATTTCGAAGTCTGACTCTTCAAAAAGCATATGAGCAATAAAGTCTGAGCCACGACACGGACTCACGATTTAGACTCACGGGGAAGGAAGGAAGGAAGGAAGGAAGCTACCGACCCCCTTCCCCGGTGCTCTTTTCGCGGTCAGAGAGCCGTGTGTGGCTGTGTGTGAGTGTCGCGACGAATGTTACACCGCGCGCAGGCGCCGCGTAGCGTAGCGTGTCGTGGCGTAAGGTAAGGTAGGTAATAGCGTACCCGTCCGGCCCCATCCCGTGCGTGGATAACTCCAACTTCCCCTTTGTGACCAAGGCACCCGGACTCGCGTCCCGGGGATATGATGTCCAAAGCATCCAACCTTTCGGCTTCTTCCGGCGTCTGTGGGTCCATCTGTCCCTCCTCCTGATCTCTCTCCGCGGCGCATCGCGATGATATGAACGGGAACATTCTTTCTGTAAAATTGTGAGTGATGAATTATGAGACGAGGACAGAACCCGACGGTAGCGAGACCGAGAAAGCTACGGGCGCGGGCGCGTATGGACGCAAAAGTCAAGCACGGAGGAATATCCAAGAAACGACAAGAGACCCCTCACTTTACTCACTTCCTCGCGTATACACGTTTCGCAACCCTCTCTCCTAGCCCGTCCCCCATTCACTTACTTCACATGGGAATCATTCTCCAAACCAAGACGCTAATTACCTACCTCGATGAACCGTTGGTGTAGGACGACGATGCACCTCAGTAACAGCTGGCGGCGCGGCGCGCGCGGAGGGAGGGAGGGATGGGAGGGGAGAACAAGACTAGGTTACCCTCGGCTTAAAGATGACCACCACCACCACCACCACCACTGCCTCCACCACTCGCGCGCCCGATCTGTCACTTGAGAAATCTGTCGTGTAGGGTGTGCGTGGGAAAGTCAGATGTCGGTGAGCGCGACGTCCGTGGTCCAGGTCTCTGGACGCGCGCCTTGAAGCATCGTGAACAACACAACACAAGACCACCACAGTCTGGAACCCGGGTCCAATCGCCACCGAGCTCAGTCACATCCAGTCACGATAAGCCAAGGTTTAGGAACGGTGAACTTTGTGGGTAATACTGATATTCTCTCTTCTGTCATGCGGGGTATCTATGGAGGTGGGCTGGACGTGTCTGAGTGCGCGACAAGCTTGTCGTCGCCGTCTGTCCGAGTAGTTTCCCCTTTCCTCCTTTCCCCTCCCCATCTCTCATCCTATCTCATTCCCATGTCATCGACCAATAGGTGATGGCCACTCTAAATACACAACGCCGATCCATGAAGGTGTTCGGTCGAGCGACTCCCCCCGCTCCTCTGAGTGATCCAGAAGAGAGGGCGAAATCCTCGACCGTCACATCTGGGGTATAAACCTCCATGGATGTATGCCGCCAAACTCCGTACTTTGGGAGGGCCATACTAGAGCCAATGTATGATGTTCCGTAAACGAGCCATTCCGATACTCTTCCAGAAAAAGGACAAGCCAAAAATCAAAGCTTGATAACCGTCCAACGCCTTGCTAAATGTAAAACAGACCAAGCCGAATCGGATCGGATTTCGAAACCGGTAGGGCGTTCTATGTGCGGATCAGGTGTAATGGTTGTTGACGCAGATATGCGGTCCATTAGTGGGTATTGTTGTGTTGAGTGTGTCTGGTATCGTCGGCGTGGTTGGTGAGAATCCCCGCCGTCGTGTTGTGTAAGTCTATGATTCTATTGTGATTCGCTCTTCGTGAAGGCCGTCAATCGTGATCCGCTTATTGCTTTGCGCCCAGTAGTTCAATCCTTCCGTATTCGTCTTTTGGGTGTGCGCCTTTAGAAGGTGCTCCAGTTCCAGTCGCGCGGCACGCTGGCAGCGATCTCGGGGCCCTTGGTAGGGGGCAAGAGGCCGGGAGTCGTGGGAGCGACGGGGCTGGCAACGATGGGGCTCGTGGGAGTGGTGCTGGTAGAGTCGGAGCTCTGGTCGCTTCCGCTGCGGCTGCCGTTACGGCTCTTCCATACCTTAAACTCGGTAAAGCAGTGAAAGCAGGCGCGGGAAAGGGCTCCGCGGGGGTTGTAGTTGCAGTCCTCGTCGAGGGGGATGACGTTGGCGGAGTGAGGAGCGCAGAAGATGTTGCCGCAGCGGCGGCAGTGGTGGCGGCGGGTGAAGGTGTTGAAGTTGCGCTTGCAAGTGGTATCGTCGCACATGGTCGACTCGGTGTCGGGCTGTCAGGATATGTTAGTCTCAAGAGGTCATATACGGGGCGCATCGCGTTCGCTCACCTTCCAGTGCTTGCGGGTGGGCTCGCCAGAGACCTCGGGGAACAGCTCAGGGTCCAAGTCAAGGTCGACAATCTTGCCGCTGTCGCCGGTGGAGCGACGCGACAGCTTGGAACCGATGACGCTGAAGCCGGGCAGGCTGATGAAGCTGCTGTTGGAGCGGCGCAGGCAGAGAAGGTCGTCACCGTCCATGTCTTCGGCCTTGGGGGTTCGGGGCATCTTGGAGTGGTGCTGTGTCGGGCGGAGGACAGCAGGCATGTAGATGGGGCGCACCGAGTCGTTCAAGCACGACTTGGGAGAGGTCGGGGAGCCATCGTGAGGAGTGCTCAGGGGAGAGATGCGCTGGCTGTAGGGACGAGGAGCGGTCTGGAAAGACTGAGATCTCGCGTGGGCGAAGTCAGGGCGGACAGGGGGGTAGAAGGCAGGGCCGCGCTGGTCGGCGAGGGTAGGCATTATGAGGTCGGTTGCCATTGTGTTGATAGGTATGGGGTATTCGATGTAAGTAATACTGGTATCTTCGTAATAGAACCGCGTCGGAGGTGGCAGCGGTTGGCGTCGATTAATATGATGCGTGGACGCGTGTGGTGGAAGAATGCGACAGAGTCGTGGCGGCTGGGGATTTATTAGAGAAGGAGCGGTAGGCGAGGCGTTGGTCTCGTGTTATCGTGGGTGGTGTAATTTCGTAGGGGTACCGCCAACGTGTGGAAATATATTTCTCGGCTGTTGACGTAGGAGAAAAGATGCGCGCTCGATCAGCCAGACCGATTACTCTTGTGAATGATTCCGGTGGTTTGGGTGGAAGTGGTGAATGGAGGAGGTAGTGGTGGTGATGGTGGGAGAGTGTTGGTCTTGTAGTGATGGTTGATTGGAGGTATGGGACGAGACAGTAGGCCGTCGTGTCGGGAATGGGGGCGTGTGGAAGGGGGGAGGAAGGAGCCTTAAAGGGCGAACCGTGAGTTCAAGAGGACGACGGGAAGGGGGGGGCATATGCGGGAGCGGGTTCGTTATTAGTTTTAATGTTGCGGCAATTGGCGGAGGGAGTTGCCCGAGTAGGAGGGAAGGCCAGCCGCAGATGGTGCTGCTGGCAAGGTGGAAAGGAAGGAGGGAGGGGTGCGGTCACTGTGAGCTGCGAGAAGGCACACCCCCAAAAAAGCAGACATGACACGCCGCATACCAGGCCTTCATTCTTGGGGGGTACGAATACCATAGTACTCAATGTACGAATAATACTGCGGTCGTGGTACTGCAATACATTTGACTGAGGTGCCAACTTACACCCCCATCGATTACACAGAAGGCTCTCACCGCAGTTGCAGTCATCTCCTCTCCATCACTGCTGCTTCACTTCACGTCACTTTAGACTTCCAGTGGCTCTCCCTTCGTAAACCATAGATAAGAATCCAAGAATGAACTCTTGCCGGTACCTCTGGTATCTTTCGTATCAGTACCCGATTCTGAGTGCTTATGATGATCTATCTCTAATTGCCATTATGCCACTTGCAACAGCCACCGCGGAAGGTCACCGCGATCCCGCCCAGATCCCATCACTCGAGAGGCGCGGCGGACAAGTACCGCAGTTGCAGTCGCAGTCGCAGATGCAGACGCGGACGCATCAGTATCAGCCAGAAGGCAAGGCGGCGGGCTCGATGGATGGCGGCGGCGGAGGCGACGGCGACCGCCCTTTCGCCTGCAAGGGAAGACCCCGTCCGACAGACCTCGAGAGTCAAGAGTCCCCAAGTCCCCAGCGGCGCGCTCCAGTCAGTGTATTCCCAACATCCATGTCCCTGTCCAGCGTGTCCAGCGTCCAGATCCACCTCTCCGAGCGAAAGCCAAGTGCCCCCAATCCCACAACCGGATTAGCGACGGTCTTCTATCCGCCTCGTGGTTGGTTCGACTGTCCCCCTCCCCTTGTCCAACAATAACCCCGGCCAAGTTCCCGTCCACCGGCCTTCTTGACTCTGTCCTGTCATTGTCGCTGTCCTTCTAACTGCCTGTGCAAACAGTGGCTGAATCCCCTCCAAAAGAGAGCCACCAAGCCTCGCCTCTCGTTGCACATCTCCTCTGTGCTTCAGACTTCTTGATCCATTCCGCCCGCCCCCGTCATCAGCTGTACTTGTGTAACATGTCAGTCCCCTTCAAAGTGTCAAGGTGCGCGTGGCCCGTCGCTCACATTCCGTGCTCCCGTGTCTCCGTCACCACCGCCGAGGTCGAGCTTACCATAGTACACTAGACTCTGAGAAAATCCCCAACACACGCGGAACAAGGACCACCGCTGCTCACCACAGGACCCTGAAATGAGCAGCTACGTAATAAGCAGCTCTTGTTCTTTCGCTTCATCAACGCTAGCCCTTTGGCTCAACTCGGTCAACATCACTGGGAGTCTCCTTGGGTGCTGCTCGCGTGTCTTTTTCGTCCTGTCTCGTCTCGGCCTGAACTTCCTGCCGCTAGTTTGCTTGGAGCTACCCTGCCGCTCTCTCACCTTCCCCTAAAGATTAGTGACCGACTGCTTGGTTGGCGCGGAAGACATCGTCTAGCTTAGCCCAGGTCCCCTTCTCAATCCAGGGTCCCGATTCCTTGGCCCGCTGCATGAAAGGAGTCTCGACGTTCAACGACCGAGAGAGGCGAACGGTGAGAAAGGAGAAAGAAGAAAGAAAGAAAGAAAAGCAATAATACCATTGTAGCGCCCGTGGCCTGCAAATTAGCGGTGGACGACCGCTGGAGGGATGCACCTTCCAGACGCTCCGGAGGACCCTTTAACCCACTTCAACGTCAACCTCCCGCCTCATCAGCGGGAAATCCAGCCTTCCGACATGGCACGCTCCTGAACTAGACTGCAGTTCGTGAGATCGACCTCTTTGCGGCTTTGCCTGAGGCGACTTTGGCGCCGTGTTGTATCTGTAACTTGTTGAATGTTGAATAAGACCGCGACCGCCCGGCTGGAGCAGAGTGATAATCGCTCACGATCCCGAGCTGCGGTTGCACATGCATCACTTTCCGCCGTGGCCGCCGGGGGAAAACCACAACGTAATCGTAACCGCTCGCCTGCCGGCAAATGCACATCTTCATCCCAGATGTCTCCAGACTCCCCTCAATCAATGCTCTCGGTCTCCTCTTCCACCTGCGGCTGCTGCATCGTCACCACAGAAATAACAACGCTGGAGAATGGGATTGACAGGGCCCATCGGACAGAGACCGATCTGGACTCTCTGTGGTATTTTTTATCGGCTGCCGCTCGTATCGCACCCAGCACCGACCACGACTCCCATGCCTTTTTTGAAGCGCAGCACATCGGAGTTCGGGGGTCCAACCTCCACTTCTTCATGGGGTTCATCTAGTATGAGAGCAGGGGGATGAACCGACACTTCGACCAGGACATGGACCGCCGCGGCCTGAGATTAAGCACAGGCAGGCTGGGCATCCGTACTCGTGGCGCCGGCTGCTGTTCTCGGATTTGAGCCGCCTTTTTTGGGAGTGGTGTTTCTCTCAAGTATGCGGCGGCATTTGTCTTGTGTAAGTATGTGTGTATCTTCATCTTTGCCGTTTGTCCGCCTGCCTCGCGTTCCTGAACGGCACTTGCTGGACAGTCATGATCATTGCCGTCCTTCGTCATCCGCTGTCATTGCTCCCGTCGACGGGATGTGCCCTCCTCTCCGATGGTGATCCGTCCCCTCCCCTCCTCCTCCCGATGCGTCGATGCGTGGGCGCGCATCCATCCTGCAGCATACCTTATGCGTCTGCACCGCGATAGGCGGGATCCAATCGTCCTGTGCGACGTCGGAACACCTGGTCTGAGTGCCCCTCTTGGTGATGACAGACAGGTCAGATTTCCTGCACGTCGTTTGGTCGGGACCCGGTCACTTTTAGGCCACAGACCCAGTGTGCGACTCGTTCTCTTGACGCTCGACTCCAGTCGTCTGCCGCATGGCCATGGTAGGCGCGCCTGGCCAGTTGCATTTGCAGACGCAAAGCTCAAGACTCAAGCATACTGCAAAGTATGGTACGGATAGTAGCACACTGAGTGACCGAGTGTCAGACCGCTGCCAACCGCGAAGACTGTATTCGTAGGCATGGAAAGCAAATCGTGATGAAAACCGCCGGCTGAAGACCAACGTCCCCTCCGAACCCACCGCCCATCTGCTCAATTGCTGCTTTGGGGTATCTGGCCGGGGTCGTGTCTCTCCACTCTACGGAGACCAATCCTCCACTGAGACTGGCTGGCTGGACCAGACGAACGCTGTTCATTTCCAATCGCCACGACTCGCTCTTCTCCGATCTCCAGCCTCCCCAGTTGGGGAGAAGGCTTGTTGCTTGTTGTTCGTCCGGTTGCTGGACACGTCTGCTGGGAAGTGCCCTCGAGGGCACCTCCAGCGGTTGGCAGCCACGAATTCACAGTGGTGATCGTATGTTGATTTTGGTTGCTAGGCGGTCTGTCCTGTCAACTTTTCTAGCTGCACGCAGCGCCGCCGCAAGCGTCCCGTCAGTTGTCAACGGGGAAATGGCGGGGTGGGTGGCACAGCATCGCCGCGTGCTATTTACGGAGGCGATAAACCACATGGCAATGTCTGAGGGTTTCTGTACTGCGCTGCACAACGCTGCTGTGCGTCGTACGTATCAGCTTACGCCTACCGCAGCCGGCAGCCGTTGAGCGAGTGCCGTTTTTGCCCACATAACGAAGGCTCCGGAATGATCTGGTCTAGTGCAGCGTGGGTTGTTTGCAAAATCTCCTGAGATTGAAGCGCTGCTTTTTCGGTGCCACTATCCACACTGGTCTCATCACCAACCCCAATACGCCGACTTGAGATTGGTTCCCGCTGGCCACTTGAGGCGTCGGCCGAGAAGGCGGAATAGTGCACTCTCAGCAGCGGTTCGACGTCGCAGAAGCTCCGAATCAGTGCCGTACCTAACCAAGCTCAGATAGTTGGGGTCCGTGGACTCCGTGGAGAAGGGCCCGAGTCAGTTTAACCACTGAATATGACGCAGGTTCTGCAACGTAAAACACTCAGTGATATCGGTAATTGTCCATCAATTCCTGGAACAGCAAAAGCCAATCCAGCCACAGATGAAAGATCTGCTCTCAATCCTGACAACTGAGCAAGAAGTCGACAGACATCGACGTCGGCTCTCCACCGCTGTCGACGTTGGTGAGACTCGCCAGAGCTCGCGCAGGGAGGCTCCCGCCTCAGATGGAGATTTGGCGGAGCCCCAGCCCAGCCCGGCCCATCAACTCTCTGAAGGCAAAGCGAAGCGAAAGCAAAGGCCAGCTGGAGCTGGAACTGGAACTGGTCCCAAAGGAGAATATCGTGCAGGGCGAAGAGATCCAGAAACTTGAGTCTTCAGCAGCAGCGACAGCCAGCCAGCCACCGAGTGGTGGAACTTGTCCGCGGTCCACTTCAACTGCCACGGTCCACTGCCTCCAGAACACCTCCAGAAGCCTGGAGATGAGGGCCGTTTGTGGGTTCGCTTTGACTTGGCATTTGCAAATAGCTTGCTAGGAGGCCCGCCCGCGACGGCGCGTCGTCGTGGGTTTCTTCTGGTGGCAGTGGCACTGAGAGATATTGCGACGAAATCTACAGGCCAGCTGCTGGTCGCCCTGCCGCCTCGCCCGAGCGACACGGAATTCTGTGGCGGGGATCCCAGCAAGCAAGACCGCTGCGCTGCGCAGCATTGATGGGGTTCGGGTGCGCGGTTGTCTCCCTGCTTCTTTCGCCACAGCCTCGCGACGACCGTCTGTTCTTTCTCCCGCTCGCTGTCGCCGAAGCGCTAGGCGTCTGCAGCATTGACGGACTGCACGCAGGAGAAAGAGTGTCCCCGGAATCTGGCCGACCCCACTCCCGTCGCCATCCCGTCCCTCTCGGCGGCTCTGGCTTTCGGTCTTCATCCTCTTTTGACTGCAACGTCCGGCCGAGGTTGGTCAATCCGCCGCCGGCCGCTAGGTGCCGGGTGAGGCGTCGACGAGGAAGGCGAAACACACACAAAGGGCGGTTGTGACGCTGACAGATCTGACGAGACGCAAGCGACAAAGATTCCATTCCTGCGAGTCTGCCGAGCACTTTGACTGTTTGACACGATGACGGCCAAAGGCCGAGTTTCCAAATGGGACACCGACATTCCTGTGGGCGCGTCCCGTTATCCCTGTAAGATGATTGGGCGCACGATCGTCTGTTGATTGTTCCTCTGCCGGCCGAGAAAGCTCGCGGTCGGGCTGGGCCAAGACTCGAGACTCAACAGGTTTTCCGCAGAAAAGCGGTGGATACAGCAAATGCCAGGCGCATGAGATTTGTGGTGGCAGGGTGATTAAGGGAAGAAGCAATTCCGGTTGCTGCTTTCTCCAAAAACAGCCGCCCTCTTGGCTCAGCTTGGTCGCCAGCTGTGCGGTTGCAAGCAAGACACATCTGATTCTGGGATCCCAGGTCGGTGGATTGGCAAGTTGCCGCCATCATCCCTACAGCGGTTATCTCTCACGTGCGAGCGACGTGGTCTTCCCCGGACGATGCCAAAATGAGACATGTCGTCGTTAAACGAGCCTCATCTGCGAGGCGAAAAAACCAAGGGATGGGGAGTGGCGACGCGACGACGGGGCGTAATCGAGTTTTGGTTTCAGTGACAAGCAGAGAATCCGAATCAGAATCAGGCCAGGCTGTCGGAAACCCGTTACCCATCGCGATCCCCCTCCTGCCATTGGAAAGATGCGCGGTTGGTTCTGCTCCGTTTGCCTTGTGGGTTAAAGTCGGTGAGTTTTGGATTGGGGTAGCATCGGTAGTGGTGGCCCCTCCCTTGGCCCGCGTTTCCAAGGATGTGAGGTCCCAAGACGGCGGCAAAGCATTGAAAAAGCGACAGAGCTGAACAATGAGGGGATTTCTGGGCATTCTGGTTTCGAGGGGAGCCCGAAAAAAAAACAAAAAAACACACGAGACATGGAGGGTGAGGAGGCGTAGGCGTCGGCGGTCCCAGCGATCCGTTTTGGTGGGAGCCCAGGAGGTACGGAGTGTGAGGGGAGTGGAAAATCGGACGCCGCGAATCGAGATAACGGACCACATTTCGCGAGCACAGACGCGCTTTCCCCAAAAAGGCATCCTTGCTGCATGCCATGCTTCAACATCCCTGCCATTAATCAATTCATGCAGGGTCCTCCACGCTCATTGGCGGTTAGGTGCGCGCTCTTATCGCCCGTCTCTGATTGGCTGAATTGTCAATTGGGTGTGCTGTAGAATTGCCTCAGGCAGATGCCAGGTTCCTCCGCCCGAGCCAACACCCGACTTCAGCTCCGATCCCGGGTTTTCTGCCAGACCTCTCACTGGTTCTTGCCACTCGTCACGGCTGGCAGCGGCAACTTGCAGCTGGCCACCACCACCACTGACTGAGCTGGCTCCCGCTCCTGCAGGGCGTTCGACATGTGACGTCGCTGCACCGGCATCCCTCGTCGGCGCAGTCGGTGACGGCTCCTTCACCGCCTAGTGACATACCACACCAAAAACCACACCTCCAAGTCGTATCGTCCCAATCCAATTCCAGCTCGCCAGCTCATCCCGGCCGGGTATGTTGCCGGCCCAACTAAAACCCAACTGACGGAAGGGCATCCGGTTCTAGAAAAAAGCAAAAAAAGAGGCCGGATGTGAAAGACAGGAGAAATTGCTCGAGATGGCAGGTTGTCACGGATAACGGACGACGGAACGAAACGTTGGGATATGTGTTGTGCCTGCGCCGGCCTGCCGATCCGTGCAACCAAGAACCGCGCGTGCTGCTCCTCCTCTCTTCGACTTCTCGTCCTTCCCTCGCGTAAATTGCGCCGGTCGCGGGCGATCTCTTTCCCATTCCTCTGTCCCAAACGTTCCGTGACGTTTAAGGGGGATTTTCAATGATCGCCGCGGACGGGGGAACCGAAAGGAATGCAAGAGAGTGAGACCAACGGTTCCCCGCGGAGACACTGCCTCCCACCCAAAAATTCCGCGCTCGCGCTTGCGCTTCCCGTCCCTTTTTCTCAAACACCATCAAAATGATCTCCGGGACCCTTGCCGACGATGCGCCCGGCGGCCGTCCATCTCGCACAACATCGAACATCGGTTGCACGGTCGCACCCCAGCCCAGCGAATAAAACTATGGAACCCCCTATGGGCTGCTGCTGCATATCATTGGAATGACATGACGTACCAGGAGGGCGCTCTTCTTCCGCTCTGGGCAGGACGACACGGGATCGCTCGATACCATCGAGATTCCACACAAAGGGGAGCATGGCGAGAGAGTCAGTCCCTCTGTGATTTTCATTTGCTTCGGTGTGACTGACTCTCACACACAATTGATATTGAGGATGATCTTGATACACGGTTTCTGATGGAGGTTTGTCGAAGCAAACATGACGTCGGTGCTGTGACATCTCAACTGGGGTTCCTAAGGTTTGAGCTGCCAAGTTTTTACGGCCCCCAACACGCCTCTGAACGTTTCGCTAGGCGTAGCTAGTGAATAGGGGCTGGATGTCAGAGCGCAGTTGTTGGAGTTGTGAGGAAGGAGGTAGGCTTGATGCTCAACATCAGAGACTAGATGGAGTAAGGTCATAGCTAATTGACGGTCTGGTAGTAACCGACTGCTGACTTCCTAACTGTTTGCTACCTGTGGACGTAGACAGAAGAGGCACAGTACAACGTTGTTTTACGAGAACTCCGATGTCACTTACACAACTTATGATTCTTTCTTAAAGACACTCGGCGAAGCTATATCATCACTGTATAACTAGCAAACGTGTTCGTCCTCATTGTCGAGATTTACAGAATGAGAGACAAGGAAAACATGGGAAAATATGCATTTTAAGGTAATACATAGCTGTGAAAGATATTTCGAGTAATCGAGTTCGAGATCATGTTCCCTCTCCTCTAGACAGACGTCAAACTTGTGAAAGGAAGCTCTTCATTCTTCAGACGTCCGGCCCTTATTCCAAAGCTCCCTAAACATCCCACCATCTTGATCCTTCAACACCTTCGGCTCGCCCTTCTCGACCACGCGCCCCTTGTCCATCACGACGATGGTATCACAATCCATAACCGTGTCGAGGCGGTGGGACACCATGATGACGGTATACCCCTTAAACTCGCGGTGGATGATCTCATGCATCTCAATCTCAGTGGCCTTGTCCACGCTCGACGAGACTTCATCGAGCAGGAGGATGCCTCCCTCGGCACCCTTCTTACCCCTGACGCGCCGGCGGAGAACTGCACGCGCAAGGCAGAAGAGCTGCTTCTGGCCAGCGCTGAAGGACTCGGCTGTCAGATCGACGGAGATCCCGCCCCGGTCCTCGATCGCCGAGAGGAGGCCGACCTGCTCCAGGACGCTCTTGCACTCTGCCTCGTCTGCTTCGTCGAAGGGGTCGAGGTTCTCGCGAATGGTGTAGCCGTCGGGGAGGAAGATGGGGTCTTGGGAGACGGCGATGATGCGGCGGCGCAGGGCGTCACGGTCGACCTTGTTGATCGGGAGGGAATCGATCAGGATTTCACCGGCAGAGTCGGATAAGGGGTCGAGTAGACGAAGGAGCAGAAGCACGAGGGACGACTTCCCGCTACCCGTACGTCCGCAGACGGCCACTGTCTCGCCGGGACGTATCTCCAATTGCAAGTCTCGAAGAGCCAGTTCCTCGGCGGACTTTGCGTCGTTGGACGCACCGTAGGAAGCCGATACGCCCTTGATATCGATAGCACCCTTCTGAGGCCAGCTTTCCTCGGGGAGGACGTTCTCTTCGGGCCCCGTTTCCGGCTTGACGGTTTTGTGGAAAGTCCTGATACGGGCTACAGCTCCGATGCTGGTTTCCACCGACGCAAACGCTTGCACGAGCATGGTGAGTACATCACTAAATAACATGATGGTGATGAGAGATGCTCCGGTGTAGCCCGAGTTCGCGCGCAGTTGCGTGGACATGATCACCACGATAATTGCGATGATGGCGACGGTGAGCCTCAACACGAAGGCCAGGCAACGTTGAATGAGTGCCAGCTGGTATGCCGGTCGTTGACTTGTGTCGAGGAGTTTGTTATTAACCGAAATATCGCTGGAAATAAATCCCAAGGCTCGAAGGGTCGCCAGGCCCTTGAGGGTGTCGATGAAATGGGCGCTAAATGAACGGTCAGCTACGAAGTGCGTGGGAACAGTAAGCATGATTCTCACTATAAAGGACCCTTTGCTTCAAGGTCTAGAAGACGCAACTGCCTCGATGTGCGTAGATAGAACATCTGCACCGCCACCAACACTCCGATGAGGAACGGATAAGTGATGACGAGCCACGGTGACGTGGTTGAGATGATGGCCATCATACCGATGGCGCTGAGGAGACCGAGCGAGAAGTTGATGAAGTTCAGGGGAAGCTCGGTGTCGATGAGACTGATATCCTGTGCAAACAAACCGGTGATGGTACCCGCGTCAGTCACGGTCAAGTACCTCAGAGATGCGCCGACAAGCGTCCGCAGGGCCTGTTGATGAAGTTTTGATCCTGACTGAAAGATCATCATCCGCAGGCAGATGAAGGCGACGAAGGTCATCGCCAAGAGGCACACGACCCGTAGAAGGGCGTAGGTTGTCAGGTAAAACGTTCCAGAGTGTTCGGGATTTGTCGAGGCGATGTCCTCGGACCAGAACTTGAGCCACACATTGGGATAGGCGCTAGTGATACCGTAGATGATGTCCCAGAAGAGAAATGCTGCTAGAACCCATTTTCCCATTGTGCCGAACCAGTGTTTGTAGACTGCGAAATCGCCGAGTTGGCGTGCCTTGTCTTTTTCTTCAGCCAGCTTAGCATCTTTGGCCTTAGTTGCTGCCACAGGGACAGGCGCAGGTTTATCGGTGTCTTCGCGGTCAGCATCCTTGGAAGCCTCCTTCGATTCTTGGATCTTGAGACTTTGGATGTATTTTCCATTGGACTTCAGCTTGGCAAAGGAGCCTTGTTCGACCACAGTGCTGTCAGAGCCGAGGGCAACAATGTGATTTGCTGACGGCAAGTGTCGCACTGAGTGAGTGCAGAGCACTGCGGTCACTCCTCTTCGACGAACTATGCCATCAGGACCAAACACTCGGCGGAAGACATGCTCTTCAGTGTTCGCGTCAAGTCCGCTAAGAATGTCGTCGAAAATCAGGATCTCGCTTTCCAGGTAGAGAGCGCGTGCGAGCGCAACTCGTTGTCTCTGGCCTCCGCTAAGTGTAACTCCGTTGCTTCCCACGTTGGTGTCATCTCCTTTGGGCAGCGTTCCCAGGTCTGCAGACAGCATTGTGGCTTCGATGACTTGGTCGTAACGTTCGGGGTTCAGTGGGGAGTGGCCTATGATGTTGGCTTTCACAGTGTCGTTGTAAAGAAAAGGGGACTGATCGCAGTAGCCTACACTACGACAGTTGACTCCCAAAATGACATCGCCGGAGCTGAATGATGTTTCACCCAGAAAGGCTTTCAATAGGGTTGACTTTCCAGAAGCTATGGGTCCGACGATGATGGTGAGAGAGGACGCAGGAACTTCAATGTTGATGTTTTCCAACACGTTTTTCCCCTCTTCCCATCCAAAGAAACCTTGAGTGACTGTGATGGCAGTCGCTTCAGAGTCGGCGGGCATTGCTCCGTTGTGCTTAGCCGGAATCGACAAGCCAGGCGTCAGGCGGAAGTCCTCTCGGGATTCCTTGTCGAGATAGGCCTGGATGCGGCCTAGACAGGCGTATGCGCCAGCCATCATTGGGAACGTCTGCAGCAGAAGAGCAAGTGGGCCGGCGAGCAGAGTCAAGTACGCCATGGACGTGAAGATGCGTGTGACGTCGAGAGAAGAAGTCGTCGTCGCGAATGCCACTACTGGTCCGAGTAGAGTTGGCATATGCGCCACAGCGACGGTTGCAACGATGGTCAAGCGCCATTTCCACCCGTTTTGGAGTTCTTGAAGCCGTAGTCCGAGTATCAACTTCTCAACGGGGCCAGTCATGGCGGATATCTTCAGCGCCTTCATGGTTGAGATTGTCTTGGAAGTGACTCCCACCCGCTTCTGGATTGCTTTCATCCACACGCCCTGGTTCCTAGCTGAGAATTTCGCAACGAAACTTGCAACAATACCACAGACTGCTACCAGAGCGATTGGGGCCACAAAGGCAGGCCCGATTTGTCGCTGCAGAAGATAACATGCGACTGCGATCTCAATAGGGTTTGCCCAATACTCGTGCCAGAACATAACGCCGCTTTTGAATCTTTCTACGTCGGTGTTCATCAGCGTCAGGGCCGCCGAATCTTCAGAGGCCGAAAGTTTCAGAATAGTCGTCTTGCGGTACACGGCGGACGCCAAGATGCCTCTCATCATGAATAGTGATCGTTCGTGAAGATAGAAATGCGAGGCCTGGCACAAAGCCATGCCTACGTAGATAATAATTGCGGCAGCAATGAAGGCATATCCTTTATGGGGTGACGATTGTTGATCAGGCTCCTGGAGATAGCTCAACAGAGATTCTATCAGTAGAGGCTGGCAAAACATGAACCCTATGCGGAGGAATCGCGGTACCACGGGGAGGAGGAGGGGAACCGCAAGTGTACGGAGGAGGCTCCTCCCGAGGGCGTGAGTGTGGCCGAGACTGGTGTTCTTTCGTAGGCGCGGTTCAAATTTGTTGTACAGGATTTCGGCGGACATCGATTCGTCCAGCAAGTACAGGTCGCTGATGCTAAGAATTTTTCGATAGCCCTTGAGAAAGAGCTCCTTCAGCCAGAAGAAGGTCATGAGCTTGATAATGCCACTGGTGACTTCTGGACTTTGCGGTTTCTGGTCAAAGTACCAAGAGAGAGGTTTCTGGCAGGATTCGAGAGCCAACACTGCGGCTTTGACGGCGGTCGACACGATTGAGACAAGGCTTTGGTGATAGTCCTCCCCAGACTCTACCGAGAGCCAAAGGGTCCTTGACAGAGCAACGTCAAAAATAAGAGTGACCAAGAGATAAATGTCGAGCAGAGTTGAGGGCCGGGGTGATCGATCGTGTTCTAGGAACGAGAGAGGAATCATGATGAGGCCGACGACGAAGCTCATTGCATCGGACGCAATTGCAACTCGAGATGTCCATGATATGCTGCGACTAGTCAGGACCAATTGAAACAATCGGCAACCTGTGTATACAGCAATGAAGAACTAATGAATGTCAGAGCAAAAAAGGTACTCAGAATGACGGGTACTCAGAATGACGCGTTACTTACGATTTTCAGCCATTGCAGCTTGGGTCCCGATGCGACCCTCGGCTTGCCAGATAAGACGAAGACGCGCAAAAGCGCGAGTACAATGAATATGGATGCAGGGACGATTGACAGGATCACCTGCTCAAATCTAACTGTGAAGTCAAAGTCATCTCGGCAGCCACGGACGATAGGGCCCAGAGTATCATCATTCACACATGAAAAACTCATCGCGGCGCGATGCGGTTAGGTTGAGAAGTCAGAGCGTTTGGTCGCATCCGAAGAGGTCTCAGTAGGTTGTTCAAGAAGCTTTGATTGACAGGTAAAGCTTGTTTTCCGTTGACCTGGTCAGATATAAACAATCCCACGCTCTTGCAAAAAAGAGACGTAGCAGTAGCAGCCTGTGCTCGCTGTATCTACGGCGCAGTAATATGTATGGACCTTTGGTTCTGCTTGGTTCGCTAAGGTAAACACAAGGTAGATACCGCTGGCGGGGTACTTTTTTCGAGGCAGGTACGCATACGAATCTGCTTGATGAGGAAGGAGGAATACAAACCCTTGCCGCGATGCCGTGACCCCTGTGATGGGAATTTTAGTGCTCACTTGAACGCTAGGCAGCATCACAACACGCGTGCGATAAGATAATGGTGCGGCATCTTTTATCCGATAGGCCAATTGACAGCAGCGTATCTCAAGCAAGAAGACGTAGATAACAGGAATATAACACTCAAGCTCACAAACAGCTCATCAATGTCAAGGTGCTGTAAAAAAGGTGAAGCTGGTGTTCCTTTTGCCATGCCGAACTTATCAATGCTAACCTTTGCCATCGGTTACATACGTCTAAATATAAGAACCAGAACAATGCCAGTGTTCTACGGCAAGATGCGACCCGGCCCGGTCGATGCCGATATTCTTCGGAGGGCCGGGCCCGGGGCACCGGCGCAGAGACCCACATTCGGGCACCTTCTTTGCTCCGTACCTTCCGAGCTTCTGGATGAAGCCCCATACCGATGGCGGTACTCCCTGGAGCATTTGAGACATCACTGACATGTAGTCAGTGAAGTCCCCAGGCTCCTATGCTGCCCTGGCTGTAAATACCTTCCACCTTATTGCTACCCCCTCTGCAACTCTTACCCGGGATTGCGTGGGATCCCTATTTGACAGACAACATACTACGATGCGGCGGGATGGGATCGACAGAGATGATGTGGGATTCCCTGCAGCACGTCCACAACGACATTCACGACCCCAAGCCCGTTTCAATCCATTTCCGTCGGGGTGTTTCACAAATGAGCCTATCGTTGCATCGGCTTCCAGGGCGATCTCTGACTCGCGAGACTGGCGACTGCACAGACGACATACGGGAAGATGCGGAGCGACCGCTGCAACCAAGACAACGAGACAAGGGTTCGACCCCCTTTGATGCTATTTTGACGATCAACCCTCATGATTTTGGACCCAAATCGAGCGTGGAGGTCTACTGATGGACATCGTCCAACGTCAACCTACTGGCACTCGACGAGGGGGCACTTCATCCGTCAAAATAAAGGCTTACACCGCGTCCGAGACGCGGACAGCATGCCGCTCTCACATACAAGCCAAGAGATAATTGAAACGTTCATCGCCAAGCCTACGTCGAGACCGCAGCCCAAAAGCTTTTTTTTGCCCAAGCCCACGACGGGTATTCCCCCAAATGCCGTAGCCGCAATGCCCCCTTCAACGCCGATAATACCCAAAACTGCCAAGATGCAGCCAAGTCTTTCGGGCCAACTACCGGCTGCACCGCTCGACGTCCGTGGCCGAGCCTCAATTGGTAGACCTCCAAAATAGACAAGACAGTCCTTGATACATCCATAGTAAAAGGGGAAGTCGACATGCCCGGAGACCTGAGAAGGCAATTTCTGCGCAGTCGGTAAGCGCAGGTTGACAGGCATTTCGACAGCTGTTGGCGCCGTCTGATGAAGATCTGAATAGCAAATATTAGCAATTGAAGTATTACATAGGCTTGTAACCGTAGCTGCGAATCCTTTAGAGACCTTAAGTGAACAAATCTAGAGTTGCGATCTTTCCCTCATGGCCCGCAGGCTTGCTTTCGAAAATCTCAGTCAGAATGACATGAGCCTTTCTATCAAGATCTTCTCGACCTTATAGGTGGCCTTGGCGAAGCGGCGAGGCCACAATGCAGGCCCTTGGCCTGGCGCTCGAACCTCAGATTGTCATTAACTACCCTACCCTGAAGTCTGGCTCATCGAGGGGTACTTGGAGGCTGGGCTTTGGCACGCCAATGTTGGGTCGTCAGGAGCCAAGCATTCAAGTCCCATAAATAAAATCTCAAGAGAGTGTGTTCTACGATCAGAGCAAAGTATATAACCATGACGAACGGACTGCGTTCTTTTCGTCTTAACTCATTCATCATCAGCACCTCAGTCATCTCTCATCTGAATATCTTCCGAAGCCACACTCAGTCCCATCTCCATTTGACCTCGTACCTACCTCTACTCCGTGTGCAACAAAACCAGCCAAAATGCGCGGCATTTTCATCACCGTCCTCGCCCTCGCCGCGGCTTCGGCTGCCCAATTCACCGGCCCCTGCACAGACAGCAACTGCGGCGCTTCGGGCGAGAATTGTGAAGCTGAGGGCCGCCAATGCTTCCCTTTCCCCAACGTTAACCCCGCCCTGCGCGAGGGCTGCGTCTGTGGCTCTGGTTAGGGTGACTTACATGTTGGACTTTCGCCAGTGTAAGTAGAAGTCACTGTCTTTCTCTGTTAACACCTGTCATCTCATCATTCTTGCAGATATTCGTCGCATCTAAGCACCTCGGAGCATACACATCCCATGCAAATGGAGTTCCGGATTCTCGATGAACTCGACATGACTCGTCTGAACTTGCTATGCGGACAACATCGACGGCGACGGCAGGAGCGTGTTGGATTTTTGAATTAGACATGAGTTGAATACAGCGAGCGAGTCGATTTCCTTTGAAAACTCTCATCTACGAAATGGATAAACGGTACAACACAAATGAATAAAAACAGCACCCGGGATTTTTCACGAGGTGCTCTTCAATCACGTTTCTTCATACTTCCAGTTGCCCGTTAACACCGGCACAGCCTGCAACAATGTGACCAATATCTGGAGACCATCATTACGGCGAACGCGGACTTAGGCATAAACGCGAACAACGCGAGCAACATCTGTGCTACGTCCGTGAGGTTGTTTGAGCCGTTCAATGCTGAGTGCAAAATCTTGGCTTTCCCCGACGGGCATCTTGCCGAACAAACATGCCCAGCTGGCGCCTAGACTACGCAGATTATTCTGTGAGCTTATCTCATAGGTTTTCATCAGGATGAACCTGGTGCAGAATGCGGAGAGAAAGCTGCTGTTACTTCGTAGTTTTGATGATACGAGCCAAGAAGGTCGTGATGTCAAGCCTACCTTGTCTTTGCTGAGGGACGTACTTCCTTCTCCCCGGCTTATGGAAATCAGTAGTATGCTTCAGCTTCACATTACGATTTCTCGTTGCTCACCAGAGCAACATGGTGAGCTTTTAAAGTCATCGAATGAAATTGGATGAAATAGACAAGCTAAGATGCGAATTGCGATCGAAACGGACCAAAATAACTTTTCGATGGCACAAGTTAGAGAATCAGAAGGTAGGTATGAAGTAGAACTGGCTGAAAGTATCACAAAACCAGGCCTAAGAAGTCTCAACATCTACCCATGGACCCATGACCTTACTCAGATCCGTCTCGGCAATATTGAGATCCCTCTGAAGGACCTCCCGAACCCACGGCCCCCGAAGCCTGAGACCGAACTTGAATTCAGAAGGCACCGTCATGAATCCGGTCACTTTCATCGCCATGGTATCAACCTCTTCAGTCGGAATGATATCAAAAGCCCATAGAAGACTTGCGAAGACCATGAATGTGTTATCCAAAGCCACCCGCTTGCCCAAACAGCTGCGCCTTCCCTGGCCGAATACCGCCAGGGGAAGATCGTTGCGAAGTTTGCCGTCTCCTTCTAACCATCTCTCCGGCATGAACGCATTCAAGTCGCCCAAAGCTGGACTGAACGCCTCCTCGTCTCGTCCAATAGCCCAGGCGTTCGCAAACAGGGTAGCTCCTTTGACAATCCGTGCGCCGTATATCTCATCTTCCCGGTCTGCCCTCCGTGGGATGCTGCCTGGTGATATTGGCCGCCAGCGCATCACCTCTGACACAACGGCGTCGATGTAGGTTAAGCTCGACCGGTCTGAGAATTGCGGCAACCTGTCCCGTCCCACGACTTCATCCAGCACAGCATGAGCCTTGGCTAGAAATCCTGTATTCGCATGTGCAGCAACAAGAAGCCACAGCATCTGCCTCGGCCCGGTTTCCATGCCGCCCTGAATGCTAGTGGCTAGAGTGAAGGCAAGATCCAGGTCCGAGATATCTCCAGCCTCGCCGTATTTAGAAGCAATGGCACGAGCCTGCTTAGTAGCGTTCCATCCAGGGCCAGTCATACCCGTTTCCAGGAGTCGCAAATACAGGTCCTTCTGTGTGTTAAACAGGTTTGCTGCAGAGCGATGCCACGGTGAGATAGATGATGGGAGATATCGCAAAGGAGGAATAAAGTCGATGAGGCCGGGGTTGGCTGCTACATGGGTGACTTTATGCTGGATGTCGACGATCTCAGTGAAGACAGAGTCGTTATGGCTCGGCACCCTCATGCCGTAGTGCAGACCGAGAATGACACTCGCCTGTGTTCTTTCTAGCAGTGGATATAACTCCGTACTACGGACTGTTGCTTCACTTTCACCTCTTTGTCGAATGAGACTGAGGGTGTCCTGAAGAAGCTGTCTCGACTCCAGTTGCATGAGAGGTTGATACCTTGGCGCTGCCACAACCCCCAGACTCGGAGAGAGCATGCGATGATGCAACTTCAAGTGGTCATCGTAGTCATGCATTAGCGTGAACCTCGACTTCCCAGGTCCGGCGCCGGTGATCATCTCCATGCTCACGGAGCTGGGTCTGTTGCTGTAGTACGCGCTTCGCTTTCCGAAAAGTTCCGTCGCTGCTTCAGCGGTGTTGAGGACTACCAATGGAACGATGTCAAAGAGCTTCGGAGTGGCCACTGGCCCCTGAGCCTTGGTCCAAGCATCCCAGTTCAGGAGCGGCCTCTCGAGTGGTGAGTTATGGAGGTCACCAATGATGGGAAGCTTAAGAGGTTTTGGGGTAGAGGCTCCATTCTTGGCTCTTGTCGAGGCGAGAAACAGAACGCTCAGAAGAGCAACAGCGACCAAGCCGATGATTGTTGAATCTGAGGCCATGGGTTTCGGTAGATGAATGAAGCTGCGCCCATTCGGGATGTCGGGCTACGATATGAAGGAGGGATAAAACACCTATGGAGCAGCATTCGATTATTAATAGCGACCGAAGCGTTTGACCAGAAGAGCCATTGTCCATTCTTGCGACCGCGGTTAGGCACAAGAGGTGGAGATACCGGTCTTGGGCTCTCGATCCTACGCTAGTGAACCGTGGTTGAATGCGCCGAGTGATTTACCTAGAATAGCTGAGACTCATGCAGAAGAGGGCCAAAGAAAATGGTGGGCTCACCGTTACTCGCCCGCAGTGAGTGGATGGATTCATCGGACGAACTGCCAGGTTTTATCAAGTGCTCCGCCCCGGAAGTAACGCCGGATGGAGCCCCGGGACGCTAAGTAGGCGGGCCGCTTCGGCCGGCAGAGTTGTGGGGATGGCGGAGTAGAACATCCGATCGGTTGTCCGCTAGCAACGACACTTCTCTGTTGACTTCATCTCTGCACTTTGATCATTGAAGTGAGAATCATGCTCATACCGAAGAATTCTATTTCCTATGTACATTGTGCTCACCGAACTTTCTCGACTGCTACAGCTTTTGGCCGTAGACGACGTGGCTATTATAGTGGCCTGTCAGCATTCTCGAAGCTTGGTCCGGCGATTGAATCACTTACAAGTTTCCATAAGCGTGGAAAGTACCCGCCTTCAGTTCCGCACGAACTTTGGCTAATAGGACGAGGACCTTCTCCTCTGGCCATTTCAGAACCCCGCAGAAGACACGCAACGTGAACGCTTCAAGTCCTTCTAGAAGCTGCACGAGATTGCACATTCCAATGTCTTTAAAGTATGGGTCCTTAGCCCATGGCCCAATTGGCCATTTGTGTACACGGTGATGGATGTTTTTGAAGCCGGCGTCCCTCACCCATGCTTCCAGTTTGGGGCCTGGGCGGGACTCGCGCCCGATGCTAACAGTGGCATCGATGAATTGGTGGTTCCACTGCCATGTATGATGCTCTTCTTTCAGAGTGTCGTCATCTGATTTGAACAGGAAGTCATAGTCCTGGAATTCGGCCCATCCGCCGGAGCTCAAATTACTGTCGATTGGTTAGAAGCCATTCCTGTCTTGCATCTAGATGATGTACTTGCTCATAGGCATTCCCCACCAGTTTTGGCCAGTCTCCAATAGAACCAGCAAGATATCGACTGAAAATGAAGTCGAATTTGGCTGGGTATATCCAGGGGCTCTCTACGTCATCAATCTCAAATTTGACGTTGGGTGGGACCCTGTGACGCTGTTGTCAATTTGCTATAAGTGTGCATTCGCAGTGAGGACTCCTTACCATTCTGGCTGGATGGCGCTCAAGTCATTACCAACGATCTATGAGATGTTAGCTGAGCCATCTTTCCAAGACTCAATGTTCATACTTCAGCATGCTCGAACAAATCACCCATTTCGATGGCCCCTTGATCGCGATCAGTACACGTAAAGCTCCCACTCATGATTTTAGCAGATACTCACAAATACCCGTCCCAGTTCCGATGTCGAGGATCCGGTGGACTTTCTCAGGTTCCAACGGAGCTAGATAAAGTTCTCCATTAAGAGTTTTGCGAATCAAGGCGTGCGTGAAGTCAAGTCGATCATTTTCGCTCTTCAAGTTCGGCACAATTAGCAAATGCTGACTCTGCAGTATCTCGGCTTTAGGCTTGATGTACCTCGTCATTTGGAGCGAAATATGCTGTTGTCCGATTAGTCCCCAAAAGCATGCGACCCGAACCGCAATAGATGCAAGACCGGAGGCGAGATAATCTTGGAGAACTCACATCCTGACCGGTACGCATGATAGCGCCGACCGTGCTCCATCGGATAGCTGAGCACGCTCGATGTCAATGTCGCCGTGTACTGCGACCTGATTCATCAGCGCCATCAAACAAGAAGGTATCAGTGGTTCGTGTAAATGCTCACAATTGGTCATCGATGGTAGAATCAGCGTCGGAGATCTGGTCAACGAGTCAGTAGAGTGCATTTGGCATACTGAAGAACCTGAGAATGTCTCACTCCATTATCAACCTCAATCGGACCATCTACATGACTAGACGCCGGAGAGACCCTGCCTTCATTTTCGTCGGTCATCCTATTAGCGCCTCATCGGCAGCCGTGGGCTTGACGACGAAATGAGAACCGCGAAATGCCGTAGTAGCTGCGATGCGCCGAAACTACAAAGACGATGCGCGAGACGATCGCAGAGGGGACAATGAAGAAGTTGATGGGCGGGGGAAACCTTGAACATCGCTGACGAAGGGAGATCTGGTAGGCCATCGACTGCCCTGTTCAGCCTGTCTTGTTCACTGTGAATGCCGAGATCATCTTGGACCGTTACGGATGCAGATGCAGATGATGGTTTCTTTTCCAGATCCGGCGCCCACCTACAGACATGATGTCCGGGGTCGGGAGCTAATCACGGGCTCATCTTAGCGGGTCGGCCGGCGCAGGCCCCGACGCTTTGATGTTTCGAAGCCAATCGCGACAGTCCGCTTACTTTCCCGGTCGCCCGGTCTGCAGGCAGAGTTCCAAGAGGACATGGATGCATGAACCAGTTTAAAGACAAACATTCCGCATTGCCAGGCGGGGATAAGAAGTCGCGCTGCAGGCCGAATGAAGGAAAAATAGCGTTCCGAAGATAACGAAGCAATGCCACTCTTCTCCCAACGGTATTCTGCTGGTCGAGGGCCGCTGCCGCTCTCAATTATGAGCTTTGGGCCAAATAAGATGACTACAGCGAATCAAATATCGGAGACTTCGACAACTTGACTGTGAAGACAGTGAGTGTTGCCGAGGGGATTCTTTGGTGACTCTTATTACTGATACCTTACTGGCGGCAGAACTAAATCAGTGCAAGTGCAGGCTACAGAAGTTTCTGACATGTTACTAAAGAGATGGAACTGATATATGACGAAGCGATCAGTAAATCACGCTGCCAAGCACCCAAGGTCATGGGAGATGGCCAAAATCATCCTCGTCAAGTGCCATCTCTCCGCCGAAACTTCCCATGAACCCTTGGAATCCCTCTCCATCCCATTCAAGACCGAGCCCTGTCAACAGTCCTTCACCATTGTCGAGCCCACTCCCGAGGAACCCCCCGAAAGGACCTGCGCCCATTGTCTCCGCCTGTGCGGGCGATTGACCTGTCCTTAGTAGCGACTCGTCCATCCAACCATTCTTAGTGAGTACAAGACGAATCGATTGGGCTGCAATCCGTGCTTCCCTGGACGTTGGCTCGCGCTTCCTCCAAGCACCCAGAGATTGCTTCAGCGCATTCTTGATTTCTTCTTGTCGGGCTAGGGCATGTTTGTTACCCGGGACATGCAGCCCTTTATGTATCATGACACAGAGTGTCATACAGGCTGTGAGAAAGGTATGATTTCCCAACAATAAAAGCTTGGATCCTGCGGAGTGTAGCAGTCCACCGACGGCTGCTTCTTCGTTGAGAGTTTGTTGGAGGCCTAATACTAACAGACAAGAATCCAGACATTTCTCGCGGGAATAGACGAACGTGTCTTTCTCAGTGTCGATGTTCAGGTACTTCCGATGTAGCATCATCTCTCCCATGCGAAACATGAGATTCAAGTAATGCCGGTGCATGATCAGCTGTGGAGGGTCAAGAACAGAAGCCAAGAGAGGCTTCATCTTCAACGGCGGTGGCAGACTTTGTTCTGCGTCCCGTAGTTGTTGGTCCACGGCCAACACCTCGGAGTAAGCTCGAGGCTTAACAGAAGTGGACAGATCAACTGCGGCACAGACTGCTACAAGCATACGACTTCTCCCGATGAGTTGAAGGACCGCCGTCACCTCAGTCTCGGGTTTACTGGGAGGGAGCTCTTTGGTATCCTCGTCAAAGTCAGAGTCGTGAAGATTGCGTGGCTCCTTGGTGTCCCAGAAACTGCTACCGATCCTTCGTGGAATTCCCGTTTTCAGTGACATCTGGAGGTCGCCCTCCATTGACTTGACCCAACTTCTCCGCCTGATCTCACCTTCGAAAGGCGTGAGGTTGGGAAAGTGAGACGGGTCCCTGTGATAACCCATTTGTAACAGTAGGTTCATCGACAGTCCATGGAGGATTCCTATCGTCTGAGTGAGATCTTTGCGGGATGATAGTTCGATGACGACATATTGATACAAAGTCTCCCATGTGTAAGGGCCGCCGTTGGCGTATCTGCCCAGAATGAGACATTGTGCCGTTTTCTCGCGGTACTGGTCGACCAACGCCGTCGGATCTTCTGCTTCGGACATGCCTGCTAAGTCGGACGACATAACAGCCATGCACATGATCGAATACAACAGTCCGAGCCACATGACGGGGACATCAGCCGGGGACTCCCAGAACTTCTCATACTAAAAGATGTCAGCTCATAGCAGAGATCACGTAGACCAGTTGACATGCCTCTCTAATGAACTTGCCAGTGTGAATCGCAGCTTCAAGTCATGTCAGCTCAAGAGTGTTTTGAAATAGACTTGAAAAAACTGACCGGCGGCTAGATCTAGCGAGTTGAAATAGTAGGCAATGTACCGATCTAAGACTTGCTTGGGAGGAAGTGCGTCCAAAATCTGCGCTTTCGAGGCTGGACGAACGCTGTACAGAAGCGGCATTTCCATGTCGTCTTCTGGAGCTGGTACTGAAGCCGGGGTCGCACTCTCAGTCAGAACGTCCTCTTCAGCCTCCAGGTGATCCTTGAGCTCGGCGATGCTATCCAGGATAGAAGCCCAGTGGCCGCTGTCGACGTAACGAGACTCGGAAGCATTAACTCGAATGCTACCACTTTCCGAAGTTTTAGAGGAGCGTTCATACGCGTCGACAGGTGTGTCATTGTCGCCAGACGCCGGCACGCTTGATAGCTGATTAGTTGAGGTGCTGCCTTGTAAGCCAGTGGCATGGGAAGTCTCGCTAATCCGAGCGGAATCCCCGATCATGGAGGCAACCATGCTTTCGAGTTGCGATAATCGAGCTTGAAGGTTCACCCGCGGTCGAGAAGATGAAGCATGTTGAGCTACCCCGGCGGTGTGGGCCGAGCTATTGACGGGGTAAGTGCATTCAAGGCCTCGGTCAACACATGTCTGACAAGGCCGCTGCCTATCACATCGACCCCTGTGAGTGGTGACTATCTTTCAGCATTGATACTTCATATATTGTTCACGGGACAAGCTTCTTACTTGCGCTGCCGGCAGAAATCGCAAACAACTTGGGGCTTGTCCCGTCGTCGGCCAGGCGGGGGCCGTTGCCGGTCCGTTCCGGTCGAGGATGACATCTTAGGCAAAACGAAACGAATGACGGGGCGCAACTAAGATTGACTGAAGATGAAACTTTGCCAGTTGAGAATACTACTCTGGACAATTTGTAGAAGGAAGAAAATGCCACGGCCGTTGAACTCTCAGCCTGTTCTTTGTTAATGCCGCACAAGCGGGCAAATCGGAGACGGGTGCCCCACGCCGCAACTGGAGAGTAAGCACTTACAACAAGACGTCGAAGCTAAGGAACTCTAATGTCTCCCAAAGTCCCTTATTTCCGTGATTCAGTCTGGTTGAGTAACCGTGATGCAAAAGTACCGTGCAGCGGGTTTGTGGCTTCACTGGTGGTCCACTAAAGTACCTGTCGAAGTTCCAGCTGATCTTTACATGTAATTATCTATTATTTGTAAATGTTCGAGAATGTTTTGACAGGAATTTCTGTCTATAGTCCTGATCTGATTTCTCGCCGACGCCTAAAAGCAAACTTTTTTCTATGCCGCTGATTGAAAGATATAATGCAATTCGGGAAAGGCGATGAACACGTCCAAAGAGGTCATAGGTTGGTCGTTGTCTTACTGCGTAACCATTCTCCATACTTGTAGAAGAGCATCGGAGCTGGAACGAAAGCCAACGACAAGAAACCAAGAAGAGTGTTACCCCAACCGTAGTTCAGTGTCTCGTACATCTTCGTCCCAGCCAGTGGTAGAAAAGCACCAAAGAGGCAACGCAGAAGGATGTTTGCGCCAAGGGCTGATGCAGCGGCCTCGGAGCCGAACACATCCACCAAGTATATCTGAGCAGGCAGCTGTTTTTTTGTTAGCAAACTATGCATGAGTTGTCCAAACCGGGGGAACTTACAATGACGAAGAAGGCGCCAAAGCCGATGAAGAAGGTGCCGATGATGGGTGCGATCCAGTGCACCTCATAGTATGCCGTCCATCCATAGATGAAGAAGCCAATGGTCATCGAGGGAGCAAACCATATCATCAGTATCAGCCTATGCTCAGGCACAGATCGACCTTCAGACTTTGCGCGCCACTTGGACACGCGATCACTCAGAGTGCCGAAGACGAAGAGGCTACACAGCTCACCAATACCGATTCCCAGGTAGGCCAGCCCCACGATCTCGGCGCCGAACCCGTATACACCTTGGAAAATGGGTGTGATTGTGGTGAATAGAAGGTATAGAAGACCAAAAACGAGACCAACATAAACGGACATGATGAGGACAACGGGGGAGAATATGAGAAGCTTTCCGGTTCGCACAAAGGCGCCCACCAGGATCTGAGATGGTGTCAGACGACGGTCCAGCTTCGAGAATAACTCTTGGTTTCCGGTTTCACGGCGGAGACCGTCGGCTTTGCGGGATAGAAGTATATTTGGGTGAGTTTCGCGGAGAAAGATCAGTGCTATCAGTGAAATGACACTGCTCTATACACGGAGTCAGGTATGAAAGGCTCGTCAGATCTGTTTGAGACAGAATGCTTACCATGATGGTCATGAGCCAGAACGTCCAGCGCCAACCTTCGCGAGTAGCCATTACGGCCCCTATCACCGGCCCAAGAACTGGTCCCATGAGAGGTCCAAGGGCGAACAATGCTCCAGCCGGTCCACGGGCTTCTGATGGAATGACATCTGCAATGGTACCTCCACCAATTGTCATCGGGGCGGAGCCAGCAATGCCAGAAAGAACCCGGAAGATGAGCAGTTGGGGGACAGTTTTGCTGAGGGCCGTACCAACGATGAAGGCAATGAAAAGGACGTTGCAAACGTGATAGACGATGAGGCGGCCATGCATCTCGGAAGCAGAGGAGATAATGAGCGGCCCCAGTGCGAAACCCAAGAGGTAGATCGTCACGGATAGAGTACCGATAGTTTGGCTTGTGATGTGAATGTCTCTCACGACATATTCCATACCCGGAGCCATCATGGTGGCAGCAAGGTTGCTAGAGAATGCGTTAGACACTGAGTGCACTAAGATAGACCGGAAAATACTTACACTACTAGCGAAAGTAGCGAGACGATGACAACATGGCCATAACGCAATCGCGCCGACCAATTCAGTGGGTTTCGGGGATCTTGGGGCCCATCCCAGTCGACAACGTTCTCGTCATTGTTGATTGTCGGTGTATTTGAGCCAGCTTCAATATCATCCAGTGTCTTTTCTGGCACTGAAGTGACGAGAGCCACTGGAGTCTCCATTTTCGCGTTCGAGATGAGGATGAAGTGATCTTGGAACTTGGGTGTGATGATATAAGCGCTGGACGAAGATATTGCATTTACATATGGCAAGATGTTCGCTTTTAATGTGATCAAACACTGGAAGATTGCTCCGGGTCCGCCTCCGGCCGCCGATTTGTAAGTGGGTCGGACGGAACAGCACACGGTCGGAAGGTCGGCGGATCAGCCATCGGAGGGTCGGACGGTCACGCGCGTAGGGCCGTACCCGACGCTACCAATTCTGTGGCTGCATGTAAGACGTTCGGGTGTATTAGCTACACTAAGAGTCACGCATAGATGTCGAGAGCCAAGCATATCTCATCATCTTCCCTGTATTTCATAGGCTTGATCAAATTGTCGCTTACTGAGATTCAACCACTAATGCTGCAGCTCACACACCCTTTCAGCGTGGTTTAGAAAGCCATGTCAAAACCCTGGGATGCCCAAACCCGAGCAATTTTCCCGTTGAGAAACCCGTACATGGCATGTTCGTACAGCTTGATCTTCTCCTTCCCATCCGCTCCCTTTTGAAAATTCTTGTTCTCGGGAACCCCCTCGAGCGAGAGCCTGACGAACACCTGCTGCTTCTCAACATCAGTCACCATCTCCTCAACCTTGTACTTGAGTCCTGCAATCGCCGGTAGAAGAACACGTTCAAGGAAGGGCGGAACTAGGTCCCGGCTTTGCGGCTTCCCGTTCATCACAACCGTCTCGGCCCACTTCTGCGGGATGACTGTCGGCATCGTGCCCTCGTTGTAACTGTTGATGTATACATGGTACGCATCGCTCATCTCTTTGGCTGATAAGGGGCCGAAGGAAGCATCTTGCTCGATTGGCGGCAGACTGGGCACCGGCGGGAAAAGCGCCTTCGGAGCCTCAATGCTGTAGTACCGTGAGACTTTCTCTTCATCGTCGAAGACGAAGAGCACGAGGCCCCAAGCTTCGAGTTGCTTTCCGTCGGAGTCAACTGTTCTGGTGATTCGTCGAGCGCCGAGAGACTTGCCATCGGAGTGAATCGCGACACCGTCGACCCTGAACTGAGTGATGTTGCGCTTCTCTACATCTTCAGCGAGGTGACTGACGAAGTCTTCGTTGCTCACTTGATGTTCGTTGTACACCACAGTTGATCGGATGAACTTCTTGGCTTCGTCCCATCTCTTGAGATTGACTCCGTCTAAAAGAGCTTGGAGCGTAGATCCGATGTTGCGGGCCGACATGGTTTGGATGGAGCTTGCGAAAGATGCTGACTGCGGTTTCCTGAGTCTCAACGGCGAAGTAGATGCGGAAATCCAGCATTATATACCTTTTATGAGTGAGATTATTGCCAAGTCTTCATGTAATCCCACATGACACCTGCCAATATCTCGGTGTGGGCATGCCGGAATCAGTAATCGGTTCCCGAACCTACGCCGACGGGCCGGCGTGAGTACATGGCTCCCGTTACTTTCAGGTGCTTCGAAGCCGAAGGGCTGTTCTGATTGGCAGTCTTCTGATGACGAAAGTCAATTGGGGTCTTCGCAATTAACCTTAACTTCATTCTCCCAAGTCATCCTGCTGTGCGGCGGAGGCCGCTCCGCCAAGGACCCGAATTTGTGGGGCCGTATGTTCGGGACCCCCGGTGCTCCCGATCCCTCCGGATAGGATAATAACCGGATGCCATATGTTGCTATGCGTCGATCCCTTCCGAACATGCTCGTTCGCGGTTATACTCATGCTAAGCTAAAATTCGCCTTGTTCTCATCCCCCTTTCTATCGAGCCCCTCTCTTCAGAGGAGGAAAATCAGAAACGTGGCTCGAATCTTAATGAAGGATTCCAGTCTTGCATTGTATGATATACTTCTGAGTTTACATATATGTGTGTACAAAGTTTTTGATATCTGATGAAGACTTTTGGTGGAAATGAGAAGTTGTGCTCATGGCTTCTGCGATATTTGACAATACATAGCGAATGTCTTGATGTCTGAAACCTAGACACAGTGAATGGCGTCATCCAAAACATCACATTTTGACTCAAAAAAGCTGGTTCAATCCCCTCGCTTAAATCATTCCCGCAGGTTCTTATCATGCTTTGGCCAGGACCTTCAATTCAGCCTGTTGGCTGTTGCCAGGGTTACGAAAATGTCTGCCTGGTTTCAGGGAAGGCGTTCATGCAGTTGGTTGTCTGTGAGTAAACTCAGCCAATGAGCGATTAGCAATATGTCTCGTCAAGGCAGGTCAGTATGATTACGCGGGCGTCTTAAGGGTCTTTGGTTGTTGCCTGCCAAAGACGTGATTTGTTTGGATGAAAGTGCGAAGCTCTCAAGGCGGTCGAATTGAAGATGCTTCATGAAAATCATCATGTACTTGTACACCTGAAAACTGAAATTCGATGCGCTGGTTCTTCTGTTCCCTTCAGCTGAGCTGGTGATATGTGACAGCTGGAAAAGTATAAGAACCCCAACTTAGTCCGAGCTTGCCCTCCAGAACCGGTCCTCCTTAGTCAAACCACAAGCTCCAACAACACAGAGCCATCCATTATCATCAAATTCACAGACATATACCCATTCAAAGCACTTTAAACCCATTATATTCATCAGACAATCAACATGTCCGCTGCCGTTGAATCTGCCCCCTACACTGGCCCTTCGCCGCGTCACATGATCGACACTCACACTCTCGCCCAGGAGATCATCAACCGCAACAACGACCCCTGCCCTATTCTTGACGAGAACGAGCTTTCTCTCCTCTCCCAATTTGTTGCCGATCCTTCTCAAGCTCGCGCCCTCCTTGAAGCACGCGGCCTTTCGCAAGAGCCGACCAAGTCCGGCAGCTTGGTTGCCTACGTCATTTCCCTTCACGACACCGACAAGGCCGCCCTTACTGATGGAGAGATCAAACTGCTGAAGGAATGGTTTGAGGATGAACAGAAGGCCAGTCAGGCTTGAATGAGTGTGGGCTCAGTGTCATGTGGGTGAGGGGGTATGTTGTCAGGGAGTTTCCATAAGTCTTAAAGCGACGCACACTCAATTCAACTATACTCGTCCTTTGAGATGAATCAAGCGTTCAACATGCTAGTGAATCGGAGCGTTTCTGTGCAGACCCATCGCGGCCCTGAACTTCTCCGATGACATGCGCATCTGGCGTCTGGCTTGGCCTCGAAGCCTTGGGTTCCAGAATCGTCTCTCTTGCGAAGCCCCTCTATCAGTCTGAATAGTAGCGGAAGCATGGTCTGTAGCATGGGTCGAGACATTGCCGCCCATTGAGGAGTAAGAGGCTAAAACAATCTTCAGCCACCCCCGGGTTCGAGAACCTACGAGCGTCCCCAAGCAGTCAGAAAACTGTCGGAGTCCGTAGTTTGTGCCGTTTTCAGTGTCCAACTCCGCTGCTTTCATGACCAGACTCATGTCGATCACCACGAAGACTCTCTCAAAACGCTCAAGAGAACGACCAAGGATAGCAAACCATGAAAAAACAGAGCGTGCACTTTGTATGTCCTCCAGGCGTATGGGCTCACGAGTGAATTGGTTGACGGGACAACTGTGACTAAACGTCTGAAGTACTAGAGCCCGCAAGATATCCGTGATGGTCGGCTGTGACGCAAAGCTGGAAGGGATGGCCCATATGACAGGTACCCGGGACTCGAGGACGGCGTCGACGAAATCAATCGCGAAATCCAGCGAGCTATGTCGAAATGCCTGAGCCTGCGCCAAAAGTAAAGAAGAATGCTGGTCTTCGGCCCAAGCTTTCAGTCTCGGAAACTCCGGTCCCGGCAAATGGGTTGGCGTTCTCATTTTGCGACGATTTCTGACGGACCGGCAAAAGTCTAGCATATCGGATGCGCTTCCACAATCCGAAGCAGTTGACTTTAACTCATGTTTAATGTGTTCAGACTGCCATTCGAGCAGCAAAGAGTTCTGGCCTTGCTGTTGGATCAACATCTGATTGTGAAGAGCTTGGCTTTCTAACAGTAGATGTTAGTTATACACTGGTAGGTAGGGATCGATATGATTACCTATCATATGTTGCGATATTTGATGAAACTGGCCCAACATCTTGTGAAAATCACCCCTCATGCTTTGAATCTCCTCTCTTAGAGAGTTGTTCTCCTGATAAAGGCCTCTGACTGTGAGGTGAACGTCTCGAAGCTCGGCCTTCGCAGCCGTATCAGCCAGTCTGTCGACATGCCTCGATCTTTCGGCAATTTCATCCACAGTGTTCTTCATCTTGAGTTTGTAAGGGCTGACGATTGCTGATATTACATGCCTGACTTTGTTCTGCTTGTACCACTCTACTGTCGCGATTACGAACTCAATGATCTTGGCATAGACACCAGCGACCGCATCTTGCATGTCTGGCGTTCGATATAAATCGGATAACGACGTTGTCCTAGGCAGAACATTCGCTATATCAGTGATGGCTTTTGACGTCTCGGCGAGTAGCTCTTCATAGTTGATCATGGCCTGTAGACGTCAGTTCGGGTCGCCTGCTGCTTTCGCGATCATCACACCTCACGGAGGTGGAATCAATAGCTTACCGTGAAGAAGAACTTAAAAGCCCCCCATGCAAGGGATACATATTCTGGGTAATGCTGGGCCAGAGAGTCAAAGACAGCTGCGACAGCGACGTGTCAATATTTCCCAGGTGTGAATGGAAGTATAGAGGCCAAACGTACGCGCATAGTAAGCGACTCTTGACGAGCACGTAGCCAGAAGCTTCCAAATCTTTCCTTTGGGGCTTTGAGCTTCGTATCTGGTTCTTGCTTCCTGGAGCGCATTTTGCACATCCTGCATCGTGTTCTTGCTTCGAAGCCATAATATGTCGCATTCAGCTGGAGACAAACTAGCCGTGAAGATGTCCACGGCCTTCTCGAAAGCATCCTTTGCGGGGTTCAGACACCTGAATATAGATCAGCTACATCAATAGATACTGCCGAAAGTCTTGAAATACTCCGCAGAATCATCATCGTTATATCGCGACGTGAGTCCTCCTCTCAACGGTCTGTGTATCAGGCTGAGATGCTGATTTCGTGAAGTATTAACTGTTGATGTGACGGGAACACTAGATTTGATTCCCGGACTGGTGGAGACCACGTTGCCGAAGTCCAGTAGAGACGTTAGGACCGTTCCGTCAACTTGAGGCCGTCGGTTCAGAGACTGCACAAGGTCCTGGCGTTCCATGGCGTCTATTGTGACGGAGCTAGCCTACATGTATCCTCCGTGTCGCGAAAGGCCCTCGTATGCCTGACTCTCAAAGTACGGTACTGTTAGCAGTTTGAACTCCAATATTCCAAGTTCAGCATGAGCTTTGGGTGCAGATGATGGTTAACCATCAGGCATACCATCTAAAGTTGACACATGCGTCGACGCGCACCGGTCCAACGACTTGGAGCAGGCTGTCGCGGAGCAGTCCGTTGCGAGGCATCCAATGTGCCAAGGGCTTACATGTATGCATGGGGACGCCTCAGAATGTGACCATACCTGCATAAGGTACGAAGGGCCTGCTATGTCAAATCAGGCAGATCTTCGGCATGCCTTGGAACGAGGCTTGTCGAATTTCTCCAGTTTGTTTTGCGGACGATCATGAGGAACATTTCGGGACGTTGATTGACTTCAAAGACATGGCATTGAACTGTACCGGAACATACTCCACCAGATCCGACGGGGTAAAAAGCAGTTGCAATGTCAAGGGATGCAGCTGTAAACGATCTGCCAGAATCCATTTGAAACTAACAGACAGTACTGATTGGTATAGGCAGTACGCACCTGTAGTAGGCTGCCACGTTCGAAATCATGGCATGCGTACATGCATGCATGGGGCGTAGGTAAGGTAGGTATGCTGACGTTGCAGGTGATAAGGTGCATCCGACTTGATGGCGCCACCACGGCCTGTGCCTGCCTTCTTCAATATCTTTCACTTTGGGTAGGAATCAAGCATTGCCTCGTTACCTCCTGATCTGGTAGGTGCGGAATGACATCAGACGTAGACTCTGAGGGGTTCTACCCTACTTATCAAACTTCTTGTCCTTCTTCTTCTTCTTCTTCAGCACATTGGGAGAAACTTTGAAACTCTACATTTCATCATTTTTGTCACCAAAAAGGAGCCGAACATAATTCAGAACTACAGTCGTAGTTACGACAGTAGAAGAAATGTCTGATTTTCCGCCAGGCTTTTCCGGGCGGCCCCCTCAGGGGGGACAATCTGGCCTGTTTACGGAGTCCACGATTTCTCGAGATGACACGAAAGGAGCTGAGGTCAGAGAGCGAAATATATTGGCGACATCGGATCCCCAACGAGCAAGGGAACCCGCCCATATACCACCTGCCGGGCAAGTCCCGCCCGGTAAGCAAGCGTATGAGCACATTGTGAGCTATCGTGAAACTAAGCAGTGATCCACGATGGCAGGATATCAACCCAGACCACCTTCGCAAATCAATCCCCACGTTAAACACTTCCTTACTCAGGAACATCGGACGCAGATTGGAAGACAACAGGCTCAAACATCTGACCTAGACCTCGGTTCAATCGATACCGGAGAGTTCGTCTACGAGGATGTTCTCGAAGAAAGCAGTACCTCTTGGCGCCATGATCTTGTCGCTCGGAGAACAGCTACTGGCTCGACAACTCTGCAAGAACAGTCGAATCAGCCAGAGAACCAATCTCAACATGGAGATTTGGGGAAAAGCCCAGCGAAGCCTGAAAACTCCTCGAACAACCCCTCACTAGCACTGGCGTTAGGGGCTTTGGCCGATGACTACCTCAACCTGGACGTTATAGACGACGGGAGCGATGTAACAAGATACATCTCATTTCTAATCGACACTATAGGATCTCTACAATCCAGGCTTCATTTCCGGCAGAATTTCAAAAATGGCCCTCCAAGCAAGGATCAGGAGGCAGCCAACAACCAATCCACCGAGAAAGAAAGTGGTTACAGGGTCTTGCATCGCATATTTTGCAGTCTTAGTTATCATGAGCACGACGGAAGAGTTTACGAAGACGAACCAATCGTTAGGAACATCATTGGAAAGGGAGGCACGGCTGAGGAGATACTGTCCGCAAAGGTCGAAGTACGAAACATTGACAAGTATCTTCGAAAACACCCGAATGTACACTTTCTAGTGTTCGAAGAACATCGCTGTGTCTTGAATATTTGGTTAAATAACCTCCTTCAAAGGGAAAAGGAGGACTACAGGTGGGGAGAGATAACTCCGCAGATGTTCGACACCGACAGAAGCGAAATTTCTCCAAGAAAGGAACGAATGAAGATAGCATCGCAACTCCTCGAGAGCTCTCTAAAGATGGTGGCCGATTGCAAGCTTGATGAGATCTGGCTTGAGGATTTTGATGACGAAAGTTGGGAAATGGAAGCCCCGTATAATTTTCTTTTCCACCATAGGAAGAAACTCCAGGAATTCGCATCATGCGATCCAACCAGGGGCCAGGCAGTCAAGCATCTTCTCGACTACTTGGAAGAGAACTTCGGGGCAGAGTTTGCAGGGGCTGACGACGAGTTCATGAGAGGGGTTGTCACTGAGGCAAGTATTGAGAAGCTCTTCAGGCCCAACCAGACGGTGGTTTCAGAAAATGACAAAGGAGTTACGAGTGCTTATATACTGGACGAGTGGCCAGTAAAAAAAGCAAATCAGCTCTTGTTTTCGGGTTGGCATTGGGCGTACGGCGGCAGACAACTTGATCGAAAGCCTTGGTATTCCAAGATTGACTTGGTTCCCTTCAAAGGCAACTTCGAACGACCGTTATCGAAACTTCAAGTTGTCCCAGCTCAGTATGCAGATGAAAACCTCTTGGCGATGTTGCAACGGCGAGGCGAGAAGTTCTGGAGCATGAGGAACCAGTCATTCGTTTCTTACAATGGCTGGGACCAGCATCACGACTATTTCTATGTGAGTTGAATGATCATTTTACTGGACTTAACTACATGTAACTGACATGGAACATCACAGTCGAAAGAGAGATTCATGGTTGACATGTCTACTTATTCGAAGCTGCATCCTCGACCGCGTCCAAATGCATTCATGCCGGGAATTAGACCGCCTGTGCCAAGTGAGATTTCAGACTTTGACGACAATCCCCGGGTAATCAGGCAAGATGAGGATTTGGATGAGAGACAGGTGATGATCCTTCCTGCGCACACGTACGGTTACAGCCTGCGAGAGAAGAAATGGGGTGAGCCCTGACTTCCGTTGACGTTGAGAAGTTGAGTTTGCTGACTTTTACCAGTCTCGTTGAGCATCGCGCAAACGGAATCTATCGCATGGAACAAGAAAGCATTTGATCGACTGGTGCTACAACCCGATACGAAACGGTTACTCCGAGCGCTGATCAATGTTCGGATGTCCAACACCAAGAAGATGGATGACCTTGTCAGCGGGAAGGGCAATGGTTTGATCATGTTGCTGCATGGAAGCCCAGGAACGGGCAAAAGCCTTACAGCTGAAAGGTTGGTATTTCACTTCTAACGATAGCGACATCAGAGCTTACAGAAGATGATCCAGCGTTGCTGAGTACGCCGAGAAACCACTATATCGCGTAACATGTGGAGATATTGGAACAGAACCCACGGCCGTTGAGAAATATCTTGAAACCGTGTTGTATCTGGGCAAGATATGGGACTGTGGTAAGTGCCAGAGTCATGAAGTCGTCTTGAAAGGAGCAATTACTAAAGAATCCAGTGCTCCTTCTGGACGAGGCAGATGTCTTCTTGGAAGAACGGACTGTATCTGATCTGACAAGAAACAGCTTGGTGTCAAGTAAGAACGCTCACTTCCTTGCAATTTAGAAACGCGCCAGTTGACATACTTTGCACAGTATTCCTCAGAGTTCTCGAATACTACGAGGGTATCATAATCCTCACGTCGAACCGCGTCGGAACGTTCGATGAAGCTTTCCAGTCCCGGATCCGAGTCGCACTTCATTACGAGCCCCTGACGAAAAAGTTTCGAAAGGCAATCTGGAGCAACTTTTTCGAGATGCTGACTGAAGATCAAGACGATATCAACGTCGACATTAGGAACATGGAAGGTCGGCTCGAGGAACTGGCGGACTACAAGATGAACGGTCGCCAGATACGTAATATCGTCCTTACGGCCCGTCAGCTCGCGATGGAAGAAGGGGAGAGCTTGGAGTGGAAACATCTCAGCCAGGTCCTGACGCTGTCGAGAAAGTTCAACGAGTATTTGGAGAAGGTCAAGGGGCACAGTAACGAGGATTGGGCGGTGTCTCAGCAGATTCGATGAAGGAGGGTGCAAGATTGTTCGGTCGGAAGCCTAGGCGAGTATTTTACATTCTCACGAGTTTGGCGTTATGCAATCTTTTCGTCTTGGACACAACGCGTAGGACTTCATCGAGCTCGATACAGAAGTTTAGAACAAGACTTAGCCGTGATCACGTTTCTGAGCATGGCTTTTGAAGCAGCTGCCCGTGGGCTTCATTGCTTTCTATGTTTTCGAGCCTGAGTTGCATAGTCAAGCTGAACGAGTCATGTTTCAAGTTAAGAAGACTCAACCAACTCAAGTTGTGAGTGTATTAAGACTCATCATGTACGACATGTTCCTTTCAGGATGGGTAGCAAAGAAGAGCAAGTTCGTTGCAACAGCCTGAATTACTCGAAATTCTCTTGCCACTTTCCTATGGAAGAGGGTCCATATGTTTATGGAGAAAAACCATCCCAGCTATTACTGGAATTGCTCCAACGTGGCTTGACAATCAACATTACTCTTTTCAATGTCTTCTACAGAGGATAATCAGGAGAAGCGAGCTCCTGGGGAAACAAGCTGAGTCTCGCGCTTCTTCCTTCCGCGAAGAAGTCCCGAGTAAGAGCTGTGAGTGTTGACATATAGAACCCATCGCTCCTGCCTTTACATAAGTCCAAATGTTAACTACCTTAGTCACGGCAGGTGCGGATGCTTGGCCGCGATTATCACCGGGCAACATTTCCATTCCTTCCTCGGTGGAAGGTACCATAGTACCTCAACTTTGGGAAACTGCAATGCCAACCAATACCATGGAGAATTCCCCGACTCTGATCAGAAGCGAGTCAACAACATCCTCTGCGCAAACAATCGTAACGCATCCCCACATCATACTTTCTTTGAACGGAACTGAATGCAGAAACACCGGCTATCTGAAAATTCCAGTACGAATACGAGGCAGCTATTGGTCGACTCAATTCCAAAGAACACCAAGCTCAAGCTCGGAAGCCAGAATCTTCCGCTGCAGAGGGAGCCGAGAAGAAGCCTTCCACTTAGCGGAGTGTTCAAGTCGCTCGAAATAAACCCTCGCGTCTTTCGGATATGTCGTGTCGAGCGAGTATTTGTCAACCCAGGCAGCCTCTTGGCAACATCAGACACTAACCACGTTTCTAGGCACCCATCTTGGGCCACGAGGCATCTAGTCCCGGACGAGGAAATTGCCCACGACCAACGAAGGCATCGCGGCAGTCCATTCTTTATGACCAGGTTGTCGGGACGCCCTACAACCCGCCGTCAGTGTTTGGATCGATTCACGCCACCACCACTACTAGTTAAGTAGTAGAGCGGCTTGGAAGGATCCCCTGCAAGGCTATAGCGTCTGACAGCGACCGCGATCCTCCGCGTAGGCGACCCCGGAGCCGGACTCGACCGTCCGTCGACAGCGAGTCCCATTAGTCGGAAAGCGAGGCACCGGAAATGAAGACAATACGGCTGTCAGGCACAATCGATAACCATTTCTGTCATCCTTGCTCAGCCGTGGGGTGCCTTGGGCGGACGTAGGTCCAGGGATTCTGTTGGAAGGCTTGGCGATGCCTTGCAGTCACCGGCTCGGAAAACTAGCTGAGCAGCCACAGTACAAACCGGGCGATTTCCTCACACATGCTGCCTAGACGCATATCGCCTGCGTAAGTAGCGGCTACTTGGGATATCCAGCTTTGGTTTTTTGCTCACAAACGACGGGCCAAAGTTCCCTTCCCATCTGAGCTGTCAAACCCGTATGGGACATGGCTGCCAAACCGACTCATCTTTACCGGACCCCAAACTCGGCCTTGCTGATCCCCTCCAACGGTATCCAATCCCTTTTCCCACACGATCTCGTCACCAAACCCACGTCAGATCGCGCTGCTCGTTCCCGCGACCCAATGAGAGGGCGCAGAGGGTCAAGGCGGAATTGAGTCTCGGTCACATCCGCTGGCTTCCCCCCTCCTCCCGTCCTTTCAGGGAGTAGGAGAGGTGGCAGAAGTGTCAATCACCAAAATGTGACCTCCGGAGCTCCTTCCGGAGAGGGCCCCCGGTTTCGTATGTCGACCAATCTGGGCGCGAGGCGTCTCCGCATCATGACATTCTCCCCCACAAAAATGTTTCGTTTCAAAGTGCGACTCCACTGGACGGATGCAGATACCGGAGCTGCTGCACCGCCTCAAGGCCCCCCCGCGGCCCCGCAGCAGCCACCGGGAGCAACATTTCGATCGGGGTGCCGAGGCCGATTGAGATACGTACTGCCAGCCCGGGGCACAGACGGGCGGCAGAGGCGATCCCCACCATCCGTTTCTGGCTGCTCAGCCGCATTTCGGGCTTCGATCCCTGCGAGCTGTAAGTGGCAAGCCACACACTCCCTGTTCACGAGTGTCTCCCTGTTTCTGCTCAAGAAACAGGGATCCCAGTCGGCACACTCTTTCTCTCCCTCTCTCTCTCCTGTCCATCACTCATTCTTGCTCCGTCTCCGAATGCCGATTCGGGATGTGAAGACCAAGATTTGGGCCTTGCAAACCTACTCACAGTTGACAGTTGCGGCCGCTTGCAGAGTTCCAGCTGGCCGGCATCGAGATACATGCCGCCCCCAAAAAGAAAGACCAAAAACTTATTACCACACGCAGAGCAAACTTCCCCCTCCTTTTATGCACCGTCATATAGTAAAGCAACAACGCTTCATGCGCCGCCGCAGGGCAGGGCTAGAATTGCAAAGCTGCAAAACCATCGAGCTGGCCCTAGAAGTATACATTGCAGGCGAAGCAAAGTCAAAATGCCTGATGAAAGCCCTTGGTCCCGTCTGCTGGCCATTTAGCCCTCCAGCAAAACAAAGCTCAGCTCAAACTCTGCCCTCCAACACAAGACGACCTCCTCTACACTTACAAACGCCCATGCGACGTTGCTCCAACGCGCCTGTCCCTTACCCCAAGGACGCGTAACTCGACCTTCCGCAAAGCCTCAAACAGTTCAGCGCCGGATGGTGCCATGCCCAGCAGCCATGAGCACCAACCACCCTCCTTCAAAACGTGATAGCTGCCAACCCAAATTCTATATATCAAATATCAAATACGGAAAGCCTGTCCTTAAATTTTCTCGCTTTTCATCTTCAACAGCCCTGCTGCTGGCACGCACTCAGGCCGGCTTAGCGAGCCCGAGGCGACAAAACTCTTTGCATGCATCTCTGGAAATCAATCGCTTATCGAGAGGTTTAAATCTCGTGTTCCCGCGAAAAGATACCCGAAATCCCCTTCAAACAATGTTCCTCGGGACCGGTTGAACTCATCTGGCCGCCGTTACATCTGTCTTGCCTGTCGACAGGACTAGAATCCCCCCGGCGTTCAGACGTCCCCGTCCGTGCGAAGGAGCGGCAACGCCAGACTGCCACCACCATCATCCCTACAAGTCCAAAGGGCCGACTTTGCAAAGTAGCAGCTGGTCTGTGTTCGGAGCGGGTGGTGGTGTGCATGTTACGCTCGTCCAAGTGTACCGCGGTCGCGTAGTAAGCTACTCCAGCAGCCAGCCGACGCCCAGACTCTGGCGATCAGTGATCAACCCCCAGTCCCCATCATCCATGAACCCATGAACCCCGTCTTCTAGAACTTCCGCCTCATATCCCTTTCAGTACCTTTAGGCTATGTCACTCGTGCCGTCGTTCGCGTGTGTCTGGGCCAGTGTAAGAGAGAATGTCTCTCCGTTACAGCCTGGCCCCTAAACGAAACCCCCGTCTAGTACGATTTTCTTTTTCGAAATGTCTTATACCATGACAGTCACATACCTATTTAGGAAATCCATTCTGTCGATATAGCTTCACGCATGGCCAAGGATGGGCATCACAACCATCGCAACGGCATACTTGGCATCTTCCCCTTCGTCCTCGTCCTCGTCCTCGTTGCCGCGCCCTCATCGTCGTTTCCAACCTTGCACTCGCGACCGTCGTCCTGCCCAGCCCCGGGCCAAGCCCAAAGCTGCCCTTCCGCGGCTCCTTCTTTTTGCTTTCGCACCATTATGCCTTGGATGCAAAGCGCTGACTTACTGAAGGATCGATCTACTGACTACCAACGAAGAGAAAAAGAAGAGGCATCAGAAAGGGCACCGCTCCACGAGACTCGCCACACGTCCGAACCGACCGACCGACCGACCGGCTGGACCCCCTTTTTCCCCCATTCTCCCGTCGCTTGTTTCTCCATGTTTGCATGTGCCGTCGAGGCTTAAAATCGGAAGTCTACCTTGCCTTACCCCAGCTGTGCTTGTCAGAAGTCCAAACAGAAAAAAAAAAAACCGTTGATGCCCAAAAATAGAGGAAGGGGGATCCCCTCTTCCACCTTTTCCCCAAAAGCTGAGAAAGCTGAGAAGTGCCGCGCGCAGGAGGGAGGGGGTGATCTTGACCCGATTCCCAACAATGCGCGAACAGGCGAGCATCCCAACTTTCCGTCTCACTCATCCAGCCTGCATGATATCCAGGCATACACACATACCTACAGGATCTGTACTGTCACCCCTCACATAAGCAAGCACACACACACACTCTCTCTCTCACTCACGACACACACCATGCGAGACGGATAGCACTGAACAAAAAATCTTGTTCGAATTAAGTAATAACGTAAAATGCATTCAACAACCCATTGAGCAGTGTGTTATCCCAGGCACAGGCCGAAAACCTCCAGGGTTCGCCTCGTCGCCCATGTCCTCTCAATCCCAAAAAAAAAGTTTGCCAGCGCCCTCTGCCGCAGAATCGCTTCCTAGGGGAGCCGGGTCGCAGACCCGCGCAGCAGGTCGCATAACCCAAACGGTCTCCCATGCGGCTTTTCCATCCCTGCCTTTGAGCAATCTGATGCTCTTGCCGAATCTTTCGGCCTTCGGTGGGCGGGGAGGCCATGCGTGAGGACGAGCCACATGTCGCCTGTTCTCAATGTCCCACGCCCACATGTCCCCTAACCCTCATCTGCGAAGGGGCGCGACCCCCCTTGACCCCAGACATCCACACAATGACCCCCTTTCCCGGCGCAGTCCTT